AAAGGAAAACCACCTTTTTTGTGTGCCACTCTGGCCCCAGACAAATGGTTGTTTATACAGCAGTGGTATGGCAGCACTTTTGCAAAGAGCAGCCATGAACTGGTAACTTTCAGGGACTAACTGGGGGCCAATAAGAATTTATAGGAGAAATTTGAGTTTTCTGGTTTGTACATGGAAGAGAACAGTAAAAATGTAATTTTCCTCTACATTACTTCAATTATCTTTTAAAATATATGAATTGCCTATTGGATGGAATTCAGTTCTAGGATAGCTAGGATTAACTTTGGTCTTTTTTTGTTGAAGGTTTCTGTTTAACTAAACTGGAAAATGTTGAGGCAGATATTGTTAAGGGACCAGATCACTGAAGTCAGTGGTTTAGACAGAAAATCACATACTGCAGTGATGCATAACTATCATTTGTAAAAATCCAGGTAGTATTTCACGGCCACAAGAGAAGAGAATATGGTTAGAAGAGAAGATGTATTACATGTACCATAACTGTGTTTCTCCAAGTAACAGAATCTGGAAACATTCAACACTGGAGAAACTGGTCATGAGGAATTTTGAGAGAGAAGATAACTGTTCGTTGAAGTACTACTTATGTATACTACATAGAAACTAGCTTGTGTTCCCCTTTGGACAGTAGCATGGGCTGCTTCGGTAACCACATCATGAGTTGCTTTCAGGGACATGACTGATAATACTATGCAGTAGCTAAACTATTGCAGCTGAACCTACCAGTATTCTTCTGACAGAGCCCCTGTTGTAAGGGTTCGTTGTTGTTGAGAGATGACTCAAGTCAACAAATTGAAACTAATATTGTGGGAATTTCTGTGTAGACAGTAATTATGACTTGAATCATTTCCATAGACATAGCACAATAAAGGAGCTTGGCTAAAATTTACACGACTTTGGTTCAGTTTCTGGCTTTTACCATGTGCTATTGCTCTGCAAACTTTGAGTCATTTATTCTTTATGCTTTTTCTGAGATCAACCAATCTAAATATTATAAGTGTACATGTATTTATGTCACTACCAAACACACTGTCGTGGTTTGGGCCTGATTGACAGCCAACCACAATGCAGCACCTCTCTCTCCCTTCCCCTCCAGCAATGAGAAGGGACAGAGAGCCAGGCTTGGGGTTCAAGATAGGACTGGGATTGGGGAAAATCCCCCTTTTATGATCACGAGCAAAAGGCAGACTCGTTAGGGGAAGGAAAAAAAGAACATACATTTATTACAGACACTAACAACACATAACAGAGTAGGACAGTGAGAAGCATTGCCACATCTTGAGAACACCTTCCCCCCACCCCTCCCTTCTTCCCGGGCTCAGCTCTGCTCCCGATATCTCTACCTCCTCCCCCAGTGGCGCAGGGGCAGGGAATGGGGGGTGCAGTCAGTGCTGCCACTTCCTTCATGTTCAGTGAGGGGAGTGTCCAAAACCTGTTCCCCCCTGCTCCATCGTGGTCCCCCTCTCACAGGAGACAGTCCTCCACAAACTTTCTCCGACATGAATTCCTCCCATGGGCCGCAGCGTTCCCCACACTGCTCCGTCATGGGTCCCTAACTTCCTCCGACTGGATTCCGTCCCACGGCTGCAGCCCTTCCCGAGCTGCTCCGGCGTGGGACTCCCCCGCATGCTGCAATCCTCCCAGCACTGAATTACAGCAGTGGGGCTGCCTTTTCCCATGAGACTCCGGCCTTCTTCGGGCACAGAACTTTGATCATCCAAGCAGGAACAACAGGCTGTAAATCAATGTCTGCTCCACCGTAGATCTTCATGGGTGGCAGGGGGGGGCCGCCCTGCCGTCTCACCACAGGATACAGGGGGGTCTCTGCTCCGGCACACCTCCCCCCTCCTTTCTTCCTCCGTTCCTCCACTGACCTTGGTGTTCATGCAGCTGCAGCAACTCCTCCTCACAAGTCCCACTGCCCGTCACCACGTCCCTTCTTAAATACGTTATCGCAGAGGTGCAGCCGATTGGCTCAATTTCCCAAACAGAAGTGGAGCTGACGTGGAGCTGGGGGAGCTTCAAGAAGCTTCTCACAGGGGGCCGCCCAGATAGCCCCCTCCCCTGCCACCAAAAAACTCCACCACTCACTCAACCCAGGACACACACTGATATTATATACAAATACATTCTATCCTTACTGCAAATATTGCAAGTGGAAATTTTGCACCTGAGTTTTAGTTGCTGGGTTTCTATCTGTGTATTTTTTAGGCTAGAAGTGTGCCAGTAATTCCTGCTAATGTTTCAGGTGATTCTTGATCTTTATGGATTTGGTTGGGGTGCAGAACATAGATGGGCTTTATCTTGGCAAATGAGAAAACATACTAAGGGAAATTGTCACTATGATGAACAGAGATAAAAGTGAAAGAGGCTTATAGCTAAGGACCAATGAAAACAGGATAGTTACTTCTCTACTTCTATTCATCCTTGCAAATAATATAATAGAATATATTTTCTTCACATAAGACTAAAATCCAACCCAGTTGCTGTGTCATCACTCATAAACTGTTTTCCATTCTGAAGAATTTATGTAGAGTGTGAAAGATATTGGCCTAGATTGCCATCAATTACTCCTCCTCTCTTTTCCCTTCCACTCCTCCCCATTTCTGCTTGAATTCCTTTTAATAACATTATTAAAACCTGGTAACTCATCATCACTTGTTCCCCATTAAGTTCAGCTGAGCAGTATTGATTTGTAACAAATTAAAATTGATCCATTAAAGTCAATGTCAAATCTGGCCTGACAAAAACCTGCAGTTGTAAGGGTTTCAGAGCAGGGAGTGTAGCTTATTTTCACCTTATAAAGTGCAGAATAGACACACAATGCTTTACAAGTGACTTTCAGCAATTAATAGGATGCAATTATTTATTTGCATATCCAAGAAACTGTTCTGTGAAGTTTGTTCATATTATAAAAATATGTGCTGATTTAATTCACACCTTTGAAAATGCAACGTGAGCTAAGAAATTCTTCTCATTTTGGCCCTCAGAACTGTCTAGCATCTCACAGAGCCTGACTGCCACTTTTAATTACACCCTGAACAACAGATTTAACAGACTTGAGAAATCGTAATTGCTGAGATCCTTATGTGTGAGATAAGTATATCTTCAATCAGAAGACTGAATATTCTGCAGCTTGTTGTCTTAGTTTAGTTTAGTGCATTAGTGCTTAACACAGTCAAGAGAACCACTTCCCACAGATGATGAGATGTTCTGATATTATACCGTGGTGGTGCTGTAACATGTCATTACTTAAGCTGAACTAATTTTCACTATCTTTTGTTTATGTTCAAATATAACTATCAGACTGGAATTCCAGGTGTGAGCAGAAATGCAGTATTTTCTGCAGAATTGATATGTTAAAATTACTCTTACTGAGAATGGTCTTTTCTGTGTGAAATTCATTATAAAACTGACATATTATTCTCATCTTCTATAGAAAACAAATTATTCACATGATCATACTATCTGTTTAGCTGAACGTATACATTTTGCACCCAGTGGTTAATTTCAGTCAGATTTGAATGTCGCAGCTTTTTAGATGTTAGTCAAGTAGCCATTAGGCAGAAATATGTAAGCTTCACTAGTTCTGATGCTCAGCGGATGAAGCTTAGGAAACAATTTAGATAAGCAATTTAACAACTTGTATTCATGGAAAATGTTAGTTTTCTATTCAAAACATGAATCTTGGTGCAGAGTTTTGAAACTGATTTAAGAAAGTTGTACCTAAAATAGCAAGTTTTTAGGTTCAGCTAGTATGAAGAACATGTAAATATTATAATCTTTAAATTCCTTTTTTAGAACTTATATTGGTAAATAAAAAGTTTACTTTTTTTTTTTTTCATATTGAGAATTTTAAAGAGAAATTGTGATAAAACATTAACAGTTTTCCTTAAGTTCTCAGCAGAATTAATAGAGCAATTTGCTGACAGGATGGATTTCAGTGGTGCAAAATCATATATTATTTAAAATCACTCACGGCTGGGCCGTTTTGCCCACCTTGGTATAGTTTTTGGCAAATATAACAAATGTTTTCAGAAGATAATATGTAATGCACACTATAAAATGTAAAAATTATAGATTTCCCAGCCTGACTGATTGCAACTTTCATAAGGAATCGAATTTAAGATGTAATCTCAGACAACTACATTTGTAAACTTGTGCAAAAAATAGTCAGAAGTATCAGAGGATGCTGCTTTTTTTTCCTGAGCTGGATGTATTTTGATTTGTGTGACCTGACAAAATATTTCCACCCCTCTAGTTTGGCCTTTGACTATATATTTGCATTCTATTTACTTTTCCTTTTTTTCTTCCTTACAGTGCTCTCTGAATATATAAATATACATTTGTGAGGCTAATACTTTGCTCTTTAGGCATAGGTTACTTACCTTTGAGTTCCATCTGCGTTTCTGATTTGCCTCCCACTGTAGTACATAGATACCTTACCTAAACTCTAAAAATCATTTTATTATAATGTATATATATACGTGTATTATATACAGATATACATTATAAGTAAAGTGAAATATGTGAATATAAAAATGTATGCATTCCAGTTGTTGGCTTTTGCCCTTAAAATACCTTCTGAAGACCTAAGTTTGATAACATTTTTTTCTGGGAGCCCAGTCTCTCTCTTCCCAGCTCTAAGTGAGACAGCCAGGTTTGAGCTCTTTGTTACATCCACAGGGAGATTTTTTCCTTATTATTTTTGTAGGCACCAGGCCTGTGAAGTCAGGTCATCTGTCTTGGCTTGTACATCTCTAATCAGATCATCTACTGAAAACATGTGGGTTTATGATAGAGCCAACTGTAATTGCAAACTAATCTGCTGCTTCTGCACCTTCAGTGCCTGTGGCTTTGTGCCTGATATTACTCTTAATAGTTTGTTAATACCAAATAATGCAAAAACATTGCTTCCTTAAGCACTTAATAGGATGTACTGTAATGGAGATAAATGGTCTTATAACATTCTATTTGTGTTTTAGGAAAATGAACTGAAGGATGCTGTGCAAGAAAAGAATCGCCTGAGCCTTCAGTATGCAAGTGTGTCCCACAAAGCACTGCAATATGACCAGGTAACATCATGAGCACAGTTCTCATATATTCATTTGATACAGAAATCAGTCTGTAGAGTGGATAGAAGTGGATTGCATAGTATTTTTTTCAGATTTGCATGCTTCTACTTTAGAACATAAAATATTTTAATTAAGAATTACAGAAATTTATTTTATGAACAAACGTTATTTTCAAGTGAAAATTTAAGACACAGTGATAGACTTTAGAGAGGTACATCATTCTCCTGATGTATAATTTCTTAGTATTCTAAATTTTTATTAGTCTTTGCTAAAAAGACTTTTTCAGTGCTTTTTATGAGACTTGATTGAAAAAGTATCTTCTTTTTCTGAAAAATACTGATAGAAATAATTACTATCTAATAGTCTTTTTCCCTACCCTTCTGCATTTTACCTTTGCATTTTTAAATTTCTCAATAAAATGTTGAAAAGCTCTTGTCCAGCAGCAAATCTCCAGAACTTCCCCTATATCATGGCACATGGCATAGTCCCAGCTACTCCAGGTCCTGATAGAAAAACTATTTTAATAATAAAAATTTTTCTTCAATTCTTTTTTGTGCCTGTTATGGGACAAAAAATATCTTTCTGACTACAGTGTGATTATATCTGTGGCAAATACTGCACAGTGTGACTAGCATGGGAGGAGAGGCTGACGTCCCTTACCTCACCACATATGCATTCAGTGGAAGAAACATCATGAAACAGCCACTTTATAGGGCTACATTTAGCTAAAAATAAAACTCCAGTCTGGGATTTCTACAGGGCTTAAGTGAGTTGCTCGGCAACCTCATTCATAACAGAAGAGCTGTAACTCACATTGGCTTTAATGAAAGCCCATCCTCAAATCTTGCAAAACAGTGGTAGCTTCATGCTTTGATACCTCTGACGTGCATGTGTCACAGAGCAGCCAACTGCCAAATTTCCAATCCAAAAGAGGACTGATTAAGTCCCTGAGACAATGCAAATTACTAAAATTCAAAGATAGCTATGCATGTACTCTACATTTTGTGTGTAGCACCTGGTATCAAAGCAGACCTGAAATTTCCTGTTGCTGAGGACTTTAAATTGGGGTTATATATATATATATATATATATGTAAGATAGTGTAATGTAATACTTTATGATAGGAAAAGCCATGTGTATCATAGCATCACTTAATTTTATTTAACCATCTTTCTACAATTTCTCCCTTTCTTAATGTTTTTCTCTTCTCTGTATTGTTGCTTACACATTGCTTTTACTCTTTTTTTCATAAGGCACATAAAGATAAGGTCTTAGTTTTATATTGTAACTGATACAGGAATAACATGTAGCATTAATGCTGTGAAGTCTCTGTACATTGGTGACACTAAAAATGTTAGCTCTCTAACTATCAGAAAGTGAAGAGCTATGCAGTTAATAATGCTTGATTATAAGTAATGTTTGTCTCTTACTATAGAGAAGAGCTTGAGATACATTGAAAAAACCTAGCAAAACCAATTTAAAATATAAAACATCAATCTCTGACACATTAGCCACTAAGTTAGTAATAAAATTACCATTTACTATTGTAGTGTCAGAATTTGTCATACTATGGGTGTTTGTTTCTTCAAATATGTTAAATCCTGTGAAAGGTACAATGTAACAATTCTGGATGCCCGTGCTTCAAGTTTAATATCACAGCCTCAGTAGGATGAAAGGCTTGCTTTAAGTGTATCTCTCATTTTTAAAAATGTAACAATGTGTAATCTTTCCAGTATAGCCTGAACTTTAGCAAACCTTGTGTTTTCCTTCTTGCATAACAGGTTTTCTGTGGGAATTTTTGGATTTTTCTGTTTGTTTGGTTGGGTTTGTTGTTGTTTGTTTTGGTTTGAGTTTGGTTTTGGTTTGGTTTGGTTTTTTTGTTTGAGGATAGAATGTGCAGTTTAGGTTGCATTTTTCTATTCAGAAAGTGTGAAATTATACAACTTTGGATGTGGAATTTGGAGCAAAATTCTAACAGAGTTAGGGCTCAGCCCTGAAGGGGAAAACATGCCTAAAATAATTTATTCTTTTTCACCCCTGAGAGCTGGCCTGAAAAACAGGCCAATTTTGTCCAAGCAAATGGGGCTGGAGGAGTGTTTATGCATTATGTTATGTAGCACTACTGCTCAGTTTTACACAATGCAGTTGCTAAAATTTGACTCTAGAAAGGAGTAGGTATGAGTCTGATTACCTTTTATTCCACAAAATAAAGCTAAAATTGTACATAACTTACATGATTTAGTTTTGGTACTCTGCATAAGAGAAATAGCATTGAATTCCTGGAGTGAAGTACTTGTGAAAAGATTTTGTGTCCTTAGGAGTGCTATGACACTGGGCTATGAGTTGGTTTGCTGCTCATCTGAATATATATGGGCAAGTGTTTTTATATAAAAATAGAATAGGCATTATACATTCAGAATTTATTCCCACAATACCTGAAATCGTACCATTTTCATAGTAGTTTTTGAATAATGTTTTCTGAACAATGTCATTTGTTTGAGAGATTGGCAGGTCTCTGAAGTCTAGAATTAAGGCAAATAGTGGGTTATAAGGCTGATGGACCTTTTCACCAATGAATAAACTGCTGTTTCATTTTGGTGTGCTGGTTTTTAATAACTAGTTTCTGTTTAAGTGTTCAGGAAGTGGAAGACACTTTAGTAGTATTCTGGCCTTCAAAACTGAATCAAATGAGGGTTCATTTAGTAAGTGTGAAGGCACAGGATGAAAAATAATTTGGTTGATACATTAAACAGACAAATATCACAGATCAAAATGTTCCCTGTTTCTGTCATGAAATTAGAATTTTTTATGATGGCAGTCTATTTAGATCTACTGGTTTTGCCACTGGGAACAGTGATGTTTTGATCTGTTCTGTGTGTAATTCAAGTTCATGTATATCCGATATGTTCTTAAACAGCCTGCTTGGAGAGGAAGCATTAAATTCACATGTAGGAACAAATGTTGTCTGAAAAAAGGAAGGGAGGGAGGGAAAGAAAAGAAAAAAGAAAAGAGAAGGGAAAGAGAAGGAAAAGAGAAGGAAAAGAGAAGGAAAAGGAAAGGAAAGGAAAGGAAAGGAAAGGAAAGGAAAGGAAAGGAAAGGAAAGGAAAGGAAAGGAAAGGAAAGGAAAGGAAAGGAAAGGAAAGGAAAGGAAAGGAAAGGAAAGGAAAGGAAAGGAAAGGAAAGGAAAGGAAAGGAAAGGAAAGGAAAGGAAAGGAAAGGAAAGGAAAGGAAAGGAAAGGAAAAAGGAAAGGAAAGGAAAAAGGAAAGGAAAGGAAAGGAAAGGAAAGGAAAGGAAAGGAAAGGAAAGGAAAGGAAAGGAAAGGAAAGGAAAGGAAAGGAAAGGAAAGGAAAGGAAAGGAAAGGAAAGGAAAGGAAAGGAAAGGAAAGGAAAGGAAAGGAAAGGAAAGGAAAGGAAAGGAAAGGAAAGGAAAGGAAAGGAAAGGAAAGGAAAGGAAAGGAAAGGAAAGGAAAGGAAAGGAAAGGAAAGGAAAGGAAAGGGGAGGAAAGGAAAGGAAAGGGGAGGAAAGGGGAGGGAAGGGAAAAGAGAAAAGAAAAGAAAAGAAAAGAAAAGAAAAGAAAAGAAAAGAAAAGAAAAGAAAAGAAAAGAAAAGAAAAGAAAAGAAAAGAAAAGAAAAGAAAAGAAAAGAAAAGAAAAGAAAAGAAAAGAAAAGAAAAGAAAAGAAAAGAAAAGAAAAGATATAGTAGACTTGTCAAGTAGTTTTGTACTGCCTCATGGGTTATATAAATTTGTACATCACAGCATTCTATACACAGTCTTCAGAGAAAGTACTGTCAAGAATGCCCTGTAGAAATCTTAAAAGTTGTCAGTGTTGCTGGAAGTAACAACAGGAATTATCAGAGGGTGGTTGGTAGATTTGGTTGTGTTCTTTCCAACCTGCAAAATGAAAATCTACACAGAACTTTGTTCAAAAGCTGATATGCCAAATGAGAAAGTAGAGAAATTATCAGAATGATTTGTGCCTTCACAAACTTTAACTAATTTAGGTATGTGCTTTGAGATCCTAAACGAAAGATCCTGAGATGTATAAAATATCTACAGTTCTACTTGTCTCTAATTCATCTCTTTCCAAAATTATGTTAACTGCTTGATTGGTACTGTTTGTTCTGATAACCTCTTCGCTGCCATCAGGGAAAACCACATTGCAGAACAGTACTCTGCCCACCAGCTCCTGAAAATTATTCAAACGATGATGACTACTAAGTTTTAGAAAATTCCTTATAAAGGTAGTTAGTTTGTATCAACTGTTATAGAGAAAGGGGAAACTAAAGCCTGAGGAAAATAATCTTTTATTGAAACTTGTTCAAAATATTGTACTTTATTCATCTTCAGTAAATTAACTGAGAATCATAGGCACTAACAAATGGCATTGTTGATAATGTTACCTCATTGCTTCCTTTTTCCACTCCATTATTCTTCAACAATATACACTGACTGGTCTGAGCAACAAAATACAATACAAAGGATGCAGGAAGTTAATAGATTCTGAAAAATCCATTGCTTAATAGTTTACTTAGTTATAAAAAAATGAGGGAAGATGAAAAGAAAAATTTATGCACAGAAAAAAAATCTTGAGGTTGACAATAATTGCATCTGTTCTTGTGGAAAACATGATTTGTTCCATTATCCTCTTTCTTTTTTCTACTCCACAGCACTCTAAAGAGGCCTCTTGCAAAGATGAATATGAGGGCTGGCTGCAACCATTTAGATTGTTTGGTCCATGACAAAATTTGCAAGTTAACAAACTGGAGCCAGAAGGCAAATAGAAAGGCTGAATCAGTTTCCAAAACACCGCTTTAGAAAATGTCCAGGAGATATCCATGTCAGAGATTGCTTAATGGCATTCATTCTTTTAAAAACCCAAGAAATTACAGTAATTGAATTAAAAAAAAAAAAAAAACCCACACAAAAAAAACGAACTTGTCACTTCCTTAACTGAACTGAGAAGGAACCATTGCACTGCAATTAAAGCCCATGACTATCCCAGTACTTTGTACAGCTTTGCTTTGCCTTAGTCAGTAATCCTGCCATCCTGCCAGCATTGTTTATGCTTCTACACTGTGTTGCAGTTAACAAAGGAAAACAGATGCTCCTTGGAAGCTGTTCATTATGGCTCTTTCTTTTACTTTTATACATTCTATCAACATTACAGGGAAGTGGAAATAGTATGTGAATGTTATGTATATTTTTACCCACATGTTTATTTCTGGTGGGTTTCCATTTTTAACGTAAAAATTGAAGTTTCTGGTATGATGCAAGTTGTGATAATCCTATTGTTATACATCAATACAGGACATAAAGTCGTAAAATGGTCAGGGATAAGAAATCAAATTTTCAGCTGATCTACACTGAAGAAAAACCTTTTCCATGGCAGGATAGTTTAATACTGTATCTTCTTATTTTCTGTGTGTGCTTATGAAGTAGTCAATATCACTGATGATTCACAAAATCCTGTATAAAAAGGCTTAGTCATACTGAAATGGTTAAGATAGCACCAAGTAAATTAAATCGGAAAACAAATCCTACCTGATGAGTATCTGATCCTTTAAAACCTTCTGTATGCAAATATTTTCAGGGAGAGCGAGGGTTTTGTTGCAGAAGAATACTTGGTTTTGAATTGTAGAGACATTGATTTCAAATGTTAGCATAGGCTGATCATATGTATTTAAATTTATTCTGAAGTCAATTTACTCTAAACAATAGTCCAGAAAAATGTACGTGAGTTATATTGATATATACATTAGATCTCTGTCTCTTTGTATAGCACACCCATCTCTGACACCTCTGAGATGCAGAGAAATTATGAACTGTTTGATTGTCATTTATTTTGTATGTTATGTAGTATATTTATTTAAATTTGCATAATTTATGCATAACTACATTATGTCTGCCAGATTGTAGTTCTCGTCAAAAGAAAATGTGTTGCATGTGTACACATATATGAAACACACACAATTTCCTCAATGAACATTCTCTTGCATTTTTGATGCTTCTTTCCTATTTTCTTTGAATTTTTTTTCCTTTTTCCATTTTAACATGCAGAAATGTTCATGTCAGATTATAGTTTTCCCTTCATTAATTAGATGTTTGGGCAATAATTGCATTTTATTTTTTCTAGGTAAAATCAGACTATGACCATCTTAGAGAAACCCTTCTTAGAGTGACCAAAGAACGAGATTTGGCTATAAAGGGAAAACACCAGCTCCAAGCCAAGCTGGAGAACTTAGAGCAGGTCCTAAAGGTATGTATAATGCCATAAAGTGCAACAATCCAGTGCTTCTATTTCTTGTTTAATATTCCTGATGCTCATTCAGTGAGTCAAAGAAGCATAAGTGCATTTCAAACTAGGGGACTGAATGCCCTTATTATTTATAATAAAACGTATGGAATACAGTAGACTAAGTACCTACAGGGGATCTAAAACTATTGGAGGAGAGACGTCTTTAGAGATCTTTATCTGACACTTTATAAGTAATTGGGTGTAGGTTTTCATTATACAGTTATTGGAGGTAAGTCAAGATGAGAAGAAAAGGATAAGAAGTGACTATGCCGATGATGGAAATATGAACAACTGCCAAGGTATTTTACTTTAAAGAGAACTATGTCTGCTAGTCTAACTTGATGAAAGATGCTATTGCGGCCTTGTGAAACAAGCTGTTGTTTCCAGATCATATTGCCTGTTCAGAGTGCATCCCATTATCAGGACAGGGTTGCAAAACCTGCTATTGGTTTATTAGAAAGGTCTTGTTTAGAAAGAATTACAGTGCCTGGTACAAAACCACCTTTCTTTTAACATGCTTCTAGAGAAGCTTAGTATGCTGGTGTCTAGCCATGCTTGTTTTCTAGATACACAGTTGTTTTCACATCATTAATTTTCTGCTTCCTTTTCAACTTAGACAAATTCAATAATGCATTTTGAATTGTAAGTATATACTTCAGTAGAGGTTTCACTGTGTAGTTGAAGATGTTGTCCTCCTGTTTTCCTGGTTATTGTGTATCATGCCATGGTACAAAATGATTCTATGAAATAGTGGAATTTACCAGGTGAATCTAACAGAGACAAGATCTAGCTGAGATGCTGGAATAGAGTAAAATTCAGTTGGAAAATGGAATCAGCTAAGAGATTATTATGTACCAGCTAATTCAAGGGGACAATAATCTGTATATGTTGAAACAAAGTGCAAAAAAATTTCTAGTTGTGGGAAGGAAACAGTGCTTTTCTAGGAAACAACTAAATTTCTGAAGTGTCATTAGTTAAATAAATTTGGAAGTCAGTAACTTGATAAGCCAAACCTGATCAGGAATAATGGACAAGGGTCTGAAAGGTCCCTTACAGACAATGAGCTGGTGTCCAGTGTGATTGAGTAGAGGGAGCCAGTGGAAGGAAACAGGTGATTTGGTAGAAACACAAACGGGTTTGAATGGGCCACTATTCTCAGGTTTTCCTAGTTGTAGAAAATATGCAAGCTGTGATGTGGAAAACTGCCACCAAAGTATGCCTGGAAGAGGGTTAAGCACCTAAGTTTTGGGTTTGTTGTGTTTTTTTGTTTGTTTTGTTGTTTTTTTTTTTTTTTTAAAAAAAAAAAAAAAAAAAAGTCATACAGTTGCAGTTGTTTGCATCAGTGGAGGAACTGCACCAGTGAAGACTACAGTGAGAATTCTTGAGAGAGAAAAAACTTCTAAACACTTGTCTGTAATTCAAATCATTCAGAAAAATTAAAGATGTGTTCATCTGCTTAGAATGGAGCATTGATCAGGTGCTGAAACGTTTTTGACAGACTGCCAAAGAGCTGCTTATTTTTCATCTTCTCAAGCTTAAAATTTTCCTTTTTCAAACCAGTGAAGTGGCTAGTAAAGGGGGGGGATGGATGTCCTGAGAGTAGGAGGAGATGGAAACAAAAATAACCGATCTGAGATCTTAAATTTCAAGAAAGACGACTCTTTGCAGAATGTTTTAATAATGCTAATTGGCTTCAGCCAGTGTACAAACAGCTTGCCATAAGTACAGTCACTTATTTAAAACTCGATTTGTTAATGATTTTGACTTACATTGGACTCACTCTAAAAGGGGAAAAATAGTTTTGCTGTGGCTACGTCAGAATAGATCTGGGCTTTTGGAGATGGTTGTAGTGATGAAAATGGCTACCTCCCTGTCTGAGTTTTGTGAAGGACAGATTTTATTTTTGGCTTGTTGCATTGGTAATACATTGTTGAAACCCTCTGTCAAGCTTTATCTGATGGTGAGGAGAAGGTATTCTAGCTACAAAGGGAAATAAAAGGTAGTTATAAGTTACCTCCCTCCTGCTGAGTCTTCAAAAGACTGTGGGGTTATCAAAAGTATGCTAACTGCTCTCTAAACCATCTTATTCCAGCAGTTTCTAGAAACACGAGCTGTTGAAATCATATATTAGGCAATGCTAAAGGGAGTTACCTGTTTTGCATATTGTTGTGCAAGAAATTATCAATGTCCTATTCACCAGTCAATAGGTAGCACTGATGGAATAAATCTAGAATTGTGTGCAAATAAGAAATACATCTACTGGGAAGGGAAAATTAAACTGCTTAATTAAATATAAGAGTGATACAGTGTTATCTATCTTCAGATTAATACAACTTTTTCCAAGAACAAGTAGGAAGATTTTCCTCTAGCAGTGGAAGATAATTTACTTTATCTGTTATTTCCTTCCTTTTCTTCTGGGGAATACAAAACTGACAGTTCCACAGACCTTTATCACTAATTTGGTATATCACCATGAGCCATATGCTAGTGCCTACAGAAAGCAGGATCAACATCTAGAAGCTATTTTAACAGATATGTCTTGCCTGTGCTCTCCATATAATGGTTGTGGGATTCCAACTTGATAGCTGCAGAAGTTCACTTTTTCAAGGAGCATATAGTAGAAAGATATGAGGAAAAAAGTTTAGAAAAGAAATGAACTGTGAATTGATGGCTCATAAAACAGCTGAGGATTAGACTTTAAGTGATTTGACATTAATTCTTATTTCATCTATTCAAAACCCACTTTCCTGAGCAATAAAACTAATTTCTTGTACCCTGTTCAAATACTGATTTTGCTAGGCTTGTATGTTTTTGAACACTTGAAACTCATCTGATGATGGACTGTGTTTTATTTTCTGCAATTAAAGAACATAACTTTCTTCTTTGGCCATACCACACAATGTTAATTTCTCCACTCTTTAATTAGGTTGTCTACTGGCATTTGACTTAATGATTCCTTCATATTTCTTCTGTAGAAGAGCTGAATCTGGTTAATTGACTGATTTTGCTTAATTTCTGCTGCATAATACTTCTAGTGGATCTAGGAAAAACGTTCAGTAAATCTCACTGTTTTGCTTAGGAACTCCTTCAAATTTTCCCTTTACTGAAACCAAAAATTTTCTAGTGGTTATAGAGATCCTGGCTTTTCATGGTCAGTAGTTTTCTCCCTTGAGCAGAACCCTTCTGAACTGGCAGAGTACATCGAACAGACTTGAAACCCTAAATCTCCTTTTTAGCACTAAACCATGCCCAAGCAGATGCAGTTAATTGTGTATTTCATGTGTGTCCTCATATGCTCAGGAAATTAGTAGTTTGAAAAAATGGTTTGCAGCTTTCCAACCATTGGAAAGTTTTGAGAAATATTTAGCCTAGTTTCCCTGTCAAAAGAGAAATTCAGGATGTATCAACAAAGCAAAAAAGGAAAGATGAAGAACTGCTGAATTAGCTAACTTATGATAATCTTCATAGTGCCTCTCACATAGAACAGTTCTGATTTTCTGATGTGTTCAGCCAGCTTTTCCCATTCATTCCACTGTAATGGTGCCCACCCATCTGCAAGCACAGATGACAAGTCCTTTGATAAGAGAACTCAAGTGAGAATTAAATCTGCTCCCCATTCAGCATCATGTATGAGATCTGTCTGATAAGAATCTGGTACTTGAAAGCCATTTGAGTTTGTTCTAGCATTAACCAGTTGCACATTTTAGAACTGTAAAAGTCACTGCTATAGGAATGAATGGGTTTCTTTATTTTGTTTGCAGCTGTAGGTAATACAGTGCAACCACTAAAAAGGTTGAAGCTAGTATGGGCTATTCATTGTCAAATCCCCCTGCTGCCCATGAGGAAGCTGGAAAAAACCCAAGAATCGTTTGAGCAGGTCCCTTAAGTGCTATTTCAGAAACAGTTTATACTATACAGCTGTCTAGCTCTATAGTTTGAAAGAAAACTGAGATATGCATGATGTCCCCAATTCATTCTCTGCTGTGTAGCAGGATTCTTGACTTTGATCTGAAAGATACACTGAAAGAGTTTCTTCTTCACACTTTCTTTGAAAGATGTATTATTACTTGCCAATTGTTTTGAAATATTAAACCCTCACTGTATTTTTTCTATGTTCTTTTAGATGTGGATTTGTTTTCTATTGTTAGAGTAACACTATTAGGTCCTCTAGAAATGGTGCAAAAAGGGAAGTGCAAATTTACATGTTTAGAATATTCTAACCTGCCTCACATTAAGGACATTGATAGCATGGACAAGTGGATTGCCACCACCTACACAAAGCATGGCAATGTAATCATTGTGGAAGTCAGTCCTGAAGGAAGATGCTTAAAAAATTCAGCAGCTCAGAGCTCTCTCTCTGCTGTTCTTCTAGTGATCTCTGCAGTCTTCCTCCACTGCCCTAACCTATTCCCCTCGGGCTTGGAAGAAGAAATGACAGCAGCTGATGTGCAGATAGGAAGCTCAAACCAGATTTGCAGACAGAACTGATTTGTGAGCAGAGTGGGAGGGGAGGAATTGCTTTTGGTTTGGGGAAGATTTAATTGCTGTGCCAGGGGAGGGACAGATGCTGGGGTGAAGAGATCCTTGCTGCTTTAAATACTAAGTAGATCATGACAGTACTAAAATGACTGAGAGATACTTTTAGGTTAACATAGATGTCCAAATGGTCTTTTCTGACCTTAAAATCTGTGAACTGTAGATCATTATATATGTATTTTAGGAAACAGAGAAATTAAAAGCTGGGGAGAATCACAGATGATATATCACAATCTGTTTCTTCATTACATTTTATAGATTCACTCTGTGGTCATGATATTAATTATTTATTGATCACTGCAAAGGACTAGAAATGTTCTGTAGTAGCTTTTGTAAAAGTAGTAAGTACTTAATGGTATCAAAATAAGCTGTACCAAATCTAGTATTAAATCTGAGAATGAAGTGAGACTTCTTTTTTTTTTTTTTTCTGTTAATTAAAGGTGTGAGAATTACTTGATTGCCTCACCATTTCTTGAATATAAGAAATGTGCTGATTCTCCATCAGTGTCATTTTACATAAGACTTGATGGAAGCTGCTGAGCTCAGTAAATGTAGCTTCGTGCTAGTTTCAGTCATAAGTAGTACTAATTATCAAAATAGGTTATGTTCATTCAGATGAGATGAGAATTGGAACCATTATTTTTGGTCATTATTAAATACTGAGAATAGATATTACTCATTAATATATCCATTAACCTTTTGTACAATGTGCACAATTCGGAAATGTCTACTGTCAAAATACTGAATCCTCACAAAACTCCTAGAAAGCAAGCCATAGTTGAGAGTCAAAACTGATAAAATGGAAAAATTTTTGATTATTTGTTTGGGTTTTTGTTTTTAATCAACACATCAAATGAAAATAAATAAATGCCAAGCAGACGACAAATAGACTATTGGAGACATTTCTGCTTCCTTTGCAAACATATCCAGATTGAGAGAAATGAGCTTCACTGTGCTGTCGCTCTTTGTTATGTGTAACATGTAACAGGGACTAACAGCTCATTAAAGGTTAGAAGTACACTTAATAAAATTTTTTCATGTACACAATAAGAGGTATTTTGGTCTGTTCTTGTCTATTTTATCCATGTATTTGTGTTTTCAAGTGCTGATTGCTAATAGGTCTGTGTTTGTTTGTAATAACTCATGGCGCTGCAGATAAGACATTGTGCCTCTGCTGTGAGAGTATTATGGGAATAGTATGTCATTTAGAAAATAAAAATCTTTAATACCAGTCTCACCAGAGAAGAGATCAGAATCTATAAAGAGATCTTTCTTAACTTCCATTTATTAACAGGGTGTTTGAAAGTTATAATGATATTGGGAGAATAATATTAACCTGTAATGAAAAAGATTTCTATCTGCAAAGGGTATCTTGACATTGCTCAGCTTGTGCTCTTCCCAAGAACCTTTCTCATATTGCTTTGAATCATTAGTAGGAACTGTACTTTAAAAGTTGTTTTTGAGTACTGTGTAGTCATTTTTGTCCAAATCCACCTATGTGTGTTCTGCTGTGTCTTATTTGTTATAAATAATAGGCAGAGATTAGCAAAGGTAAGCTATTTCTTTTGGGTTATCATTTGCAAAACAAATCACAAACTCACATCCTAAATAAAGAGGCATTTAGGGAATTGTCAAGTTAATTTTTTACCAAGCTCTAATTTTTCAGCACGATGCCCCATGTAAATGTGTGCCTGATGGATAAAATGGGTACTGCTCACTTTTGTGTCACAGAGGCCATATTGCTGGCAATGACGGAGTCGTATAGCCTGAAAAAGATTGCTGTCAAAATGTCTGAGTTTAGCATTGGCAATATGCCTCTAAGTATTGACTGAGTTAAAATTGTCTCCAGTTTCCCACTCGCCTGTCAGAGATACCAGAGAGCTTTATGTTGAGATGAACATCTGCATGCCTGGGAATGGCAGCATGTTTGGGTGCAGGTAGAGTGTGTTAAGGTCTCCTGATTGTTTTTTTGTTTCCTTTGAAACAGCATATGCGAGAGGCTGCTGAACGGCGGCAACAGCTGGAGTTGGAGCATGAGCAAGCCTTGGCTGTCCTCAACGCCAAACAGCAGGAAATTGAACTCCTGCAGAAGGTAGGTGGAGAAAGGGAAGGTCAGGTGAAATAGCAGATTGCAGTGACAGAGTGCAGGTCACGACACAGATCTCCTGGTCTGAAGGAATTTAAACCATAACCACCAAACTGATTCCTGTTCTGGATTGTTCTACATGATTGCTGATGCGGTTGTAACAAGTGGATGTCTACTGTTGAATTTACATGAGTGCACTAATTGATTTATAAATGTTTATGGCACTGAAAATTAACTTGACCAGTATATGTAAGTCTACATATTTCCCAGTAGGGAGAAAAGTGATACAAATACATATATTTCATTTGTATTTCCATTGCTTCTCTCTATATTGGGCTCAGAAATATTTGTGCATTCCGTAAATGTCAGGAAGTCTTAATTTCATGATAATAAAAATACAGGGAATCCACCATTTCCTTGTCAACTTGATGGAACAATTAATCATTCTCACGGACATACTAATGTTTTGTTAGGATTTCTTTGGCTTCCACTTCCAGACACTGGTAATTCTTGCTACCTTTCTCCACTAAATTAGATTAAAGTAAGTCCTTGTCAAGGTACTTATACATCACAGTTGATCTTCTTTTTCATCAACTAAACAGTTGTTTAAATGCTTCATTTCCAAGCTCATTCTCTAATTCACAAATCACTTAAGACTTTTTTTTTTTCCTCATGGCAACTTCTCAGTATTCATTATAATATAAAAACCATGATATTGAGTTTCAGTCTTACCAAAGTCACTTAATGCTGTAAGTGGCTCAGTACTAACATTGACTTTTCCAATTGCTTGACTAGATCAAAACACAGAAATAGTAATGCTAATGATAGTTTGATAGAGAATTGGCATGGAGGGACATTCTCAGCAGAATAAAAAGATGTATCTAATATGGTTTGCTTGAAATAGAAAGCTTCATTTAACCAAATGAAACCTTTCAGTTAGTTTTATTTTAGCCTTTTGCAATTAATCTATTTAGGCATATTTCAAAATGCAATTTCTAGTTATATTCAGCTGTTATTATTTGAACTTCCACATACATTTTGGACTTAAATTTGGCAAAGCAAAGAAATCAAAGAAAACTACAGCTTTTCTACTTGATATTTTTTTTTTACATTCTTCTAATAAATCCATATTACTTGGGTCTTTTTGTTATGGATTGGCAACAGGAGACAAATCTCAGTAATACTGTTTTCTCCAGTAATTATTGCTAAGCAGTAGCATGATAGACACAAATGAGGTTGTATTATATTTGGTATTTTACTTGGTGTGAGTAGTCCAGCACCTGTAGCCAGTGATTAAATTCTTCTTCAGTGGACCCAAAGTAGCATGAAATACAAGATCATTTCTGTTAAAATTTATTATCTGTTAATCATTTACCACTAAATTCCACTAGAATTTTAGCTTAGAATTCCTATACTAAAATCCACCATAACAATTCATCTAGCATTACTTAGAACCATTTAAGAAATAATTCATCCTTCTTACTGGTTTTATTCATTAGCCTGAAATATTCCTCTTAGGACTTTGCACAGATACTCTTTTTCAACCTGAGACATCTAAATCTTTGTTTGAAATATCCTAATTCTATGTGATTAAGTTACTATTGTGTCTTAAAATTATTATTGCATTTCATGATAAGGAGCTGTGACAACCTAAATGAGCATTCTACCCATCTCATCTCTTGACAAAATCTGCATGTGATATTCATTCTAGATACCACTCAAAAAGAAAAGGGGCTTTTTTTTTTTTTTTTTTTTTGATTTTCAGCCCTTCTAAGCTCAGATTCTTTTCCATTGTGACATGTTGGGATCCAAGTTTGTCTGAGATGCTTCCGTAATGATATAGAGTAAGAATGAAGACCAAATTAGTACACTGTATGGGTAGAAGACAGAATGTATTCAAAACACTGAAAGATTTTGGGAGGTTGTTTGTATTGTGCAGTTCTACCTTGTAGAGAGATACCCAGGCTACCTCTCGGTATGGTAGTGGAGATGAGTATAGACTAATTTGTCCTGCTTTAGCCTGTAGACTGCTGGTATCCAACACATAACCTTTCCAACATTATAATGCAGTGTATATTATCAGAAAAATAATTTAAATAAATCTGTTACCTAAGTAACTATTATACTTTGCTTCCATCATTAAACCAGAATCGATGGCTCACATTTCATCCAGAGCTGACCTCACACTGTACCTAGTGCGTGTGTTAAATTCTTTCTTCCTTTTCTTTATTTGAGTCATCCAATTACTTCAAAAAGTACTGTGAAATTAAAGTAGTAACTCCAGACAGTAACAGGATGACATTTCATAGCATATCTTGTTACTGTCATAGAGTTGCTGATGAACTACAGAAATGTATATTGCAAAACAAATCAAGTAACTGGTACAGTCTGATGCATTTGCTGTCACATTTTGATATTATAAATAAAAACTCATTGTGTTTTTAATATATGTACAGACTGATCAGATTTTCAGCCTAAAAGGAAGAATATAATATTGTTCATCAAGGTTTTGTGTTGATAGGGAATCAGATGGTCTTTTTCTCCAAGAAAGCTTTAATACAGGACAGTTGGATGTAAAAGAGAGATAGCATAGCTATTGATGCAGGTTTTCTAATCATTTATCAAAAACTCATATTCTGGGTAGATTTTATTAAACTTGTAGTGATGGATAACACAAGGCTTTATATAACCTGTCATCATGTGTTTGGTAATGTTTGTGAAGCCGATATTTTATCAGGTGCTAGCAATAAGACTTACTACTGTAGTACAGGAAGAGATATGACTGTGCTTGCAGGACTGAAGAAGGCTTTATTACCATGCATGACAGTGAAGTATAGTTTGGGTGGATGTATTTGGTTGTGACTTTATGGCCTGACCCAGCTTCTGTTGAAACCAATAACAGAGTAGGGTAGCTGTCACAGATGAAAATTAAGTTAACATAGCTGTATCGGTGTCCATCATGGGAGTATCTGGCCCATTAAATCAAAAAGTCTGTGAGGTGTTGGCTTCTGCTAAACTGGAGACTTTTCTCTGATGAGGAATGTGCAGAATGTGATCTTTGGGTTACAGTGATAAAGAGCTAAGGGACAAAGTTAGTGCATTACATGGCTATCAACCTGATGGTGGTTAATAAAAAGTTTTGCTTATCTTGGGCAAGCTTCAATAATGAAGATAGTGAAAACTTAAATGGAAATAGAATAACACAAAGTTATAGAGTTTCATTTTTTTTGTTTTTCAGGTTTAGATTTTTCTTGAGTAACGTTTGATAAATTAATTTGAGTTACATAAAATACACTTTTCTGCTCTTATCGATTCCCTCCTTTCTTGACTCAGTTGATTGGATCCGAAATTTTGCACTCCTATTTACAGACAAACTTTCTTGTGATTGCCATGAAGTGTTTTGTGAGCTATTTACTTAGATGATAAATACTGTTGCTGCATTTAAAGAATGAGCTTAATTTTTGTGTTTCTTTCTCCTAGTTGGTATGGTAGAATAACGAGCTCATTTTTCAGTTTTAATTTAGAGGGTTTCAGAGACACTTCTGATGTGTTCTTGCAATATGTTGAGCATGTTCATCTTGGCCCAACAAAATACCAATGCTATTAAGCTTCACTAAGATTCAATCTCCTAAAAATAAGCAGCTATTTCAGTGGCTTGGAACCAAAGCGCTATAGTAATATTGGTGGAGCCATCCCTTCAAGACCGTAATTGGCTTTGGATTTGAAGATACAGTATGCTACATTATGTGGTTAGAGCATACTATATGTGTCATAACTAATTGATTTTTCTTTCTTTTTCTTTTTCTCTTTTTCTCTTCTCATAAAAACAAGGCTCAGGTTGAAGCTAAGAAGGAACATGAAGGGGCAGTTCAATTACTAGAGGTAAGAAGATATCCTTTGTGTTACCTCTGCTTGTGGAGGCTCCATTCTGAATGTGGTAACTTTACAATATCATCACTTTTGAAAGTTTCAATTAGTATGTATGCAAATAGAGGGTTGTTTTTTTTCTAGTGTAATTGCATCCTTTAAGGACTATAATTCAGTTAGGAGTGCACTAAGCTGAGCTGTTGGAAGTGCTGTGGACACCTCAGTTTCTGTTTGTATAGAATGGAAATTTTGGTACCATTTTTGGTAAAATACTGTCAGGTATATAAAAAGGAAGTGATTACTTGTGAGAATTGTTATTGTTTAGACTGGAAGTAGAGCTGCAAATAACAATAAGCTACCCAAGGTTCCTAATTAAATACCGTCTAATAAACATAAAACCACATGCTAAAGAGCCACAAATTTTGAACCTAATAAAAAAATGTTGATACTTTGAAAAACCTTTAAAGGGTGTGATAGAGAGAGAACACTTCACTTCTTTTATTGGAAAGCTAGATTTTTTTTAAGTAGTATGACCTAAAATGTGTTTATGGACTTTGTATTGCATTGCAAGCCTTTCTTCAAGCCATTAATCCTAAAAAAAAAAAAGGAAAAGATCTAGTCATTTAGTCTTCTGTGCCTAAGGATACAGAATTGCTTGTGTCTTGTATAGATGTGACAGGAAGAATTGGAGCAAATTCTTACTCCCATTCAAAATCCATGAGCTTTCCTGACAGTTTTATTTGGAATAGGGCAAGATTTGCAAAATCTCTTTGTCTTCAACTGAAGCTAAATTTTTAGGGATTTTTAAACTGAGACACCTACAATAGTGAAGCCTTTATAATGGATATGCAGTTATGGTTAAATTATATATGAAAACACAAAAATTCAAAGGAAAATTGAAGTAAATTAATACACCTGAATACCTGCCTAGTGCTGACAAAACCTTTTATTCCCTTTGCTGTCTGCTGTTTAGAAATACAGACTGACCCACAGTGTTGTGCAAATTAGGACAAATGACAACATGTAGCAGAAATTAGAATTCCTTTAAGAAGGTTCCTAAAGCAAGCAATTGTTTCCCAGTTTTTCAAAACTAGTCTCAACAGATTCTTTAAGTTCCAGTCATATCATTTAACATACTTGATTAAGGTAAAGTGTCAGAAAATACAGATGCACAACTAAATAACACATTAATTGCATTCAGATTTCCTTTTTCTCTTTTCCCTTCTTCATTTTTTCATGCAAAATAGGATTTCGCTGGTAACTACAAACTAGTTTTTTCTGTCTGAGGAAAAGAAAAGTCATTAAATGGTTATTAAGTCTTAACATAACATACATATCATAAAGAACATGTGATAACATAGATTGATTGTAGCAAGTGCATTGTCAATATTTCATTTAGAAATATGGTTTTAGCAGATGGTAATTTCTAGTCTTTTTACCTTCTCACAGCAGTTCTGTCTGTGCACTTACTGGTCATGCATTGATGGAAGGTGGTTTTTCAGGTGTATTAATTGTCTTTAAAAAAATATTAGAAGTTTGCTTATTTGTATCTATAAAAGTTAAAATATTCCCACAGAAAGTGTTTTACTCATAGGCTTTCATAATCACCGTATATATTAAGTTTGTTTGGCCTTTAAGAATATAAGATTAAATTGTTATTTAATGCCTGGTGGAAAGTATATGGTGCAGGAAAACATAAGTAGAAACAAACCAGGGAAGTGATTATTTATCCCCCTCAAGCTAATCAAAATTCCTATTTAGCTGATTTGTCTTTGACCTCCGATTTGCATAACCCATCAGGATTTACTCAGCTTTTGCTTTTTATTCCCATAAGCCCATTAATTTAAAGCATTTTGTTTAATCTGCCTTTTTCAATTTAAGATCAGCAGTGGTATTGATTTCTGAAACATTCTATAGTGTGGTTTGCATTAATGCATGTTTTTACATGTGTTAACTGTTCTAATATATTTTGCTTTGAAATGTAAAAAAAGTGCTCAAGACTGTTTTTATTTCTTTGTTTATTTCACATCTCTTTGTTTACTGTGTCTTGTTTGGAATTTATTGCTTTGCACTTCATCCAGAGCACCTTGGACAGCATGCAGGTATTTTAGGGCATAAATTCTCCTTTTCCTGTCCTGAATCCTGCACTTTTTCCCTTTAAAATGAGTACGATAGTCCTGCCTAACCTTGCATGGGATGTGTGCTAGAACCATTGTTATGCAAGCATGCTTGGCATTTATTGGCCTAATACCAAATCACCAAAATCAGAAGTTTTTTATACAAGAGATTAATCTTCAAATATGGCATGATTTAATGAGAAATCTGATACTGGTTTTGAAAGTTTATTTTTCATGAGCATGCCCAGTAAGAATGGTTTGGTAGTTTATTCAAGATTGTAGCTTTCTGACTGTGTGGATTTTGTCTGAATTCAGATTGTTCCTTTGTTAATACAGAGATAATTTTATGTCATATTTTCACCTGAGGTTGATTTATTGAGCCACGTACTGAAAGCCATTGCTACTACATGAACAATTAAACTATGAAACGGTATCTCTGCAGCAGAATATGTGAGCTAATTACTAGTCTGAATTCAAGCCTGTCCACCTGGAAAGTTGCTCATCATCTTATCTGTCTTGTGTGAACAGTATATGTCTTGTAATGGATGAAGTCTGCTTCATTTTCCACTTAAGAAGCTGTTCAAGTTTTAGAAATAGCACTATGTATTGTATGAGAAACTTGGCAAGTCTTAAGTGATATACATTCAATATGGTCTGCAGTAGAGAATGTCTCTTCATACAACCACTGCTATAGGCAGATCCAGTTTTAAGGAGATCTGGTAGACTTGGTGCTTTTGTGCCATTGATATTAGGATATGCTTTATGGGCAGAACCATGATACAGGATAAAAACTTAGTACTTCTGGGAGTACAAGCACATACCTTACTCTGCAGTGACATACATGAACACATAGAATTTCTACAGTGAGGTGAGTCTGGCTGGCTAAAAATGAACGAAGCACCTCCCTGAAGTCAAGAAATAAAAATGGGTTGGGGAGTGCCTCCTGTTAGTACTGTTGTGGATCTTACTGCAATTTTTTCTTTATATTGTACCAGCTTTGTGCTTACTTCTAACTCACAACCTTGATTAAAAAAAAAAACGTAGTAAAGGCATTTTTATTCCAGGCTTTGTACTATCATGAGAAACAACTTGAAGATTCAAGGCACTCAAAAGAAAAGTCAATGAAGGCATATACAGAAATGCAAATTATTCTGAAATTAATAATACTAATACATTAAATTAATATTTTTTGAAAAATATATTTAAGGCAGCCTTAGCATCTTGTTGGGTCTGGACTGTGATGTTTTAATTTTTTTATTTTATGCTAGAGTTTCTATAACTGAATGTGGAGAGGTCAGTATATATTTTTAGAGAGTTGAAAAGCCCATCCTTAAACTTCCCATTGGAAAGAGGGGATCTAAAAACCCAAAACAGTTCAAAGCTTTGTTTGTTTAATGGTCTTTTAAAATTGTACATAGATGCCTCATTCATGCAGCAAATTAACAAGTAGCAAAGGCTCACTTTTCAGTAGCTAAAAACAACAGTGAAATGATGAAAGACAAAAAAAAAATATCAAAGCATTTAAGGTTTGTGTAAAACTCCCACAATGTCTCTGTATCTTATTGTTTTCTGTTTCATAATCAGTCAGATACCTTGAGAATTCTTTAGCAAAACTAAATTAATCTGTGGTTTTTGAATATAAAGAAATCATATCCTCAAAATTCACTGTAGTTTTAAAAATGGATTTGTTACCAAAAAAGAACAACAAACAATACCACCTTCTGCAGTAGGAAATTTGGAGTTTTGTGGTGTTCTGGGGTCTATAAGTGTTTTGTTTATCTTTATCGGTGGTAAGATCTTTGTATAGGTGGTATGTAATATATGTCATTTTCTTGATATGTGCACTTTTTCTTATATGAACTGAAAACATTTTTCTCTTCCAAGAAAAAGAAACCTTTAATACAGTTGAATGAATCTAATTGATATCCAGACTCCTTTTGTTAGTACAGTTGCTTAACTAGGCATATACTATAAAGGGGTTTTTAATGAAGGAAAGTGTTATATGTTCATCATAAAGCAACAGATTAGGATATAATGCATTAGGGTTTTGTGTAAGGGATTTATTACTGCCTCTGTGGAGCTACTTCTGCTTGCAGCATTTGGGTCACAGCACATAGGACACAAGGGGTCACAAATGGCACTCCTTCTCTGGCACATTTCCAGAGCACAGACCAACTGTTTGTCCCTACATGAAAATCAGACCTCAAAAATGAAATTCTTATGAGCTTGACTGATTCTTCAGTCTTTGCAACAGGTGTTAATATGCTCTTTCCTAACTCTCTGGGCACTCTAGATTTGTAGTTTTCCTCTTCAGGAATACCCAATAGTATATGCAAACAGATATACAGGCTGTTTATAAATGTCCATTGAAATTTAAATTCATTCTTTTGAAAATATTACTATATCCTTAATTTATCTGTTACAGTGAATGTGCAGATTTGAATAAAAGGGTTTTTTCATGCTTCAGTGTCTTCACTACTCTTATATATGTTTTGAGTAAAAGCTGTAGAAGAACTCATGAATTCCCATGCCCTTTGTCATACCTTTCAGGCCAGGGAATCTTTCCATCGCCTCACTCATTTTTTCACATCAGGATTTCATAAACCATATGTAGGCAAATTTCCCATGTCGGCATAGAAACTTATCTTTTCAGTTAATGTTTGTTAAAGCCTGATGCCTTAAAATTAAAAGAAAATTGTTTGCCAGCAATGATATTTTGGTACTTCTCACAAGATTACATAAAATCTTCTCTTGGCTGGTGTCTGGATTACTTCTGTGTGGTTTGGCCTCTACAGTGAGGAGCATTATTTTTGAAAGGGAATTCAGCCAGTAGCTAGGCCCACATTCTGCATGAACCACTGTGGGGATTTTGTTGTTGTTTTTTAATACATAAACGTTAATCTAGCAATTCAGAAGGCTTCAACTTAATAGCAGAGGATGGGCAAACCTCAGAAATATACCTGAGTTTTAGAAAAAAGTTGGAAAAGAGCATAAAAGTGACATTCAGTTGTGTGTAGAAGTCACAAAGCTGTAGGATCACAGGTGTTCTTGGCAGTGATTTCTTTAGCGTTGCCAACAAATATGACAAGGAATTTCCCCTATGAAAATTGGGGATGAAAAGAGTACTTACCTCAATATGACATGGCTACTAAAAGGTTTAGTTCTAAATATGGGGGAGAAAAATGTGATTGTGGGCCTGCTTATCCCAAATAGTTTGCCTATCCTGGCTTCCTGGTACTTTAGAAAAATTGGATGCAGTCACAGCTCACTCTGATCTCAGTCGAATGTCTGTGTTATGTCTTCCTTGTGCAGGCCAAGGTCCGAGAGCTAGAGGAGAAATGCCGGACACAGAGCGAACAATTTAACCTCTTGTCCAGAGAACTGGAGAAGTTTCGACAGCAAGCAGGGAAGATTGATCTCCTGAGCAGTAACTCGGTGGCATCCTCGGATATCCCTGGTTCTCCTGGTAAATCTCTATCCCAGTTAATGAATGGAATAGCCACTTCTATAGGCAAAGGTAATGACCAGCATTTTATTTGTATGTATTTGTTCTGCCCTTACTAGGTTTTAAGATGCAACTCAATGTTGTACATTGTGTACAACATTGTACAAATGGAGGATAGAATTCACTCCTGTTCCTGTTTTGTGATTTGTTTAAATTTCAGGGTATCTCTTAAGCCTTCACTGAGGTTGTTCCAGTTTTATTCAGGCACTGTTGTGAACAGAATTCTCTCTAACTGTTGTTAGGTGTAGTGATGAGAAGCCTGTTCAGTGTTAAAATTATGTATTCCTACTTTTGTAGGAAGAAAAAAGACTGTCTGCATATACAGGCTTCACTGTTTCAGGTACAGGAGCAGGTCTGTCATCTTGTTGAAGTAGCAGTTCATGGGGAAAGAAAGCAGAGACTCACACACGGCATAAGCCATTACATAAAAGAAACTTGTAAATAGAGCTGACTAGAAAATGGAAAAACTGAATGGAATATTTTGACAAACATGAAAATGGTTTCAGTTTAGTTGCATTTGTTCAACAGAAAATACACACTTTGTAAAAAATTGAAAGTAAAACATAAAAAAAATTTTTAAACTGAAGCAAACACTGTCTACAAAAATACAAATTCAGTCACACAGTCATTTTGGTTGGAAACGAATTTCATGGGATATATTTTAATAGAACTGAATAGGGGTAATACCTACAGTTGCTTACTAAACTGTGCAAAGGTGTGTTTAAAGTTTTAACTGTGTTTAAAATAGTATTTGAGCATGTAACTGCCAGGTGTTTTAGAAACAGAAAAGTCATAACAAAAATATTGTTGATTTGAGTTTTAAAAGAAACAGAGAATGTAAACTTAAAAAAAAATAAAAAAGTCTGTATTGATTTTCTTACACTTATAGTGCCTTGTATATTCAACACAGTATGTGTTTTTCCAAGGTCTGTGTTGAACTTCCACTAGGTTATCTCCTGTTGCCAGAGGCAACTGCTCCTCCTAAGTACACAACTTTGATAATGAATCATTCTTCATAAGAAAATTGAAAAGATCAAGGCAAGAGGTTAACTGAGGACACTTGAAAGTAACTTGCATGTAAATCACGTTAGTTTGTGTATTATTAGTAAGGCTGAGGAGTGTGCTCACCAGCTCAGTATCACCTGTGCTGGAATGACTTTAACTATTTGTTCTGCAAAGGAACACTTGTCAGGTAATTTCCATTACTTACAAATTTCCTCAAAGTTGTTTTAGAATAAGTACAAAGAGAAACTGGAAAAATGAAGTCGTTTTGACTTTTTTTTTTTTTTTAATTTCATCTTTCTAAGCTTCTAGAAAAATTCTGGGGCATAGGGACTAAAAATCACAAATCATTTCCCTATCATTACAGATGAGCAGTTATTTTCAGTGAAGGGTACTAAACTCAGTGTGAAACCATGTCAAAAGGAACCAAGGTGACCTCCTTTTTTCATTTCACTTCAGTAACTTTGTTCTTTATATGCCTTGGGTTTTTGAACACAAAATTTGAGCTGTTTGCAGTCATGCCCACTGTGTGCATATTAGTTTATAGGCTTTTCTGGAGCTGCAAGTTTTATCTAAGTGGATATTAAAGTGCTCTAAATGTAGAATTCAGAAAGCATTACCTGATAGCCAGAAGAATTTAGTAGAAATTTCCTTAATGCCGACGGGATTAGTTCCTCATGTCTCTAAGGACAGGATTTTCAAAGCAGCAACTAATTTTAAAGGAAAGGTAATTAGGTATTGAAATTACCTTTAGGCAGCTAGTGAAGGTCCAGTCTATACCCCTTGAATTGATCTAAATAGGTCCCAATCCTCAAATAAAAGTCAGCTAAACTTTTTGAGGTCCTCAGTCAATCTCTCCAAACTAATTTATATTTATTCTTGAAACACAAATGGAACAACTACAGCTTAAAAAAACCTTCCAAACTTAACAAACAGAAATCTTTCAAGAAATCCATGACTAAAAGCACAGAAAACACAGCTAAGTATGTACTGAAGTAATTTGAAGGTCTTGTTCTGTAAACCTTTTCCCATAACCTATTAATTTTTATGCAACTTAGAATTCAGGGCCTGTAGCACTAGTGTATAAACATCAGAAATACTTGGCCAATATTCATTCGCAGTATGAATGCATTGATAACAATAAAGTAACGTTTGAGCAAGTGGGCAGGATTTCTAATTATTTAAATCAACCATTTCACAATAATGATGGTAATGCTACAGCAAGTTCTTCAAACCAGAAGTGTAATTATTTTTATTATGTGTGAGGAAGAAAGAACACAAGAGTGAACACAAGGACAGCTTTCAAATCAAAGCAAATGACGGAAATGAGATCAGTTTATGACCAGCTGCTTTGCCTTAATTGGTGATGTTTGAATGTATCAGGAAATGAAATAAACCTAGCCAGAATAGATTAGAAAGTAAAAAGTTCACTCTTAACATATAATAATGTCACAATCAGTTATAGAAACCTTAAGATTTATTATTCATCAGATAAAAGGCTCATTTAAATGCACTTTCTAGATAATTTAGGTAGTCCATAATGAATCAGCAGTTCCAATAAATAAAATGAAGAGTCTAATTGTACTACAAGTATGGCCCGTTTTAATTCTGCTGAGACATTTAAACTATGTCTGGTGCTTTTCCTTGCCTCTTTCCTTGAAAGGGTGTTCTACAGACTTCCTTAACAGATATTTTCCAGTCATGGAACAGGACGTTTTGAGCGTAAATGGATTTTACAAGACTACAAACAAAATCCCTGTGCCTTTAAAAGATTCTTTTCTAGTATTTAGAGAAGAAAACAGACATTTCTAGAAGCTGCTTTGTGTTCTTATGCACTTAATTCTTGTATTTTTAATTTTTAACTCTTAGTTTTTTCCAGAGTGCAAATATAAAAGGAAAGGTGTTTTTATCTTTTTTTTTCTTAGTTTCCAGTGAATTAGCAAGCTTTAAAAAGTCTTTCTAGGTCTGATTCCTCCTTGGATGAACAAGAGAACCTAGTTTGAAATTGCTTTTGATTTTGGAGGTAAAGTTAAGCCAGTTTTTAAATGTAGCCATTTTTGTCTGTACTCATGTATTCACAATACACAAAAATAGACATCCTCTATAGAAATGATCAGGAGATCAGAGATTCGTGAGTTTTCGGGAGGAATGTAATTCATGCACAGTGTATCTCAATTTTTTGCAAAGGCATTGCTTGATGATGCTTGTGTTTATTTTTTTTTTACTCTATCTGTGGCTCTACATACATAGAATCAGCATGAATTTACATGTATTATTTAAGCATCTCATGACCTTTTAAAAAAGTCTTCTGTTCAGACTACCCAGGAACTAACTGCTAACCTTGTATGATACAGCTCGCCTGAAAATCTGTTCTTTCCAATGTATTGCAGATATTAGAATACCTTGAAAATGCAGTAATTTTTAAGCTGCTTCAAAAATTGCTTTGTGGTCCCAGATAATAGCAGTCCCACAGCATGGGAAAGAGCCTTAGAGGATCATCTTCTGTTATTTCGCACACTTGTTCATAGAGAGACAGAAGTCAGTGGCACCCAGTGCAGAGTTTATTGAGCAGAGAGATGTTGCATTGTACAAGTAACCAAATGAGTAGAGAAAGAGGGGACACTGAAGGCAGCAATAAGTCCAGTTAGGAAGACAGATCCATTTTGCATAGCTAGATTTAAGGCAGAAGCTGTATTTCCACATACATTGATGGATATGTGTATATACTTACTCTGATAGGAAGTGAGATATCTGAGTAGCTGTATCTAGTTATTAGCATCATCTGGAGCCATAGATGTGTCCAGTCACATGATGCAACTACAACTACCACACAGTTTTCTCTCCTATGTATTGAGAACTCAAGGTAAATTTTATGTACCTTGTTTTACGAGCATAAGAAATAAGACAGTTGAATATATTCCAGTGTCTTGATATTCCTGGAGTTCTTGATAATGTGTTCCTATCCTGGTTATCATCCTATATGTATGCAAAGCAAGGGCTATCGTGTCCAAGGATCTTTCTCCACATTTTGTATGTTGTACAACTAATTCAATAACAAAGCCTGGAAAATCCAAGAGGTATGTGACCAAACAGCAGTTTCCTTTGAATGAATAATCACAGTTGGACCAATTATTTATAGGCTTGGCACTGGCAGCCTGATATGGCAAGCACATTAACAGCAAACAGAAGGAGCTAAATTGGCTAAAGGTTTCTGAACAGGGATGTCTTTTCTGTTATATATGTGAGGAAGGTTCCAAGAATAAAAAATATGCCCTTTTTCAGCCTGGGGTTTGCTGTAAGCAGGGCTGGTTGTAATTAATCTTTTGCATGATGACTTGTGTATTTCCCTGCTGTCAATGTACTTAAGCTGTCCTGCTGTAAATTACAGTGATGCAGAGAAAATTAATCATATTGGACTAAGGAGCACACCAGAGAAACCCTCTGATGATATGTTTTGGAGCTTATTCTCCTGTGCAACATGAATAGAGAGTTCCACTGATAATTCCTGGTGATGTGTGTCTGGGAAGCTTGCAATTCAGTAGCAAAACATTGCTGTGTAGATTTCTGGCAGAACTGGAGAGGAAATGCTGAACCTACACATATCCAGGGACTGAAAAATTAGAGCATAGGTTCCTTATGTTAATGAGAGAGAGAGAAAAGAAAAGGCACTCTGCATATCTGATTGCATCAGCAATGCCTAGGCTCTGAACTTTGCTATAACTTCTGCTGATGTTGCAACTATAATTAGGCTTAGTTTACAATTTCCTGCTTGTTTTCATGTGGTGTGGGAACTAAAATAACAGTAAATGGGAAAAAAATATGGAAATATTTTATATTGCATTTTATTAGTCTCTCTTGTAACCTTGATGAAGTTGTTCTTTTTATTTGTCTCCTCATCATTAGGCCTGGTTTTCACTTGAGTCAATAGGAGATAAGAGTGTTCAGCCTCTTGGAAGTCTGTGTCCCTAGGTCCTTTAAATATGCAGTGTAAACTGCCTTTTCCTTTTTAAGTGTTAAAAAAAAAAACAAAAAACAAAAAACAAAAAAACACACAATAAAAATATTCAAAAAGCATTTCTGGAAATTTTTCTTTTTTCATAGCCTATGTTTTCTGGTTTTTAGAAGCTGGAGAGATGGTAGTGATCAAATTATGTGTTTTAATACTGGTGTTAATGAGGAGCTCTTAAGAAATATGAAGCAGGTGCTCTTGGAACTTAGTACCCTGAAAAAAAACAAACCACTTTCCTTCATTTCAAGAGTACCATCCTGCCAACTAAATTATTAGCATTTCAGTTGCTATCTTAAAAGATAAATGAACAAATTGATTCTACTTTACAGCATATGACAGAGTTCCTGAAATAAATACAAGGGTTCCAACAGCAGCTTTTTAGTGTTGGACATGTTAACTAGCATGTCAGATAACTTCTCCAAATATACCAAGGTGATCAGAACAAAGATGGATTTATTTTTTAATTAGGGGAAACTTTATATTTTATTATAATTTTAATTAAAATATCTTCACTTTCCATGTTTTGTTCCATTACATATTGTTGACTTATGTAACTTGCCAAAAGGCTGGGAAGTAGTAGGCTTAGCTACTTGTATGCTCTGCAGTCTACCTGCCTTAGTCTTTCTCTAGAATGATTTCTAACAAGAGGAAAAAATAACACACTGCTGCTTATTAGTTGTCAGTGTTTCTGCCTGAGAACACTTACTTATTCTCATATGTATTTTGTTCTCTGCCAGGTCATGAAAGTCCTTCTGGAAGTCGTTGTGTGATTTCAGAGTTTATACGACCCCTTCAAATATCTGGAGACAAACCAGAACAGTTGTCTGTCAAACCTACATTCCTATCCAAGTCAAGATCTGGTACCCCAAGATGCACATTTGATTCAGATGTGAGTCTTTTAAAATTTCTTACTGAAAATGTATGTTATGGGGCCAAGACTTCTCCTCTCCAGGGGACTGATGCAGGTTGATCCATCTGCTTTTAAAATGCCAAGACGTGAATGTTCTCATTTTCTGAGGCAACTTGGGAGCATAACCAGTGGGAATTTAACTGTTATTTTCAAAGTCGTCTCAGCTGATAGCCTAGTTACACAGCATAAAAAATGGGTGTGTGAGCACCTCAAGCTTCTCTGAAAACCTCAGCATTCAATGATGCATTCCAAGTGTTGTACTGCTTCTGTGCATAGGAGGTGTAAGTCAACATTTCTGTCTGTGTCTGTTTTGGTGTATGTCTATGTTATGTGGGTTTATAATTTTATCATATCTACCAAAAGGTGTGATTTTGATACAGCCTGGGAACATGGAAGAGAAATTCCATGCAGTGTCCTGTCCATGCAGGTATTTTCTGGCAGAGAAGTAGCTCATTCTGCAGGACTTGTTCTTTTACTGGTTTTCATGACGTGAATCTTCTCACTACAGCTAGGCTGATAGACCTTTTAACAGCAGTTTCCAGCACATTCTCCAAAACTGATACTGAGTCTGTAACCTGGAAGTGAAAGTTGTAGGATGTTGTCACTAAACTCTTCCACCATTCAATTTTACAGCTTGTATTTAATTGTACTTTTGAAAGGTTCTGTTCTTCCTTTCTTATAAAGGTTTTCTTGTTTTCAGTAGAATTCTAGTAGAAAGCCAATGGAAAGCTCAGAAGTGCTTTACAAAGGTGCCATAGCAATTTGGTTGTTGGTATTTGGGACAAATGTTAAATATAAGGAGGTATAGGACACATTGAAAACTTTATAGAAGGGTATTGTTTTCTATTAAATACTGGAAACCTGTTTTATATGGGCAAACAGCCATGAAGACATGATCTTCAGATTTTACCACTCACCTTACAGTCCTGAATCCCTTTCTTAATCTTTACAGAAGTGAATACACTGAAACTGTGTGCATATTTTGTATCTATTTTATATTCGTTGCTACTGAACCTGTGAAAGTTGATAGAATAAAAATATTTTTAAATGGATTACAAGCCTGAGTATAGTGTAGAATAGTCAGCAAAATATTGGACTCTTGTATGGTAGGAATTCCATAGGCATATCTACGGATTATCCACAAATAAATATATGTGTATATTTATGTGTACCAGCATTATTGAAAAGTGGGGACATTCATTGCTTTTTGAAAAGGCCACGGAAAAATCAGCCCAAAATAGGCAAACCAGAAAAAGCAGCTTAGCAATGAGGCTTAGGGAAGCAGAACTAACAGCAAGGAACAGAAGAAGTGCATGTCAAATTTAATTCCCTTTTTCTATTATTTGTGAGTTATCTCTCACTGAGTATGTCAAGCCCTCTTTTGCAGAATTGTTCGTTGTGTGCCTTCTAGGCTGTAATTATGTGATACATACTTACATTATGCAAGCTCACAGAAATTAAACTCCATTCTTTTTTAGAGGTATCCAGATCTAGAGGGAGAATGTATGAATAAAATCTAAAAATGGGCCATAATGCTCTGAAGTCTGAAATAAAAAAAAAAAATATATACTCTGCAAAAATGTATCCACAACTTCCCTGATTGTTACTATTAACAAAGTCTTCTAGAATAAGCATTATTGGGTTAGGTATGAGCTTTGTGACATGACTGTAAAAAGGTATTCAGGATGATAACCCTTGAAAATTTACCTGCATGCCTAAATGCTACACAGGGGGAAAATACCTCTTAGCTGACTATTACTGTCCTCCTCACTGGAAGTGGAGTGTTGGCAGAATAGTGTGTATTGTGCTAACCCAACAAGCTAACCTACCTCTTAAGAGTGAATTCAGAGGAAGAGTGACTTGACTCAGTATTTTTTTGGTGCACTTCTGTTCCATACTGGGAACCAAGCAGGGACCAGTTTAAGCCTGAAAGTTGCAGTTCAATATTCACTCTGTCCAGATTGTAAAATTTCAGTCAATTTTTGGACAATTTATCATATTTAATCCCACTGTTTAACCTGGTATTGCTACCTTAATTAAAGTCCTCTCAAGCTCAGGCAAAAAGTTGTCCATTTTTTCTAAGAGGGTTCACAGCCTACTGAAAAGTAAAGTGGAAGAAAGAAGTGCATCTCCCACTTTAAAAACTACTAGAGTCAAAGCATAACACATATTTTACTAGTGAGATACCTAACACAGAGCTAAAATAGGTCGAGTCTGTGTCGATTCAGCACCACAATTTAATCTCCAGGTTCTGTAAATCAGATTTGTACTGGAATAAATGTGTGGCTTTGCAGATTTGAGTTAAATATGATAGTAAACTCAGAGGAAATATATTATTTCTTTCAGTTAGTGGAAAGGGTGGAGTTCAACAGATGCTGCTGCTGTGGATTGGATTGGCAAGGGGGTACATTTTACGTGATACTCATTGTTTCCAAGTGTTTGGAAGTTGATACTTGCACCAGCTCTAAACTCGGCATTTGTCTTAAGTATTTAGTCACTGGTATCAGGTTTCTACTATTGTTTTCTGATTAAAAAATTAAGGTATCACCTCAGGTTGTCTATGTGATCATATAGCTATACTATGCCCAGAAACACTAGGCATATCACTTACAGTAGGTCATCTTGGAGTAACAGAGTTTACTATACTGTAATGAAAACTTTAGTAAAAGCTTAGTCAGGAGAGTGAGGCGGTCAGCAAGCCTGCTATGGTTAAGTCATGCCTATTTCTTTAGTCAGGAGCATGAAAGAGTCAAAATCACATCTCCTTCAGCCAGCTCCATCAACCAAATGACAAAGCACCAGTCTACTGGTGCTTTTTCAAATTTGCAAGCTGCTGAGGAAAACCAACAGCCAGTCTTAGACTGGTGATCTGAATCTCTAGCAAGTTGTCAATTAATTAACTCAGTTATTTTGCCCTGTTAGAATCTGAATTGCAGTTCCAGTGTAGCCTATGCCCTTCTAAGTAAAATTAACCAGTTCTGTTCCATGTTAGAATTTTTTTTTTTTAATGTTGCATGTTCACTGATTTATATTGCCTGTCAGGAAAACAGTGCATGCATCTTTTTGAAATCACATTGTCTTTTTTTTTTTTTTTTTTTCTCTATAGATGGATAATGATCAGAATTCCAATACCTCAAAGCAGAGATATTCTGGGAAAGTCCATCTTTGCATTGCCCGTTATAGGTAAAAATCCCCAGCTCATTACATATATAATACATACTTGTAATATCCAACGTTTGGTTTCGCTTCACTTTTATTCATTGCACTGGCTGCAAAATACTGCCATTTCCATGTGTGGTAATTGTCAAAGAAAGTTGAACATGTCATGGCTCTTCCATTTCCATGTGTGGTAATTGTCAAAGAAAGTTGAACATGTCATGGCTCTTTTACCCACTGCTGTATTTCTAGCCTTCAATGAGATGAGAATGTGTACCCCCAATCTGTTCTCATAAATTGCTTTGTCATCAATGCAAGAAAGATTTAGAAGTTCCTCACATCTTTGTCTTGAACATTAAAAATTCAGATATAAAGTACTGTCACAATAAAAATTTCTGTGACTAACAATTTCTTTCAGGATGAACGTGGCTTTAAATACTTTATAATGAGTTTTTTTCTATGAGTAGCTTGTTTTAGCTGTAACTCACTGCTTTTTTCTTTATTTAACTTTTCTCTGTTGAAGTTAATAATCTTGTGTAAAAGGCTGCCATATAAAACAAACAGAAAATGGGGACTAGAAAAGACCCCCACAACTGAGTTTGCTTTAATTCACTTTGAATACATGGGCAACATCATCTTTATTTTTTAGAGAGACCTAAATGAGAAATGTGTAAGTAAATTCTAAAGAAAAGGACTTGGGTTCAAATTTGTAGTGCTCAACTGAATAGGTCGCGTTTCATGACAGCCTGTCCATGATACAGTTCACAACACACTGACCTAGACTCCACTCAGAATATATGTTTCAGAAGGGAAGCAAAAAGGTTGAACTGAGGAGCTATGTTTCTCTGCAGCCTTAGAACTGTAAGTCTTTTTCTGATTAGCAGTGTGGGGGTTGTAGGTGAACACACATTTCCCATCTGTACTCCATTGCAGCTACAACCCTTTTGATGGACCAAATGAAAATCCAGAAGCAGAGCTCCCCCTCACTGCAGGAAAGTACCTTTATGTGTATGGAGACATGGATGAAGATGGCTTTTATGAAGGTATTTTTTTTTTTTTATCTGTGAATTCGTGCTAATTCATGCAGACTTGAATCAGTTCATCTGTCAAACACGCTCCCAGTTCTTTTCTTCATCTACTACTAAATCAGTTGCTAAAATTACCCCTATCATCATTGTGTTAATTAACAGAGTTTCTGCACCAGCAAAGCTGTTCCTTGCAGGCAAAGCTAATTATAAGATATTTTATATTGTCAGCTTTTCCTACTGGCAAGATTTAAGTTGTCAAGAAAGCTTACTGGCAGTTCTGGTTTTGCCTCACTGAGCCTTTACATTCTCAAACTGTGAATGTTGTTTATATACAGTTTTCACTTATATCTTCTTCCTTATCTTGTCCACTTGCATTGACATGCAAGAGGTATGTTCCTTCAAGGATTTTAATGACATTGTTCTTTCTCACCAGGGGAACTTCTAGATGGACAAAGAGGACTAGTCCCTTCAAATTTTGTGGATTTTGTTCAAGACAATGAGACCCGGTTATCAAGCACATTAAGCAGTGAACAAGATCAGAATTTTATCAACCATTCAGGTCCTACTTTGGAAGGAGATCTCTTGGAGATAAGTCCACCAAGTCACATAGACTCTAGTGTAATCAGCAATGGTGCAGGGACTCTGGATGTGAACATTGATGAAATTGGAGAAGACATTGTGCCTTATCCTAGAAAAATCACCCTTATTAAACAATTAGCCAAAAGTGTCATTGTGGGCTGGGAGCCACCGGTAGTGCCACCCGGATGGGGAACCATTAGCAGCTACAATGTTCTGGTTGACAAAGAAGTACGGATGAACATAGCCTTGGGAAGCAGAACGAAAGCTCTTATAGAAAAGCTTAACATTTCTACTTGTACATACCGAATATCAATTCAGAGCATTACAAACAAGGGTAACTCAGATGAACTGCAGTGCACTTTGTTAGTTGGGAAGGATGTCATAGTAGCCCCCTCAAATCTTAAAGTGGACAATATAACCCAGATTTCTGCTGAGCTGTCCTGGCTCCCTACAAATAGTAATTACAGTCACGTGATCTTTCTTAATGAAGAAGAATTTGACATTGTCAAGGCTGCTAGCTACAAGTATCATTTTTTTAATTTGAAGCCCAATATGGCCTACAAGGTGAAGGTCATGGCAAAGCCCCATCAGATGCCCTGGCAGCTTCCTTTGGAACAACGAGAAAAAAAGGAAGCCTCTGTGGAATTTTCTACGTTGCCAGCAGGTTTGATATTTTTCTCCCTACCACAAAACTCTCTCCAGTTAAGTTTCTCTGACAATACTAGATAAATTAATCTAACTTTTAGCTTTATACTGTAATTCCTGTCACTTTCATGAGCAGACTGGGGATTATTAGATTGCTTTATCATATCTAAAATGAATTCCTGTCCTGCATTATTCTCTTCCTTGTTCCTGGGTAAGGCCTGACGCATTTTTGGGAGATAAATTAGGGAAAGACATGCTTATTATTACAGATCACAAGTGTTTTATCAGAGTAAACTCCATTTGTATTTATTTTGTCCTGTTATGGTATTTCTGGTAGTAATTAATTTTCACTGGTGTGAACAACACTGGGAAAAAAACAATTACTTCTTCTGACATGTTATTTGTATGTTATTTGTATGTCGTAAAGCACTTTTTACACAGATGATCCAACCCTTTTCTGTAATGAAAAACAACACAGACATCTTAGAGGACTACACAGTCATTTAGGGGATATAAATGTATTTTGATTGTGAAGTTGTAATCACATTGTACAATTTGAATTTGTAAAGATAATGAATTGGTTGTTTTGGAAAGTCTGAGTTTTTTTCCTACCTTGTTTTTACATTAGGAATGTTGGTAAGTGTTACCAGTCATTTCCCAGTGTTTAAGAACAGTGAAGTAGCGTTGAAATCTAAAGCAGAAATAATATAGTGCATTTAAAGGATAATATCATAATTTTGGAATGTGTATGGCAGTACTGAAAAGATTTGAACATCTCTCCATATAGATCCATATAACCAAGGTCATCTAATCAAGGACAAGTAGAAGATTCCTTATATATTCAGACTTTGAGAGCCCTGAGTGCATCTAAAGCAGGGACAGTCAAGTACAAGTTCCTCCTTGCAAGTGAAATTTCAATAGTATGTATTGTCCTATGGCTTAATTGACTCCCTGCTGGGATTTGATTCTAGCAAAGGGGCAGGAATTCGTTCTGGTTTCTTCCTTGGCTTGCATGACTTACATATAAGGAGACATGCAGGACAGTAATGAAGGCTGAGCAGAGAGGGAGTTAAGCTTGTATGCCTACTGGTGTTGATTTATAGTTTCAGTGAAGGTGTTCTCAGCTTAGGCATTTTCTCTTTTGTCTTAAATCATTTCAGTGAGATAAGTGGTAGTGCTATTATAGAATCAGCTGGGGAAGGAAGCACTTTAAACTATGTATATGTTCTGTGGGAGTCGGGAATTACTACCTAGATGGTGGCTTAAACTTATTAGATATACTAACTTGTATTTGGGAAAGGCCTTTTGAGTGAAGTTCTTTCAGGCCAAACACTTAACATGCTGTATCTCCCTCTAGCCGCTGAAGTATGCTATAGCAGTACATGAGCTGTTCACTGTTGAGGAGCTAAAATACAGGAAAGCCTCTGCTTTTTGATCCAGAGATCCCAGAATATTCCCTACCACTACATTTCACAGAGAGCACTTTTACATAAGCATGTCAGCTTTTCACTGTTATATAGCAAAATAAAATAGAAATTGCTGAAGAGATTAGAGGCTAATGTTTGTATTTCAATAGTCATTGAAACAAAGGGAAATGGACGCCCATGAAATCAGAGTCAGAAATGGGAGTTACTATCATAGTGTGTCATATTTTGTCTTGCAAATATTACTGGCTTTGAGTAATCACATAGCTCTTTTTCCAAACTACAGTTAAAAGAAAGAAATTTTAAAAAGAAAAAAACCAAAAAAACACAAAAAAAAACAGAGAAAGTGTCTTTAGTGTGACTAATACTATTTTATCTCTCAAACTCTGGATTATTTTTCCACCTTAAATATCTTCAGTTGACCTACATTGTAAGGGACATGTTTCAAAGATGTTTTTAGAGTATGCTGAAGGAGCAATACAGATATTCTGTGTGAAGGGAATCCTTTGTTAGTGTGCTTCTCTAGAAGATGCATGAGGGTGAGTGATGTCACATAAACCTCTAGTTGTGGTAAATGTCAGGTTTAGCAGACAGTGCAGCATGAACTGCAACATAACTGGCCACAGGCAGCTGCTAATGTTTGTACTGACATTTTTCTAAGGGCTTCAGAAATGTTTACAGATTAATACACGTGCTCGCTTTATTTGAAGCTGAGAAGCTCTGCTCTTTACTAGTAGGTTCAGCAACATCCTTACAGAAAAGGATACCATCAGCCACTTATACCAAAAAGGGAGTGGGGACCAGTGAATATTTTCAAATTTTCACATTGTAGCAGTCTCAGCAGGTTTTTAGGAATACATCAGGCAAAAATGAACTTGAGAGAACTGCTCATATTTCAAAGCTTGAGAGAGCAGTTATGTGAAAAATACAGGACAATTGGAGGTCACCTTTTCATTTTTCTCATTGCATAGATATATCATGTTTTGCATGATTTATACTTGAAAACGCATTGCTTCCTATTGGACCAAAGCTGAGTGACAGCTCTTTAGTTGCTGAGCAGTTGAACTCCTCTTTTTGATCCACCAAAGCATTAAAATTGCTTAAATTAAAATATAAGTACTTCTGTTTTGGGTGCTCAAATCTAAAAATAGACAAAAGTATTGACAGGATCAGGACCAATGGGGTTTGAACTAATTTAGGTAATAAATTCATGAAGATCAAACTGTAGCAGATTTCTGGAAAAAACTTTCATGTTGATGACCAAGATCATGAAAAGTCATCAAGAGTAATTTCCCATTTAATGATGGGGGGACATAGAAACCATGCTAAGCCTTGGGCATTACAATTCTTTAAATCTAACTCTGCTACAGCCTGTGATGGTTGAGATAGATTCCCTGGGGATTGTTTGGTTGTGGAAGAATGGAAGAAAGGTGACTTCTGCAGGAGCAGATTAAAGTCACTGTTATTGACAAGATACTGGGCTAGATCAGATGCATTCCTTCTTGTAAACTGAGGAGCTTTGCTGGATTGAGGGTGCTGGCTGTCAATAAAATAAAATGGTCAGGGAAGGTAAAATTCAATCCTAAATCAAAATCTACATCTTGTCCAAGAATAGCATTAGGTCAGTTTGCATACTTTGGCCTTGCAAGCTAAAAATACATTATAGATGCAAGGGATGTTATAGGCAAAAATTTCATGTTGTGCCTGTAGTGTCCTGAATGTGACCATAATTTTATTTCCATGCCCGCTAGAGGATGAAATGCCGTGACAGCAAACTACTGGAATGCACTCATGGTTTGCCAGCATATCTGGAGTCTGGAGCTTTTGTGATATTTACACTTGCATCATGATCTGTTTGGTAGCAATGAATACACACAGTTAAAATAGTTGTAGCTTTTTTGGTAGATGAACAGAAATTGGTTGTGCTTAGCTCACTGGTAAAAGCAAACTCACAGCAACCAGTTTTATATTCACACGGCTATTATGCAGAGATGGCTCCAGCTGAACCCTGCTTCTGAAATGTTTTAGCATGAAGCACTTCTCAGGGTTTGACTGTTAAATTAACACAAGATGCCTGAAGTATTCATGAACTAATAATCTCTACGATATTTTTATTTTGACTTTCTGTCCAAAGTAGAGCAATTTATAGTAGGGTAATAATGTCCTCTAATTACAGATGTATTTGGTGTGCTGTTACACTAACATACTGTAAATGCCTTAAAAGGTTAGTAGGTGTATTTTTTTTATTTTTTTTAAGACTTTGAGTCCAGCTGTCCTTTAAACCAGCATGCTGCTTGTTGGAAAGGTTAAGGTTTCGGCCTGCAGCCCACATTTCACCTTCTGGCTCATAAATCTTGTCTTGGAGCGACTGATGGTCCAGAGAGACAGAATCTGAAAGTGAATTCTGAGTATGTAGTGTGCATTCAGTGTAGAAATACATACCAAAAAGTCACTTGCTGTCACCTGCAGCAGTTTTCCACTAACAGTGCCACTTCTGGGCCTTTTTCTCCCTGAATTTTTCTGTAAAGATCTTCTGCATTCAGAATAAGTAGTAGTTATGCAGCCTAGAGGGATAAAAATAGGTCCAGGGCAAGTTGCAAGTACAGACCATCTTGCAAAGAAATATAGCCTAGTTAATGGCTGTAAGCTGCGAGTCAGTGTCTGGCTTCATGGCCTGCTGAGCCTGTGCTTCTGATTTTACATAACAACTGCAATAAGGATATTTTGTTATCTTAAAAAAAAAAAAAAAAAAAAAGTGTTTTGAGATCTGTAGGTTCCAACTTACAGGTATATCAGTTGACATATATACTTCTGATCTAAGGCTCAACAGTGACCAATCTTGTCTGTCTTAGGTCCTCCAGCTCCACCTCAAGATGTTACTGTACGGGCTGGGTCCACCCCAGCAACCATACAGGTGTCCTGGAAGCCACCAACTCTGACAGCAACAGGGACCTCCCATGGTGCCACCGTCACAGGCTACGGTGTTTATGCGAAAGGTCAACGGGTGAGTTCTCCTTGCAGTGTTACAGTGACCATATACATTAGGTGAATTTCAGCTGACAGGTAAAGGCAACAATAAACATGTGACAGCACTTGAATGTGTGCAGGGTTTTCTCAGCTTTCAGTAGAACTTACTCTTTTGTTTGTGCATAACTTACTCATTAGCTTACTTCCTTTAAACACTTAAGCTTTTGGACAGATGGGTTGAAAAGATTAAAGATAACTGGTGCTAACTGGTGTGGAGCCCTAATGTGGACACTTGCAACCCACTCTGTGTTGTCAATAATTCAGTCCATGTTAAGACTTTAGTTGTGTTTAGGGGAGGGAAACAGATGTCTTCATGCTAGTAAGTTGTTTATTTGTGTACTCAGGTGGCAGAGGTGATCTTTCCAACAGCAGAAAACACAATGGTGGAGCTAATGAGACTGAGGAGTTTGGAAGCAAAGGAAGTTACAGTTCGAACGGTCTCTGCACAAGGGGAATCAGTGGACTCTTCTGTTGCTGCCATTCCATCTGACCTACTGGTGCCTCCAACCCCTCACCCCAGAACTGCTCCCAAATCTAAGCCATTAGCAAGTGCCGGAGCCCCAGAAACCAAAGAAGAACATTTAGGCCCACATTTAAAAATGGATGAGTCATGGGAGCAGACTCGTTCGGCATCCCCTGTTCATGGACACATGCTTGAGCCACCTGCTCCTAACTTTCACAGCCCACTCCAGGGGAGGAGGTCGCCATCACCTAACCGAATACTCCCCCAACCTCAAGGCACACCCGTCCCAAATACTGTTGCAAAAGCCATGGCAAGAGAAGCTGCACAACGAGTTGCAGAGAGCAATAGGGTAAAGGCAAACTTTTTCTTAAGGCTTTTTGGGGCTGGCTTTATTCATTGTGTCACTTTCCGTCAAAGAATATTTTCATCACATGTTTTAAGTAGTAACTAATCATTCCTAAACCCTGAAGATCCATAGTATGAGAAGAAGCAGTATGCTAAAATTCTGTGCCATCTTCCACAAATATGCTTGTAGCATAAAGAACATTGATTGGCCTTGGTTCATTATAGAAACCCTGTAACATCACAAGAAATGTTGTCTCCAAAAACGCAGTCTTACTTCTGGAAAAAAAAAAAATCATAATCATCAAAGTTTGTGCTTGGATCCTGCAGGAGTTAAAAGGGAGGCTTGTGCCTATGTGAGAAAGTACTGAAGTAATTTACCAAAACAATAAAGGGCAGTTTAAAAATGGGTGCAGAAATAGGCAGATAGACAGAAGTCCTGAGCAGACTTACCGTGAGTTAATTTTTTTGACAGTTAACAGAATGAGGACAGAGTCTCATTTCTATAGGAGAATCTAACCAGCAGTCATATAAGAGACATGTTTATATTCTAAAACCATCTGCTTTTTCAAAATAGCAAATAGCTGTTTAGATGCACATAAAGTACTCTTTTGTATGCTGTCATGGATCCACAGGTAATTTTACATATTTGTCCTTCAGGAGTGCCCCTTTATCAGTGCTACACCTTCACATATGTTTACAGCTGCTTCAACGTAGCTGCCATGTGAAAGCTTTTCATTACAGCTCCTTTTGTGGCTGCTAGAAACATCGCTACCCAAATGAGACTCCCTGGTTTTGAGACCATTATGACCCATGGCTGCTGTAGTGATTCAGATGTTTGATAGTTAAATCCCATATGTAAGGCTCTTGGGTCAGCATATCTGATGTGTATATATCATGACAACATCCTCTGGTTTCCCTACCCAAGCATACAACATTTAAATAATCCCAGTGCCCTGGGCAGTTACTTTCTCATCACAAGCTGCTCACAACCACCTGCTACTCATTTCAAGCTCTGGTATCACTTTTTTCATACATTCTATTGGTCATTCATCTGGCAATCATCAGTTGTTATGTCCAGTCTTTGGTCTCCCATCGCATCTCCAAAATAACTCCATTAATTTTGACAGTTCACACATGTCTTAACAGCCCCAACTTATTGAGTGTCCCTGTTTTGGGACAGAACTGAGATAGTGGGTGATGGTACAGATTTTGGGAAGCTGAATAATTCTGGATCAATAAGGTCTGCTAAATACATATGTATGCATGCATATATTTCTTCCCTTTGTTATTAAACAAAGCAAACTGGAATAAATGTAATAGGGGGAGAAAAGACAAATAGGTTTCTTTGGCACTCTGAGGTCAAAGTTGATTTACCAACCATATAGGAAAGACAATTTAAATACTATTTGTTTTTGAAAATTGCTGACATATTGTATGCTCTGAACCATGTCTAATATTAATTTTAGTGATGTTTGAAATGTTTAATTCAGGATCTGAACAGAAGTTTACAGATAGATTCACTCTAAATTAAATCAAATTCTGCAAATGATATTTGTCACATTTAGTCCCCAGTAGTAGAAATTCCTCCCTTGTGCTAGGTTGCTGCAGATGAAGCTGTATCTTTTCTCCCTGCCCTTCGTCCAGCCTGTTAGATGGCTGATGGTTATTCTCATGAGAGTAAGCAACAGGAATCAGTACCTGAGTGTAAGAGTCACCTCAGATCAGAGGAAAAGCATGGTCTAATTCTATTTTATAATTTTTTTTTTTGTGATGAGGTCAAAAATGCTGTAGGTACTAGGTTGTGTCTTCATTAGCAGTCTCGGACTGTAGAATACTGAGAATTTTGACTTAAGTGGCACAGGAAAGAAAGCTAGCAGGTGAGTTGATGGTCACATAAAAACATATAACTTTATGGATGAGAGAAATATGACAAATAAAAAATTTTTCAAAACTCCTAAAAGGTTACATTCAGGGTAAGCTAACATTGCTTTAAGCCACGAGTATATTTAAGTGCTGTGTTCTTGAGTTGTTATGTCTTATTTTTACTGTTTCTTTCACTGCTTGCAAGAACGAGTCCGCTTCACAATTTTGCATTTTTTTGTCGCTTTGCTAGATGGAGAGGAGGAGTGTTTTTAGTGAAAGGAGTAATGCAGCCCAGTATGCTAACTCAGATGATGAGGAAGATGGCTATGATTCTCCTAATGTCAAAAGAAGGGGGGCTTCAGTTGATGATTTCCTGAAAGGGTCAGAACTTGGAAAACAAGTAAGTAGCCTGGTCTTTTGATTGTGTCAGGTGTCCAACGTGAAACAGGTATTTTATGAAGCTCAGCAGGCTATCCAAGTCACCATCTGATTACTGTAGCCATATTGGTAAGCTACGTAGACAAGCAGCTAAATCGTGGGGAGGTAGATGAATGTCCTGTTACTGGAGTATAGCAGTGTCTAATGGGAACAGAATACTTGGCACCATGCATCTATAGATTGTTATCCCATGTAGCAGTCTTCAGCACTGGAAACTGAAAAAGCTGAAGCTGAAAAAATTGAAGTTGAAAATGTGAGTGGAATGTCATGTTTGAGTTCTGGGCTTTTTCTGTATGATATGTTACTACTGCATATGAAAACATGCTATGAAAAAAGGGAAAAGAGGAAGGATCTTTGTGTTTCATAAAAGCTATAAACTGTAATCCTAATTAGCGGAAAACCAGTACCATATATACTTGACATGTTGTAATGAATAGGAAGATGCCAGAAAAATTTTGCACATCTGTGCAGCTTTTGGTTTGATCCCACTGGAAACAAATATAAAGTAATTTATTACACTACTTTCAAGAGAGATGTGAATTCTAGCAAAGATATATTTAATTATGTTTTAGCATGGTCAAATAATCTTATTAGCCAAACATCTGACCTCCCATGTTGAAGGGTTCAGCAATGGCATTCCTTCTTGTACCAGTTCTGAAAATTTCTGGAATTTTTGTTCCCTTCATTTTAGAAGTTCAACCATTTGTAAGTGTATAAACATTGTTTCAAATTTCCAGCATTCTAAACGTGGCTTCAGAATTTGATTTTGTTCCATCTTCACATGCAATGGTTCCCATTTTTAGAATACATGAACACTGTGATTACAAAATGTGCTTGTTGGTGAGATGTATCTGTACTTCTTTATACAATTAAAATTATTCTGGACACAAAGAGGCCAAGATTTTCTAGTAGGACCAGTGACCTTATTAAGAAGGCCCAGTGTAACAAGTTTAGAGTGTTTGTAACGGAGCAAGATCAACTTCATTTTTCTGATAACCGTACTTCATATTTAACCTTGGTAAGTAAACTTTAGGGTATCTACCATGTGAGTACAAAGTTGCTGCTCCACATGGACTTACTACCTCAGATAATTAAAGGGCGGTTTGGAGGGTGTCTGCTTTACCAAGCTCTACAAAATAGGAAGTTTGTATATGAATATTGGAAGCCTGGGAACCCTTAAAGTTATATTCCTTGAAGCCTAAAAAGATAAAGCTCTGTTATCTACTAGGAATATCCTCAAAGCTAGATTTGAAATCTCTCTGGTTACAAGTATTCTTAGATCTGATTATGTTTCAAGTTTAGTTTTCATGTAAGGCTGAAAGAATTCCTCACTGCTTTAAAACACTATGTCACAAAATGCACTTTGAGAAATAGTGGTTAAATTATGTCTGGCAAAACAGCTGCTGTGTGTTAAGTGTAATTTTATTATTAAATATTTATTTTATAGTTTCAGAGATACACCTATTTGTAGTTTAATTGCTCATTTACATTGTTTATGAAAGATGATCACTTTTACCTCTTGGTTTGTTAGTGAAAAAATAATTGGAGAAACCTAATCTGTGGTGGTTTTCTCCATAAGAAACTATCAGTTTGCTGATTTCATTGTAATGTTCATGTGCTGCTGGTGTCTTCCAGAAGCAACTCCTATTCTGTATGATGATTCCCTATCAAAGGTCTTTGGTTTCCTGTCAGTTGATGTGCCTTAGTCCATAGATAAGAGTTAAAAAACTGCAAGCAAATGCAAGTAACTTTGGTGGGTTTTTATCAAGCTTTTTATTAGCATTAGATATGGATACTAATGGAAATCATTCATGTCTGTCACATTGTATTTTGCAGGAAGATATATTGATTTTACACTCTCCAGTTTAAAATGCCCCACAGGGAAGGGTGGCATGGATCACAATTCTGAAACAGCGATGCAATATCAGTCTCTCACAGATTTTCTTTGTGAACTTCGACTTAGAAAGTTAGTCTTTCTTGCCCAGATCCTCACAAGTATTTATGCATCTAAATATCTCAATACTTCTGAGGATCTGGGTCAGTGGACTTGTCAACCAAGACTAAAATGGGAATAATAATTCTTTCTTTTGTCACAAAAATGTATGAAGATACTGTTTTCTGATTTGCTTTGTGAATAGAAAACCAGGCCAAGGGAAACAAATATCAGAGACAGACCTGAAATTCAGAGACAACTTGGGACATTTGCAGGAAGGGCAATCCTAGATAAGCACGTGAAATAGTAACCACAAGTGCACGGAATATATGACCATAGAGATTTTACTGGAAATCTGCATGTATAAATGCACCCAGTTATTGAACATAAAGTATGCATGCCCTGTTACATACAGAGTTAATAGATTGCAAGCAGAATTGCATAATTGCTTATATAATATCTTCTAGTTGCATTTTATACCTCATTTAATGCAGTGCTTGAATGAGATTTGAATAATTGAGTGGTTGTTTAGCAAGGCATTCCTGCTAGTACAACCACAATGGGTAAGCCTTGGAGGCAGTTTGCTAGGTCTCTGTAGTTTGATGGCCCATGCAATTGGGGCTTTATTTCAGCAGTACTGACCTTTGATAATCTACAAGGCATTGTGCACTTGCAAGTTTTGTAGTACTGTGCCAGTGCAACCCCCAAGTTTCTTTGAATACAGCTGAGAACAGGAGTGCAGGAGTGATTTTTGTAGGAAAAACAGGACTTAGATTCTGATGGAATAGAACTGATAAAATAATAAAATTTAGTATAAGAGCCACAATGTTTAGATGTGAAAAATGAAGCATTAGAATATAGTCTGATGTTTTAACTTCAAAAAGAAACCAAAAACTGTAGTACCTTTTTTCCTAAGATGATCCTAATATAATGCATAAACACTTATGGGCTTGGCACTGAGAATTGCTACTAAAGGCTTCACCCTAGTATCTTTTCAGCCCCAGAACAAAGAGTTAAAAGGAGAAACGGTCTATTATGTTTGGAGGGCAAATCCATCTTCACTTTGGAGAAATTGCTTATTGTAGACATTTTCTCCTCATTGCTGGGATTGATTGATATCAGTGTGTTACACAGGTATGGGAATCGATCTGGCACCACAAAAATTATTTCTTTATTAGTATCGCTGGGGGAAGGAATGTGGTAATTTATAGCAGTCTAGTACTTCTAGAATATTTGATTCTTCAAATATTCTACTGCAATTTGACAGTCATGTCATGACTCCATTTGAAAATTTTTCATTGAAAATACAATGAGTTTTGTTTATGATCTGATTTGTTAGATGTAATGCTTAACAGAGGCCACTCCTATTTAACATTAATAATTTAGTAGGACATATTTTTTCCTCCTTATCTTCCAACCAATTGGAAACCGAAAGGAACTTGAAATATTTGGACTAATTTAAAAAGATAGTTAAGCTTTTAGCCAGTGTCTTCCTACAGTGTTTAAGAGAATGAAAGCTTCAAATTTCAACAGCTAACTGTATCATACAATGATGATAGCATCCTGCAAGAATTAAATATTGATCACTTTTAAATTACAATGTGATGTAATGAACACCTATGAAGAACAGATGGTATGTGAATTATCCTAGGGCTTTTACAATTTGGTCAGCAAGTCTATTGATGCATGAAGGACCTCTTTAATCAAGACTAAAACTAGATTTGGTGCTGTGAATGCAAATATCCTTTTTTGTATCACCTATGAGATTAAGATTAGTTTTCTTGAGTTGGGGGCATAAATGGGAATAAAAAGATTTATACATGATCACTCCACTAGAATAGAGCAGCAAGTCACATGATGTATTTTATAGGTGGTTATTAGTGTGATATACAAAACTAGGAGATGCTCTAGTCCTCATTGGTGTTATACAAGGATTTTCAGCCCTACAATCAGTTAAGATTTTTCTGTCTCACCATCAATTAGCCTCACTATTGCCATGGTGAAGAGTACCACACAGAGAGCAGCAGAGGTTCTGATTTGTCTGATATTATGGAAGAAGATGAGGAAGAGCTGTACTCCGAAATGCAGCTGGAGGATGGAGGAAGGCGACGAGTCAGTGTGACTTCACACAATGCACTTAAGGTAAGTGTGACTGCAGAGAAACCTTAAGAGTACCTCCATATTTTGATTCTTCCTTCAAAATGTTTCTTTTAGTCAATTATGGATTTTACAGACCGTTAGAACTCACACTGTCATATAGACCTAGAACTACAGTAAACATTGTTTATGTCAAGGCCACTTTAATACATTTAATACTTTTTAATTTGCATTATCTGATAGCTAAACTTTTAACTAATTGACTATTTTCCTGTATGTAATTGTTGAAGTTGCAATTTCTGTTCTGTATCTGGGGACCTTTCCCATGTTTATACAACAATATACTACATGTGCTATTTGGACAGTGTGTTGTTTCTGAGCAAGGTGATTTATATAAACATACATACATATAGAAAAACAAACAAACAAACAAACAACTTGGGTTTTTCATGTCTGAGTAATTTGTCCCTGTTTCCAGTGCTAGTCACATCTCTTCCACAGGCTTTAAATTGTGCTTGTAAGAAAGGGAGTTGAGTCAGATTTGTTTACATATGCATTATCAGAATTCCTCATTCTCTGATTATTATGGAATTACCAGAGACAATAGGAAATACCTATCTGAAATATTGCTTTAACGCTACACAGGAATATCCATCATGAAAGACAACTTTAGGTCAACAATTAAAGCATAAGTAGAATGTTGAATCTACCCAATACAGAATATATATTTTCCACAGTATATTTGTATATGTAAGTTGTATTTGTTTTTTATGTGCCTAGCAATTACACTAAATTGTGTTAGAAAGTTGGATAACTTGAGCGATAGGGAAACCCACAGGTTGATTATTCTTCCAATATGCTATTATTTAACTATAAAACATATTATTTTCTCATGCATACAAAAATTTTGACCATTCTTTTAACTGTTTTCATGTACTGTAAATTCAGTCCCTTTATTCTGATACTATCTGGAATGAACAGGTACTTTTTCAAAAGAAAAAATAATCAGTGTTTCTATTGTTCTGCTAACATAAAGGTTGAAACTGAAATCCTTCTGCATGCTGCTTATGTCCCATTCCTCTGGGAAAAACTGAATTATCCCTAGACTGTTCTTGTTCTTCATGCATCAGAAAGTATATTTGCTTCTTGGTTTTAAATTAGCATTGCCAATGTTGATATTTAAAAAGAAAGGTCCAGATTCTTAACTGGTGTCGTAAATAATTTTAAACCCATTAAAGTCTGCAGACATACTTCTCTTGATGTGGTAGTGTATATGAAGGTTACGGCAGAAGTGGAATTCAGTATACAAGTCCTTCTTGGGGAAGGACTCATGGATGTCTGAGTCTCATTTGGAGAATATGGCCCACCATGCTGATAAGTTTTCTGATATAAAATGCAGGTCAGATTCTGCTCCCAAAGTGCTCAATAATATCCCCCTCTTTCACTAGATCAAATTTCCCTTTTCAACATCAGAAATTGGCAAAAAAATGAAAAATGTGTTTACTGAATTTTCCATAATGTAATCAGATTCCTCTTCCTCTTGCATCTGAATGTATGCCAACTATGTCCTTGCAGCTGTAATTGAGTATTCTCTCCTGATTTAATAGATGCCCCTAAGTTACAAGAAAACATTTTGCATCCAGATATATATTTACTTTATCGGGAGATTATTATTTCCTCCGATGGCTCCCTAAAACAAAGGCTGACACAGATGATCAAAGGAAGATTCAAATCACTTACCTAATCTGAGCATTCTAAAATGTGGAATATTTGAGCTCCAATCAAAACTATCCCTGTTCATATTTATGGACTATTTTCCACTTTTATCGCAGTTTGTCTCAGAAGTCTCACAAGTATGACACATATTTTAAAAACTAATGAAACAAGTGTTGTCATAAAGTAACTTAGAAAGTTCCTAATGCCTGAAAGGGGAAGACATCCAGAACTCAGTGAAGTTTAACATGCTCAGAGAATGAGCTATTGAAATCTCCAAGATGATCCTGTCATTATTTATGGGTGCTGTTGTGTCCAGAGACCTACCTGATCTGGGCATTGAGTAAAGCACAGGGAGAGGCGATCTCCGTGATGTAGAATTCATAAACCATGCTAATCAAAACCAACACCTCTTCCATCATTATTCTCTTGTCTCTTCCCAAGAGTCCAACAAAGTTACTGCATAGGATTCTTCTGTCACACCAACCTATGTTTTGTGTAAATGTAATAGAAAAATTACAACTGTATCTCTCCTGTTTAGAATGCTTATTATATCCAGGATGGGATAGTTTTTACGTACTTCTGGTATAAAAAGAGACCTTTACTTACTTCTGCTAATGGGCTGATTTTCAAATATTAGTTTTATCAAGCAGGTACAAGATTATGATGAGAGATTTGATGACAGTACAGACCAAGTGACATCAGAGAGCAGCCTGCTTCTCAGGGTTCTTTCTGTGGAAGCCAAGCTTTAAAACTGGTGCAGTTTTTTTTACAATTTTACAAAGGAAACCAGAACTCCTTTAATGATGTCTGCAGAATAGCTCTCCTCTGGCAGGAGATTTAGGAGTATTTGTTACTCATATAGGATGCTTTAACAGGTACAAAGCAAGAAAGCTTGCTAGAACAGAATTTTAATTCTCGGATATGGGTTCTGGTTACAAAGAAAACGTCAATAGCAGTTTGGCATGGGGCAAGGAACATACTAAGCATTAGTGCTGTGCTTTAATGCCATTCTCATTCACCATGCTGGAACCTGTATGCAGCTTTTATTGCTTTGTTTTAAATGCATGGGTTTATTCTTGTTAAGAGCATCACTCAGTTGTTTGTACTGACCTCTCATGTTGTTGTCTGACATCCAGCAACTTCTTAATCATGTCTTTATTTTTCACAGATTCTCATTCAAAGCATGACATCCTTTCACTAAATAAGCTGCATGTCTTATGTTTGCCATTGCTCTAAAACTAATTCTGTCTTTATTTTTCTTTTCTTCTCCCTTTTCCCTCCCATTTTATTTTTGTTACACACTATTTGTTCCCTGTCTGGTTTTTAACATTACATAATCTTAAGGAGTGCGATAAGAATAAGACCACTGAAGCCACTTTTTTGGAACAGCCTGACTTTTCACAGCAGATACATCACAGTAAAAAGCTTTTCAGTATTCCAGAAGTAGCTGAAGAGGATGGTGAATACTCTGAACTGCTGTACAAGCAGGGTTTAGGTATGCCCTATAAAAAGAATCCCACAATAGCTAGAGACTCTAGACCACCTAGGCCCTACAATCAAGACCAGCAGCACAACTTCTGGTACCCAGCCAAACACAGAATTTCAGGCATGGAGGATTTTGCTGCAGAAGACAAAGGATGTAAATATAGCCGTTCCTTATCAAGAAGCCCAGACAGTGGACTAGACTGTGGAAGTGAAGAAGAAGAATCACGTTTTAATTTCAGATATACTTGCGATTCAGTTTCTGCCAACGTTGCTTCTAGCTGTTGTGCAGAGACTGCTAACTGTTCCTGCAGGAAAAGCATGAGGCCATTGCTTGCTCGCAGGAAAACTTTAACAAGACAAACCAGCATTGAAGAAGACTTTGGTGACTTGGGTCCTTCCTTTGTAGACCCCAGGAGTGAACAGGTCAAGCCCAGTTACGAGAAAAAGTATGACACTCAGAAATGTAATAGAACAGATAATTTGTCTAATGAAGATGTTCAGGGAGGCTGGAAGACCGACTTAAAAATGGCTGACTCTAGGGCAGCTGGTCTACTTGCAAAACCATCCCACAGAGATGCAGAAGACTCTCTGGTGTGTGAAATAAATCTTCCTTCTAACATCTGCTTGCCAAATCAGTCTGTTTTCTTTCTTTTGTTCCTTTTATCTTTTCTTATTTTTCTTTTTTTCTGATTTAATTTTTAGGGTCCATCCTTTGGACCTATCTGCTTCATTTTTTCATTTTTTTTTTCTCCCCATTCATTTTAGTTTACTATTCTGCATTTTCCTTTACAGTCCTCTTTTGTGTCATGCTGAAATCAGTTTAATTTGCTTTATAATGATTTTCCCACAGAACAAATTACAATAATGGTTGCTTTTATTAAAGGACAACTGAATCTAAATTTTAATTAAGGGTTAGCTGAACTATAATTTTTCCAAAAGATTGTTTTCCGTTATTTTGCCCATCTAAATGTTGCTTTAAAATAAAAGCTGCATTTTAACTGGAAAAATATTTCATCAGTAATTTTTTTCTTTTTTTAATGTCAAGGAATTCATTTCATCATGTTGTTTTTATTCACCTCATTCCCAGAATTTTCAGGATATGCTCTTTATCATGAAACATCTCTGGACAAGAATCAAGATTCTCCCCCAGTGTGACAGTGACCCAGATTTATGGAGTCACAGGTTTCATCATATTTCCATTTTCTACCTTATCTTTGCAATGTCACTACTTTGCCTTCCTTTTTAGACCACCTCTTCTTGCCTTTGAAGTTGCAGACTGCATCTCTGCATGAGAATGCAGGCAAACAGCTTCTTCCAAAGGGAGAGGCCAGGATCATTCCATATCTTCCAAGGATGCCTCTGCGTGTGATCTTGCCTATTTGCATTTCTGTCCATCTATCTATAGCCTCCACTGTAGTCTCCAATCAATCTGTAGTCTCCAAGCTTTGATAGATGCATCCATAGGCTTTCCTGCTCCCTGAAGGCCAAAGCAAATTCTTTACCCTCTCAGTCTGGAACAGTCCAGAGTGGAAACCTCAGATCTAATGTGTTTCATGTAAGAGTAGAAATCAGCTGACTGCTCTTCTAGCCTAGCAGTTTATTCTGAAATGATCCTTAAAAATTTCCCCCATTAAAATTGGTGCCCAAGCTGTATTAATCTCAGTGACTGCATGATAAACTCTGAAGAGCATTAAAATTATACCATTTGCTTATTAAAATAGCAACATTTTCTGCAAGGGTAGTGAACAGAGACAGCTGTGATGTGAGATGAAGTGTGTCTACATTCCCTTCTACGTGTTTCAATGACCTTTAAAAGGCTTTAACAACAGAAGGCCACTATAGAAAAGCACTGTGCTCAAAGACAGAAGGACGTACACTTGTTCACATGCTACAAACTGGACAAAGCTATATAGCTGAATACAAAAAAAGGCTTGCCTTTTCAGTGCAGTCCAATCTCCACAGCTCTCATGACTGGTTGTACTACTCTTCAGGAGATTATAACATTACCTTAGCAGCAACAACAAAGGCAAAAGAATATTTCAAAAATTATTCTTTTATTTTCTTTTTGTTCTGATGTGTGACTGCTGGTTACAAAACTTGTCATAAATCAGTGAACCATTTTTTTTCTTTTGCAGGTTTGCCAGGCAACTGTATTTACTTTTCAGCTAACCTTTCAGTTAAAAGCTAAGTTTAGTTGCCTTTAGAGCTTATGCTTCCAAATGTGATTGACCTGATTGATGTCCAACCATATTACCATAATGTTACCATGCATGTAACTTACCAACCTGTTTTTTCTGTTGTTGTTTTTTAGCTTTTAGGTAATCCATCATCTGCAGGACGGCCTGAAAGGGCGGAGCATGCAGGACGAAGGTCCTCTCATGGCAGTGCAGTGCCACAAAGGTCTCGACCAATGTTGGTCCCTTCCATTGGTTAGTTGGACAGATTGGTGAATTTCTGTTCTTTGCAGACTCAGACTTGGGAAGGTGGTCCTTAAAAAAGGAACAACAGTCACTTGTCTTGAACTATGGTTACCCTTAGTTTAAATGGGATGAAATGGAATTAAAAACATCTCGTACCAAGTATAAGTGTACTGGGGCTTCACAGGGGACTGAATCAGTAGTCATTGACATCACTGGGAGTCTTTTCATTGAATTTAGTGGATATTGGAGCTTTTCTAAGCTTCGTTAAGCTTAGATGCTGTTAGATCTTACCTAAGAAGAAAATTGCAAACAGGCTACTATATGATCAGTAAAACAAATGTACCCATTCAGCCATCCATTCAGCCATCCATCTTTCCATTCATCAACCATCATTTTGCATTCACTTTCCATTTTCTTGACTACTTTTTGGAATTTTTCAGGAAAAAATGGAAGCTGTTAAATATAACAAGTTAGTAGAAATTTCATATATTTACTAGATTTTATATTTCTTACAGAATCATCCCTATTCTGCTTTACTTATGACTTAAATTATATGTTGGTGTATACCAGAAAATCCAAAAAATAGTGCAGAAAAGATAATGGAATCAAGACACTATGGACAAATACATATCTGTTAAAACTTGCACTCTATACTGACAAATAAGAAACATTCACACTGAAAATCAGGAAACACATGCAAAACAAATGCAGGAAGATTTCTGTGAGCTATTAGCAGAACTTCACTCCATGAAGATGTAAAGTCAGTCTGGTTCCCGTCCCTAACCTGGACTTTAATTTGTGAATACTGTAGGACTCAGGAGGAGAAGCAAGCAGTGTTAGGCAATTCTCACCTGACATTTATGTGACTAAGAGACATCACAAATGGGGATTACCAGAAAGAAAAAGACTGATCATTAGGGAATGCTTTTATTTTTAAATATTAAACATTTTTCCCTTTTTCCCTTTTCATAGAATTACACTCAAATGCCTGTAGTGTAAAATAAAAGCAAAATCTCCCTAGTGGGCGCAGTTATTTTGCTATCTAGTAGATAGCAATTATTATTATTGAAAACATAGATAAGAAAACACACACAGCTATAACACATGAAACTGTGTTAGTGTCTTCAATATAGTATGATGGGTGAGAGGCTGATTCTTGTCCCACATCCTGGTGTAAACCAGGATAATCTTCACAGATGTCAATGGAATTACATTGGTATGAAAATGGTATGGAGCAGAATCAGCTCCAGGGAGGCTCTTGTGCTTCTTTTGACAGGTTATTTTTAGCTGAAACAAATAGCTCGTGGACAATGGTGTGAAAACTGTTAGATTTTCATGTCCTTTTTCTCTGCAAGCAGCCTTTTTTTCCTCAGGAGTTTTCACTTTTATGCTTGGACTACTTGAGGCAAGTTTTTTATCTAAGTTCTTTCTATTATGTTATCTGATAAAACTTTTTTTTTATTAATAGTGAGAGAGTAGACAGGTTGGTTTGAATTAATCCTTTGAGTTTCCTTTTAATTTTCATTTTAATTACAAAATAAGGGAAGTGATTAAATTTATCAAAGCTCACTTTCTGTCAACAAAGTTAGGACATGGAAACCACTAAGTAATGACTTCACTGTTTAACAGTTCAATAGCAACAGCTTAGGAATCAGATAAAGAAATTAATTTCTGATAGTCGATCTGTGCTCAAACAGATAATTAAATAGAAAATAAACTCTGGGGTTTTATTTCTTTCAGTGTACCTTAAAGAATAAATTAGTGTATTTTGTGTTATGTACAATCCACAAATGTTCTTTGGGAAAGTTCCATTAGGAATAAACAATAATACTGTCTAATGCTGGTAACAAGCAAACTGCTGACTATTATGTACAGTATCTAACTAAACAAATTATTTGCTGTGAATCTGTTGAAAGGCCTTACGTGTTTTCGAGTTCAAGAGTCCTAATTTATAACTAAAAGACTAGCGATTAAAATTTCTAAAGGATATGTATGCAATATTTCTTGCTTTCAGCATCATACTGTAATAAATCACTTTGAGCATAAGTGAAGCAAACTTAAACACTTGATAAAACTCTGCACAAAAGTTGCTTCCTGTGAGCCTGCTGGAACAAGATATGAACTGTATCAAGAGTTCAGATAAGTAAAATGTGGTAGAAGTAGGGTGTCCAAAAACATACAGTAGAGCATTGTATAAACTTGAACCCACTGTTCACAACTCCCACTGACAGGAAGTTTACTGTGAATAAGGGCCTCAAGTATGAGTTTTGAGGAAGGAAGTTATCATAGCTGTGTCGTTATAATATGTAGTTCCACAGAGTGAAAAACAGAGTAAAATAGAAGTGATGGAAACTTCCTAAGGCCGCTCTGGGAGGTTTAGTGGGAAAGACCTTCAAAACTGTAAGCATCTTAGGATTCCAATGATAAAAAATTTCTCCAAAATGTTCCAGAATTTAAATTCTTTGAGGTTTTTTTTTTCCATTAGGCTGTAAGTACTTTGGATTAGTATCTTCTTGCAGGTAGGATTTAAATAAGTTAATTAATTTTTGTTTTTAGGTTGATACTTTAGAAGGTGAAGTACAGTTTACAGTGCTCTTGACCTTGCAGATCTGGCAGGTAGGATTGTTTAAACCTCATAATAAAAGATGATTCCTATACAAAGATCTAACAAACAGTATTACACTGTATGAATTTTTAAAAGCACAAAATTCAGATACTTTAAAAAAAAGGAGATACACATTTATGTGATTCCCCTCCTGAAGAAGGATTTCTAGGGGCTGAGACATCTGGCAAAGCTTATGCAGTGTGTAGCCTTCCTGCTGTATGCAAGTCAGAAAAAAAGGTAGGCAAAGCCTGACCACAGGAGCCTCCACAAAGGCAACTATACAATATGTTTTAATAGATCATTCCCTTTTTCTCCATAGAAATTACAATGGACAGTAACAGTGAAGGCGGTCGGTCTCGGTCAGGTAGTGAGGGAAATATTTCACCTGTAAAAGAAGAAGCTTATTATCGCAGCATTGGTGGACACAAGAAATGGCCTCAGCAGCGTACCATGGCCTCTGAATATAGATACGGTATGCCGAACATTATTCATCCTTTATGACAGACACGTTTTAGAGCTGCGTGTTAACAAGTGCGGTTTCTGTATGGCAACATTGCATGCAAAGCAGAATGCCAAGGGAACTAGCTCTTAAGTCCTGTCTGCTCTCAGGTAAGTTTCTCCAGCTCAGCTGTAAGGGACAAACAGCCCTTAGTCCTCTGTCCTGAAACTGCTGTGCAGCCACCTTTCCATACTCGACTGACTCCAAGCACACTGCGTTGCATGAACCTCTGTGAAGCTATGCTGCTACTACTGCCAGTCAGTATTTACCGTATACACCCAAACAACCATTCATCAAAGTGACCATATTTCCACTTGATTCATATAGACTGGACAGGGACAAACAGTAGCTGGTATATCACAACCCAGCATCTTACCATAGGAAGCAGTTACCAAATGTTATTATGATTTATGGCTTGGGCTAAACAAAGATTCAGGGTCTTTTCAGTGACCACACAGGACTTTGGCTGTGTCACTTGGTGAAGACAAACATTACTATTATTTTTAGGAATAATTACATCATAGTGACATATTACATAAGACAGTTATACCCACTACTGATAGTATTTGTTGCTTCATCAACATAGAAATCATTACATGATCAACAACTCAGTTTTCGTAGTTCATAAAACACTAAATTGAAGCGTCTAACACTTAACCCATAAAAGCAGCCCAGGCCTTATATAGTGCTAAGAAATACATTGGGGTTTTGTTGATAGCCAGAATGAAACAAAAGGGGCCCAGAAGTTTAGGGAAATTGTAATTTAATGTTGAGTTTCAAAGCAAACATATCTGACTGAATTACAACTGGATCATCAGCTTGTGTATACCTAGTGAATTCAATGCAACTGTGATTGCAGCTGTGCAGCAGTTGGGAATCTGGCTGACTGCATCCAAAGACTTAAGATTTTACATACACAATTATATGTGTGTGTGTATGTATGATATACATAAATACCTCTTGAAAGAATAAGTGGCTATTGAACTCATTCAAAAGATTATTTGCTTTTCTGGTTCACTGAAGCAAACATGACTATTCTGAGTCAGGTTGTTACAGGCCAGTGCTGAGATACATTTGGCTACAATTCATTCATACATTTGGCTATAATTCATGTTTGCACCTAACCCCCATTAACTGCAGTTGGAGTTGGACGCAAAAATTGATACTTTTAATTTAAAAAACAAAACACCCTTCAACCCACCTCTCTTAGGTGGCCTGGTGGGCCTGAGTATGAACCACAGAACCACAACCTGACTGTGGGAGGAGAACAGAACAGAGAAGAATCCCATCCTTTGTGTCCCATTGCTTTCTGTCCCACATATGCCCTTCTCTCACACTTGCCTTCTGTGCTTTGTGCCTGCCTAAAGCTTCTTGGCTGGAATTTTTCCCTGCCCTTCTGCTGTTCTGCATTTTTTCCCTTTTCACATTCTTTCTTGTGCTCTGGACCCAAGAGTTACTAGCTGTTCCCTTAAAGCTGTGACCCTCTGAAAGTTTTTTCTGGTAGTTTAAAAATATCCAGTGTTGAATAAAGTGCACCTGATGTGGAGGTAAAAAAAGAAATCTTATCTAAAATGTTCCATATTAAATGTTCAAACTATTACCAAAAATGGGAGTCTTTAATTTGTAAGAGGTGATTACAGTAAAAATTGTATTAATATGAAAATGGTTTGTAAAAGTTTTGATATAGTTGAACTACATTTTCATCATAATTCATAACATTGCTTTCTCAATTTATTCATTGTGAAGGATTTTGTAAACCAGTTGATAAGTGTTGATTCAGCAAAGAACAAAAGTACATGACTCCCACTGAAGTTAGAGGGACTTGCACAATGAGCCAAGTTTTTCAGAAGTGTCTTCTGAATTTGAGGGCTTTGTTTTTTGGGACTTCAAATTCATAGGTCTTGAAAGAGCCTGTTTTTGAGGAAAGCATTACCATATGCTTTTTCAAAACAAAATTAAAAGCCTTTGAAATCTATCAATCAAAATACTCATTGTTAGCCATTTTGGCCTAATTTTCTAATTCAGTTTTACTGAAGTCCATCCAGTATGTTGTTGAATCATGAACTAAATGCATTCTCCAGGTCATTTGAAAAGTCTGAAAGATGTGCGAGACAACATATCAATTCTCACTTTTTATGTCCTAATCAGTTTGGTACCCTGCAGTGGACAGAGTTCAGTGCAGTGTCAAGTGTTGCGATATTTGTGGATGATCTTTCCTAATGAGCTCATGGTTAAATGCAGTCATAATTAACCATTTCTCCTGGATTTTAACACATCTTGTTAGTGTTTGGGTTGGTTTGGGGCGCTGCTGACTTTGTTAACTATTGACCGTGTTTAAACAAAACCATAGGCAGTGCAATTCCAACCCTGACATAACTAACACTACTGAAATATATTTCTTCTTGCCTGTCTGGAGTTAAGAGGTTATAACCATGTTTTAAACCTGGTACCTAAAACATGGTATGTCAACACAGCTGGGATGTGCTTTCTTGTGTCCATGAAGAGCAGAAGCAGCTGTGCTGGAAAACAGGTGGATCCAAAGCATGGTTATTTTTGCAGTAATGATGAAGCCTATCAGACTGATCATTATGTCACTCTTAACATGCTTCATTGACTTATGGCAAACTCTAGTAAACCTAACAGAAATTGCTTTCTTACCTGAGCTGTATTCACGTGTGTAAATGTCAGTGTGGTGTAGGAGATCAAAACCACATTCAGTGCATGCAGATTGTATATGTGTTCTTAAAAAATAACAACTTGATACTTAAAAAAACCCCACCAAGCTTAGCAAGCCATGCATTAAGTTATTGGGGTTTTTTCACTGAAGTGCCAAACTTTTTTCAAATATTAACTGGACTAGTTGAAAGATGAGGTCAACTTGTATTACTGAATTGTTTTTTTCTGGATTTACTTTCATAGATGGCTATGGTGGTCACGACCATCTTTCTCCAGATATTTATGAAGAATCAGAAACAGATCCTGGCACAGAAGATATTTCTACTCGAATATTTGTTGCACTCTTTGACTACGATCCACTGACAATGTCCCCAAATCCTGATGCTGCAGAAGAAGAGCTGCCATTTAAAGAAGGGCAGATCATTAAGGTGGGATCTAAAAACAAAGGAAACCAAGGACCCAGTATTAAAACAGGCTTTGTTCGTGGTGGAGAAAGCAACTTGTGTGACTAGACTCCAAGGTTTTTTTCCTCCAGAGGTTCAGGCTGTAAACCTCAATGGATGTGGAACCTAATACCTAGTGCTAATGGCTTAAAAATAATTAGGTAATGGGCAAAAATTCCAAAGTTGTTATAGATAGCTAGGGCCAGACTCAATTAGAAATCTAGATGCTAAGCCCAAAATTGTGACTCTGAAGCCCCCTGTGTCCATTGCCACAAACCCTGCAGGAAAAACTGCTTCAGAGAGGATGTCTTTGCTGCACAGGTACCGCAGAAGCACTCAGTGTTATACCTTCATACGTGCCAGAGCTGCTGTATTTTGTTAAATGCTGAATGCTCCTAGCTAGTGTACACTTAAGATTAATTGAAGTCCAGAAGTTAGGTATTTCTCTTCTAGAGTCACCTTCTTCTGAAACTGGGAAAACCTTTTCTGACTGTTTGGTATAAAATAGGCAAGTTGCCTTTAAACAGAGCACAGAAGGCCAAAGGGCTGTGTTTCAGGTGGCAGGGACAGTGTTAGGCTCTCTCAACGTTTTTAGCCAGCCCTCTATCCCAGCTTGCCTCATCTTACGGTTGTGCAGCTGCAAGGCAAATTTGTTCAGTTTGCTGATTTGATTTTTAAAAGCTAGCAGGTTTTTCTGTTAGATCAGCAAATATATTCATCTCCTCCTGCAGGCTTGTATCTAATCGATCTGGTGCAAAATGGGCAGAAATGAGAGAGGCAGAGGAAACAGCTGCTGATAGTCCCAGGGTAATGGAGATTTAAGATCTGAAACAGAAGCTGAAGAAAGACAGACTCGTTTGTTACACTACCCTTTTCAAAGATAAAATTGTAACTTATTAAAACACTGGCTGCCTTCCACTGTGTTGGATTGCATCATAACACAAATGTCCATATCCTAAATCACATTTTTTTAAATGTTAAATATTTTATTAGATATTTTGTTTACATCCTTACATAATATAAGATTTATGCCACAAATATGGAACTTGTTTAAGAGGTCATTTTTGTTTGCAAGAATGTTGATTTCACTCAGGTATTTTAATTATTTCTTCACACATATGTACATGTTTGACACTGAAAAGTTTAGAGAGATCTTGTATCAGATGTTTACTCTTAGTGATGTTTCTTTTATATTTGGGACCATGGTAATTACTGTGTGATCTGCTGCTTGGAATTTCTTATCAAATTGTTTCGAAGATGAGTTAGTTTTCATTTTCAAAATACTTTCTGTACATTACCTGAGCAGTGGGACGGTGGGGGGTCAGTATGAGGTCTGTCACGTACAGATGTTACGGTCACGTATGCTGTACTGTGTGAAGTAGTAGTGGTGAGAAGTAAGCCATGGATATATAGTGGTTAAAACTGAAAAAAGTTCCTGCTCTACAAAGATGAGGCAGTTCAACAGTCAGTTTTAATGAAGTTAGATTTGAACTGACAGGACTGGTGTGGGGTTTTTTATTTGTTTGTAAAGAAGATAAATAAACCAATTGACCCTCAACAAGGAACGGTCTAAATTCAGTCATCAATGAGGCCTTAAGAACATCGTGGTTTTAATACAGTCCTTGATCTAGGCCTTTGTATCATTAGTAGCCTTTATGAATTGACTCTGTGTTTGGAACTTAAGATAAATTTTGGATTTACCCGTTCTCATTGATGAAAATTCATGCTATTTTAATACCTTATTATATGTTTTCTGGAAAGACAGGAGCAGAGCTTAAGTCCATATACCAAGTATATGAAGTATTAGATAGGCATTTTTGATCATATACAAGTTGTTCTATTCAAAATAACACCACTTTGGCAGAGTTTTGCAAATGCTTATTTTTTAATATAGTTCACATGGCACCAAAAACGATGCCATATGAATAATGCCGTAAACATCAGTGTAAACCAGCAGGTACATTTTTGGCTCAGCACAGGGAGAAACTGATGAATTTTAATGGTATCTCTCACTTTTTGTGCATTTCACTGCTGACAAAAGAAGTCCGAATTCTGCTTATGTATCTGAAGTCATAATTCAAATTAACATAAAAATTCCAGTTCTGTAACAAGTCAGAGTAGTCAAAAAAGTAATGTAATTCCACAGCCGAGCTGTAGTCATCTGTCTGTGCTTTAGTAAGCATTTAGCCTGCATTAAAATTCCTAAATGCTAAAACCTTTGTTAACCAACATTATCACTCTGAATAACAGGTTTATGGGGACAAAGATGCTGATGGATTCTATCGTGGAGAAACCTGTACAAGAATTGGCCTTATCCCATGTAATATGGTCTCTGAGATCCAAGCAGATGATGAAGAAATGATGGATCAGCTTTTAAAACAAGGCTTCCTTCCTTTGAACACACCAGTTGAGAAAATTGGTAAGGGAAAATATATACACTTAATTTCTCCTAACTTTTGGGTGCTAATAACTTGGCTGGATCCGCTTTGCCTTTTGTTTTTATTATATGCAGATGCATCTAAATTTTACAGCAATTTACTACACCATGGGATAAATTCTGTGTCAGTATCTGGATGACTTTATTCAGCTAATATTTAATCTTGGTCACATCTTTTGCTGCAAATGAGGACTTGGATCTTCACCACTCATTACTTTCTTATTAAAAAAAAAAAAAATGGGTTTTTGTCACCTGAAAGATTTCTAGACACAGAACATGATCCCTGTGCTTTGGAGTGTGCTGTGCTGAGGTGCTTTGTGATACGCTCACTGCTGCAAAGCATAAAAAGAATCACTTATTTGTTGTTATTTTTACTCTTCTACATTTTCCTAATTTACCAATAATTTAAAGGGATGGTGGCAAAGGGTTATGTATAATCTTCTCTGGGATATCAGTATATATTATGAGATTTTATGGATATTGCAGTAACAAACCCTTTACAAAGCAGAGTTTGGCCAAACAATTCTGTGTTATGAACCATGTACATTACAGCATTGGTTCAATGTTGTACACAGATACACAATTCAAGTACCTTAACTTAGATTTATTTCTAAAAATAAATTTCATACAACTATCTCAATATGTTTTCAGATTTTCAACATGATTCAGAAAGTATAAAGGGCTGGAATTGGTCCAGTCCTGTTTAAAAGTGAACTGTAAAAGTGGTTGCTAAAAAACCCAAAGAAATCTTCTACAATTGTTTTCTTAGATTGAATAAGACGTTATTGTTTCCAAAACTGTATTAGTAAATGTGAGACAGATTATTTTTTGTTGTTCTTTTAAGATATTGAGATATTTTTAAATTCTCCATTGTCCATGAAAGGGAAGGATGATTCAAGTTCTTAAATGCTTAATTGAATTCCTAATTCAAATCTGTGTATTTATTTACTTCTGCCACATAAATACAGTGAATCCTCCTACCCACACGCACTTGCAAACCCCTCTGCCCATCTGCTCCTGTAGGTATAGCATATAGCACATACACCTACATGTACATTTATAGGACAAAAGCTTGGGATAGGTGCATGGTGGGACCTACAGATGTGCCTGAATAGGTTGGCTGCCTACAGCATTATTCTGCACAAGTAGTTGTTTTAGCACGGGTCTGCATCCTCTGAAGTCCATTAGAAAGAGATACCTGACCTGCTTCAGGTACATCTGTAAACACAACTAGGGGCCTGATGGGATTAAGAAGTGTCTAAATATATTTCTACTTTTAGCAACAAGGTCACATGTGGGTACAGAAAATACCTTCCTGAAAAGCTAAGGTCGAAACTTACTGCTTCAAGTTCTGCTCAATGCTCTCTGTTCTTAGCAACGACAGCAAGCTGTTGATACAGAACACTTGTGAAATGAAAACACTAATCTACATAGCTCCCTGTAATTTGAATGCTTTGGCTGTCTAACAGTCATATTTTGCAAATTTAATTGGATGTTTTTGTTGTGCTCAACTGGAAGTGTCTCCTGAAATAGCTGAGAAATCAGAAAGTCTTTATCTTGGAAAGAGGGAGAGGCAATTTCTGACAAAAGTGTTGCCCTGCCTTGCATATTCAGTCAATTCTTTTTATTCTGGGATGTTTCTGAGCAAGCTGTTAGCAACCTACCCCCAGCAGTTCACCTTTAAATATTTTAGCACTTTAAAAAAAAGCATCATGTATTTTCTCTTTAATATGGATTTAAATTGTTAGCCATTTTCAAAAGCAAAAAACCAACAAACGCTTTTACTAATGGATTTGGAAAGAATAGTTAGTTTGGCTTAATTTTAAACAAAATACCAATTCTGACTAGCAGGGATCCACGTGCTCAGACCTTCGCTGTCACAGAGGCTGCCCACGTGGATTTTTAGCAGAAGCAGTCTCTAATTGCCAGTCTGTCTCGTATTGTTACTCATATTTTTAATGTCATATCAGACACTTTACATGCTCTGTTCATATGACTATCTTTTTCTTAATCCTTTGCCCACATTAAATCCTTAAAAACAGAACTTTGAACAGCTTCATATCTTTTCTTCTTTTATTTATATGCATTCCTTTCCTGAAGTCAACTGTGACCGTTTCAAAGAGAGCACACGCTCTGTACACCGCAGATCCAGAAAGTCTAAAAGAGGTCTGTGCTAAGAACCAATAATTTGATTCAAGCTGTAAATTAGCTGAATTATTTGAGCTGTCTAGATTTATTTTTTTTATGCCTTTGAACTTTTGGAAACCAGAAGTTGGAAAATATTGTCACATAGCAATTAGCAATAGGGTCCTTTTCAGATCCTTTCCTTGGTCGTAGAGGGGCCCTTGACCCTGTGCAGCGGGCAGGTCTTGCCCCCGAGAAGTACCTCCAAGTGGAGAGCGCAACTCCGAGACAAGTGTTTGGGTAGCGGTCGGTCCAGGCTTTGGGGAATCAGGGGGATTGGGCCCCAGGTCTGTTGCAGTCTGTGCCTTCGTTTTGGATCTCTCCTTGTGTTCTGTGTTCCTTGTGTTCTCCCTTGCGTTGCTAGCTGGGAAAATGACGCCAAGCCACCCCCAGCCAAAGGAAGCGATCTCTGACTGAATGCTTCAGTGTCGGCTGGTGGGCGATGGCAGGGCGGGGAGCACGCGCTGCACTCCGTACCCGCTCCTGCCCCGGGCGAAGCTTTAGTGCCCCCCTCCTGCCGGAACACTCACAGGGTGCCTCCCAGCCCCAGGTTTCCTTTGTCACACTGCATAACGCTCATCAGACCTGCACTAACAAGCATGTTTCTCTTGCTACAGCAATCATCCGCAAGAATCATGCTAATAGCATTCAAATTTAAAATGAAGCCCATTTTGGACTTCTCTGTAAATGTTTAATAGCAATCAATAAGCATTTTGTGTCGTTCCTGGAAACTACAAATTTTACTTCTTTCCTTCTGTTCCCCACAAAGGAAACTTGTAAAATTGAACAGTACTCGAGAATGTGGTTTTCTAGTGAGAGTCTTGAAAATATTGCAAGCCACTTGCAAGTTCCTACTTCCCGTCTCACAGCAGAAAGTTGAAGAATGATCCCAGTCATAAAATTCCTTGTGATTAGGAGGGGGGAGTAGGCAGTAAATGTGGAAGTTTGAATAAAATGAAACAAACATGAATTTTGACTGTTTGGCTTTGTTATACCCTGGGAACCTCTGATTCTTACAACCAAGAATAGCTGAAAATTTCAGAACGTTAGTTTTGCAGATAAATACTGTTCAGAGGATTCAGTGGCTTAGAACAAAAAGGGCAAGCCAACTGTTAAAAAATTATTTATGAAAAGTACATACTGTTTTGAAACCTTTATCTGTGTTAGGAGGTTTGATAATCTGTGACCTTTTATCACTGTGCTAGAGAAATATCAACATTGTTACTGCGCTGTTGTGAAAATGATGTGGGAAAAGTTGTACCTTGTTTTTCTTTTCAAAATAACTTTGATAGCTTTCCTTCCCTTCCTCTCCTTGTGATTGGAACAGAAAGAAACAGGCGGAGTGGCAGACAGCATTCTGTGTCTACGAGAAGAATGGTGGCGCTGTATGATTATGATCCAAGAGAAAGTTCTCCTAACGTTGATGTGGAGGTACTGACAGAACTGTTTCCTGTGTTTATCATTTATGGAGCCATCACATAGTCGGTACTGAGAAGCACTGTTACACATTTACAGTGGTTGTGCAAAAAAAAAAAAAAAGTTCAGAATTATAAACACTGGGCAAATGTTTCTGGGCAAACATATATGACAAGCCTGTGACTTCTGTACAAATAGACCTGTGGTGCTTGGTCAAACAAAATCAAGGAATATTCTTTGTAGGATTTATTTAATATGGCTCAATACATTATAGTCAGCTATCTATATATGTTGTGCGATGTATGTGTACACATGTATATAACAAAAATCTGTACGGAAAAAAGCATGGAGCTATAAATAGTAGAGAATTATTATTTTCCAATTATTGTTTTCAGATTTCCTTTCTATGTTTCCACATATTAACATGATTATTTTTGAGAAGTGTCCTAGCTCACACTGATGAGCTGACAGTGACGCATGCTTTCAAATCTCTGTAACCTACAATTCCTTCAAAGAGCAGCCCTCCTCCACAGCCCCCACCAGAACAATATAGCACAGTAGAACAGCATTGATAATACAGTGTATTTTTCTCCTAATTGATCTGAACTTTTGTGATAATATGTAGTCTCTCTTTTTTTGTTGTTTGTTTGTTGTTTTTTTTTGTTTATAACAGTGTAAGGATATCTTAACAACTGAGCATTAGGTAGATCTTCGTTGTAGGTTTATCTTCCATTTACCCACGTACAGTCTCCCATCTCTCCACATTTGTTATCAGCAACAATAGAATCACTTTTCACATTGTCGTTGACGTTACATGGAAAGTCAAGAGTTGATGCAGTTTTCATTTATATAAGCATTGTGGTAAGAATGTCAGGGTACACTCAAAGCTCTAAAACCAGTATTGCATACCTGGGAGCTTCCTCAGCCTTTAAAATGTTTTGGTTTGTTTTGAAGTGGTGAATTGTAGGACAATTTGGATTTTTTTAGAAGAAAGTGAATTTTGAAATACGTGGGACTTAATGCTTTAAAACGCAGCCAGAGATCTCTTCTTTTTCTCACTGAACCAAACCTGGTTCTAAATTAAGGTGTTTCGTAGTTTGGGCAACAAATCAGATAAATTGTACTGATATGTTGCAAACATTTTATTTGTCTTCTCTATTTCCATGGCCACGGGAAAGAAATTAAAAATAAGTTTTAAAACCTAATTAAGTTACATTTAAACCCCAGGCAATTAAAAAGAGCCCAGTACACTGTTTGCAGCTCAGAGACTGGAGATGCCCATTACGAAGCCTTAAGTGAACGGAGGCCAGTGTCGCCCCCGGGCTTTAGCGCGGGGCGCTGTGTGCCGGGAGGGGCAGGGCTCGGCTGCTCTCGCGCCCGCAGTCCCAGCTCAGCTCCGTGCAGAGAGTGGACCTGCACCATGTCCCACCCCTGCGGCTTGTTCCCTCCTCACAGGACTGACTTCAAGGGACTGCTGAAGCCACATAGTTCGAAGGTTGTTCAGGTGGTTCAAGGCTCTGGGCAGATGAGGTCTGAGTGTCGCACACAGCTCGTTTGTCACAGGGAATCCTGTGGGTGCCTGGAACCCAGTGGGAGAGGTGCCAGATTTAGCAAGCTAAGAAATAAATTTAAAAAACAAAAAAAGGTTTTGCTCTCAAAGTTCAATTCGGTTTCACCGTGTCTTAACATAAAGGAGAGGGAAAAATATGAATGGATTTACTATTACGAAAGAAAATGTTAACCTTTGCCTAACAACATACACACAGTCACGTGCTCCTTTTTCTGCAGGCGGAGCTGACGTTCTGCACAGGGGACATTATCACTGTCTTTGGCGAGATTGACGAAGATGGATTTTACTACGTGAGTTGGTGCCTGTTTGGCCACTTCCAACTGCTCCGAGCTGTCGGAGCAGCCCGCGCGAGCAGGAGCCATCACCCGGGCGCCGGGAGGATTTCGGGTCACAGCCCCAGCTCCTCGTGGGGTGGGAATAGCAGTGATCCCGTTTCCACAAAAACATCAACCTCCAGGGCATGCCTGGAAGCGCTGTCAGGGAGGTTCCCAGGTTCAAGGTCCCTCCCTGTGAGGGATGTGGTGGAGCCCGAGACAGCGACCACACGGCACCAAAGAAGGTCCAACTCTTGCCCCTTCAGCACTTGATTTTAGGGGTGGCTGTTCATGCGGCTCAGAGCTGCCTCTGGCATTTTATATGTGCCTCGTTTAGTTTGCTGGAAAATGCACCTTTTGATCAACACGTACCTGTGCAAACATGGTGCTGACTTCTGATGGGTAAGGCATTTCACGTGGGAGATCCAGCCTGTCCCTACGCTAAGGTGTTATTTGATTAAAATAAATCGATAAAATATTTCAGTGGTGTTTTAAGCACTAGTTAACTGATCGTACTACTTTGTCATGCCTTTAACAAGAGGAACAGTTTAATCACAGGACACCATATTCCAGTGTCACTTGCCCAGCTGAACTGTCTTCAAGTTGGTAGTAGCTGCCTCTCTGCCTGTGTTTTCCATTTCCACAGCGTGCTGGCCGCAGGACACAGGCCCAGCTGCCCCAGATACATTTTTAGAAGTTGAGGCCCAAAGGAGTAATTCGATGGTCTTGGAAGCGCCTTTGTGGGGCCCAAGGCAAGGCAGGGGGGGACCTCGGCTCGGGGGGCAGGAGGGTTGGTTGCTCCCCGTGACACAAACGACCTCGCCCCATCTTTGGCCGTGTGTAACCGCTTCATGGCCCCAGTGACCCGAGATGGGTAGTTGCATTTTCTCACTGGCTTTGAAATGGTCACAAGTATTTCCTGACCTGCTTGGGCACCTACATTTGCTTTAATTAAAATATTTACTGAAATTTTCTTGATGTTGCAGGGTGAACTTAACGGACAGAAGGGGCTGGTTCCTTCCAACTTTCTTGAAGAAGTGCCTGATGATGTTGAAGTCTTTCTATCCGATGCACCCTCGCGCTATGTTCACGACACACCGATGCGTACAAAAGCAAAAAGGGTAAGCAACCGAATAAGAAAAACTTAAATTTTTATTTTCCATTCCATTCTATCTCATATATAATTTAGATATTACTTTTAACATTTTAAATCCATTTGCCCATTTAAAATTAACTTTCAAATACATAAAACATAAAGAGGACTTGACTTAGCCTTCCACGAGCTTGTTACATTTGTAAATGAAGAAACTAAATTTACCATTTGATTGCAGTCATTAGAGTAGCTTCAATTATAATTTGAGTTTAAGCAGCTTTTCCCTGGTGAAAGTAGTTACTTCCTAATGGCTCTAAACTACTCCTAGTACGTGCAGTATCTAGATGAAAGCAAACGTTCTTGTGGATGCGAGGCTGGTACAAGTGTTCCTTTAAATACAAGTTGTAAATGCAGCTGATTGACTGACAGTGTTCAACTTCTAATCCTTCCTCTTCCAACTGGCATTAGTTAATTGTACAGAGAATTCCCCTTTTATGAAAGACTAATCATGTTTAGAGTATCTCATTTTTGGTTTTGTTTCATCACTGCAATATTTTTATATATTATATATTTTATATATATTTTTATTTCTTTGCTCATCTGCTTGGAAACAGAAGAAGAGTGTTCATTTCACACCTTAATAAGGCAATGTAGCCTTCACGTAAGTGAGCAACTGAAGATACCAATAGAGATTTCAATTAAAGCTACCTGGCATTCTAATGCAAGTCTTGAAACTTAATTGTGGGGGAAAAAAAAAGAAAGAAATATGTCTCCAAAATCCTTGGCCACAGAAGAATAGGCTGTATGCTTTTATGCTATCTAGTCAAGTCAATATAGTTTTTTAGGAGACAAATCCTTTAAAAAGGATTCCTTAGAAATAAGTCAATTAGACCTCACTTTATATGAAGGTCAAAGTTTGGAACATATTTCTTCATGAGCTAAATGTTTATGTTTACGTAGAAAGGAGAGTTGGATGTCTAACTACCCTGCAAACAAAAGCTGCATATTGCATTGTTAGCCAACCTGGGATATAAAAATTCCAAGCTCCTGTAACAAGAGAAAAGCACAACACCCCCGACCCTTAAAGAACATACAAATGAAACTCAAGCTGATATGTACTGTAGTTTACATGGGTATAGTTGGTTTTGAAACTCATTACACTCAAATATAGCTACTTAAATTGTTTGCCTTAAAATGTGTTTTCCATAATCGATTATACCCCAGTTTGCCTAAGACCAACTATTAACAATTCTGAAAAAAATCCCTTTATATGGTACAATTTACTTGGATTTTCCTAGAAAGTGCACATTTGAAATACTAGCAACTGTTTGGTTTACCAATGCAATAAAAGTCTCAGTATGAACCATGCAGCTCACTGAACGAATGCATTAGACTAAATATATGGTATCTTCAGGTGTACGTTGGGGTGCTTTACCAAGTTGTTTTTTTTTTTTTTTCATTAGAATTAGACCTTGATTTAAAATCAAAGTCGGCTTGAAGCCCCTTTGCTTAACTCACTGTTGCACAAGCCAGTAAATCGCGAATGTTTTAACCTGAACTACAAGATAGTAGGGGTCCCTGAGGCATGGATTCTACTATGAAAATATCATCTTAATTGGTAGTAGCACATTTTGTCAGCCAGGCACTGTAGTTAGGACAGGCTGAGTATAAGTAGTTTTAGCATTTTCATTCAAGTGCTTTTGACAATTTAAAAAAAAAAAAAAAAAAAAAAAAAAATTGGTGTTTAAAATATCTAGGAATGCTGTCATCTAACTATCGTACAAGTATTCACCTTCATTCAGCAACCTCATAGCTGCAGCATACACATCAAGCAGTCAGGGTCTTTAAGCTTTCTTTGATTGCAATTAAGGTTCATTTTAGCTTTTTCTTTTTCCTTTTTTTTTTTTTTTTTTTTTTAAGCCAGTGTGCCATCTTCTCGAATATGTACATAAAGTTTGCTAGCCAATTTTTAAGAAAAGGCATTTAAAGATCATTAAAAAATAAGTTATCATGTAGCATTTTAAGTAATTTCTTCTAAAAACAGTTTGGCTTCTATACGTTTCTAATCTGTACTAATTTACACATTAATTTTTCTTAAATCTATAGCTACAAGTATCCTTAATTTTTGTACTATCAGAGTACTGAAATGCAAAACCAAAAGCAGTTTTGTGGCTTCTGGGGACAGAGTTACAACAAAGCAAGTGTATTCAACTCTTTCTTTAGAAAAGTATAACCAAACCAGGGCCCTATTGGAGTGTTTTCTAGTGTCTATACTTTTTCTCAAAATTTATGTATTTTTCATAAGCCCATACAGTATTTTAAGCCACAAGGAAGCAAGGAACCAGCCCTTTTGTTTAAGTGGGTAATGGAACAAGTGATGTTACCAACTTTCTTGATGATAATGGCTGTTAAGCTTTCAAACATTCAATAAATTATAACAATGTACCTAATAGGTTCCTCCTGAGAATACAGGTACATCACGGAGAGCACCATCCCCCACAGTTCATCTCCATTCTGAGTCACCTCCGTCACCTATGGGGTCTGGTAGTCCCGGGAGAGGCAGGGATATGTCCTCGAAAAAGAAAAAGGGGCTGCTTTCCAAAGGCAAGAAACTGCTGAAAAAGCTTGGTGCAGTGAAATGATTCATGTACTCCTGGACTTGTAAAGCTTCCAGTCTGTGTTTTTGTTGTTTTTTGTTTTGTTTTTGTTTTTTTTTTTTTCTTTTTTTAAACGTCAAAACTAGGGCTTTCATGACTATGCGGTACAACTATACCAAACCTTTGCATTTTTAACTCTGACATAATAGAATCATGTGACTTGCTTAATCAAAACAGCAAGAAAAAAGGAAATGGATGTGCTGTTGCAAGTATTTTTTCCTTAAAAAAAAAAAAAAAAAATGTGGGATTAAGACCAGAAGAACATGGTTTTATTCGAAGTCAACTCAACACCTGCAACTCCACTGGATAAACCTCAGCCTTTAGTCTCCTTAACCATGCGTGGGGAGAAGAAAACTCTATTCATTGATTCCTGTTCAGAGATCACCCCACTGTATCTAATCTTTATCATACACAAAAATGGTCTTGAAACTCCTAGTTTAATCAGCCTTGATGTTTTGCCTTATTAATGCACAATGATTTGTACTGTCTAATAAATATACAGCGTATACTTCGTATGTACTGTGTATTCAACTGTCTTCATCTTCCCTAAAACATGGTAATTTAAGATCAAGTACTATGTTACTGACTCCATTCAATGTCTGATGTAACTCCTGGGAGTTTGAAAGTGCTGTGCAAAATGCTTTCTTTTTGGTTTTTGCTTCTTTTTTTTTTTTCTTTTTTTTCCCCTCCCAAACCAAACCCCCTTGTATTGATTTCTTTTGTCAACATTTTCACCAAAATGAAATCAGATACAGTGTAAGTTATTCAGAGACTCACCCAGTTTCAACCATACAACTTTCAGTTTCAGAGTTCCTGGATCACTGTTCTAAATTACCAGGACAAAAACAAACAAACAAACAAACAAACAAACAAAAAAAAAAAAAAACCAAACCAAACAAACAAAAAAAACCCAAAAAACAATACAAACACAACACAAAAATCCCACAACAAAAAGACCTTTTCTCTCCAACTTTTTTTCCTGTGGAGGTACAGTCCTAAGTTAAAAGGCATTTTCATATTGCTGATGTCAGATTCAAGATAAAATGTACATCTAAAGTAAAAAGTGAAAAACTGCGTTACATACAGAAGCCGTAGCCAGTAAAAAGGCTGCAACAGGTGATAAATATTAATTGCAATATTGGCATCTCAAGAAAAACAATCTAACACATTGATGGCAGTCATTGGCTGTTACTATTTTGTAATTCTTGTCCATTTGTAAATTGTTTTTACTCTTTATACATACTTTTCAGACTGCCTTTCTTTTTGTAATTTATGGAAGGTTTATAAATGAATGATCAAAGCTTCCCCATTGTGTCTTCAGATAATAATGTAAATTACTGTAAGATACTGTGTGCTAGATTATAACATTTAATTAAAGAAAATAACCGGCCTAAATTTGTGGTAAAGTACTGTGTGGGTGTGTGCATGTGTTCAACTGTTGTGTATTATATTTTATATAAATAAATAATTTGATATTTTGTAGAGTGCAGTATGTTTCATCAATCTAGTGTATCAGCTGTTCGATGAGGGTGTAGCCTTCCCTCCCGTTCCAAGGGACCGCACACAGCCGGGAAGACACGTGCCCGGTGAGGGCACAGGCTGCACCTTCCAGCCGTGCCCCACCGTGCCGCAGCCCACTCGGGAAGCAGCGGCACTAAGCGCTTTTTCCATTGAGCTCAAGTGATAGAGACCAGATCAGAATGAATACCCATCACTGGTGTAAACGATACATAACTAGGACGAAATACAAAATACTAGGTAGTGAATAGGGAAAGCTGATACTCTGTGACAACAGAAAGACCAAAATATTTGCCAAAAACCCCTGTGCCTCTCTTCTTCGCGTATTTAGTGTGGAAGGAAGAGGTTGGTACAATTCTCTCAGCTGAGGAAAGAAAAAAACCTGAACTGAATACAAGTTCCAGAGCTCCCTCATTTCTCAGAGCTGTCAACAGCAGCTGAAGCTTACCGTAGAATTAAGGCTGATCTAAACGCAAGACTCCAGGAGCTTTCCAGAGATAAAAAAAGGCTAGAGTAACTTTCTAACCAATGTCACATAGTATGCCCAACGCCCAGTCATGAAATATGTATGCAAATACCTCTAACACAATCCAATAAACAAGGATTACAGCAACAACTTTATTTAAATCTCACAAAGAAGAGGAACAAGGTTCACAAGTTAAGTAAAAAACCAGCACTAATCCAAATTCTTCCATTTGCACTAGTTTGACTCTGCGCCTGGTAATGCAAAAACGTGAAATCAGACTTCCATCAACACAACCACTACTTGCTTTACAAATTAAGTGACTGCTGCTGAATAGTCACCAGTTAAAATCTTGGAAGTACAATACAAACCAAGGCCAAAGCACTTCCTGCTACTTGGAACTGCACAACCAAAAAAAAACATGAGTAGTAAAACTACTTTTTACCCATCAGTGCACCGATATTCTTTGATGGGAATTATTTTTCTTATTTAACAAGCATGCAGTTAAACAATGTCAACCAGAAACTTAGTTTATTCCAGTTATGAATTTGCAGTTGTCTAAAACAATGTTTTACTCACACTGTGTAGTCTTGCAACTTCCTATCTACTAAGAAATAGCATGCCAATAGGAAATTCCATGGTAAGTCCCACAGCCCCCATAACAGCACGCAAGCCAAGTCAAAGCCATCACTTTTTGTGGAGAGAATACCAAAGCCTCAGATGATAAAGGTGCTTCTATAGCACAAGACAGTTTCTGGCTGGTCTGCAAATCTTTTACAAGAGAAGGATTAAGAACCCTTCCATAGGTTTTGCAGCACTACGCCATCTTAAAACAAAGCCTTGATAACCAAGAACACCTGATAGCCTCTTTTTAAGATACTAAATAGTTTAGGACACAAAATTCTACCCTCACTTTAACACACAAGAAAAACAAGGAAATAATAATTGCAATTTAAAAAATGAAAGTGTAATCTGCTAGCTGCAGAAGTTTGCACAACTATATATCTTGTATGCAAAAAATAATTCAGTGTAAGACTTCCCCAAAACAAAATAAGAACTGATAATCTCTTGTGAAGAATACCAGAAACACTTTAGTAAATAAGTATTAAAAAATAATAAAAAATTTAGTTTCTATAGCGAGCAGAGACCTATTCAAAATGCAGATCTGCTATTTCAAATTTTTTGCTGCAACAATGAAATTAAATTTCCACAACTGCACATACTCATTATCCAATGCATGTCTTAAAAACAAACAAAACCAAAACAAAAATCCAGACAGTTCTACATTCCCTAGAAAGGAACTACACTATTTTTTTTAACTGGTAACTCAACTTCAAAGATAGTAAAGTCTGTCTGAAAGCAACAGGTTTGGTTCCCTGTGAATACTCTGGCCAACAAGGAAAGCCAGTTTATGAGCATATTGGCAAGGAGCAGGTACTCTGATAACACCCTGCAGAAGAAAAAAAAAAAAAAAAAAAGAAAAAACAAAGACACAACAAAACAAGAATTATTTCAAAGTCATAAGTCATTTAAATAAGTGTGCATTCACTCTAACAGAGTCCTGAAATTCAAAGCTCTGGATACATGTCAAATTTATATTCCCTGTAGTTTATGTCAATTTGTGAAAACACCATTGCATACACTGAACACATGAAAAAAACATGCTTTATAGAAAAACAGATGCAAAAAACTTCCCAACTCCATTCCCCTCACTCCAAAAAAGCCTCTTACACAGGTTTACATTCGATGCTGGATCTCACCAAAGGCAAGACATGGGTAAGTCGTGAAAAATATTTATGATTACTAAACTGACAAATCTAAAGCACACCTCGGGCAAGACCTGACTGTGTGCTGATCTTGGTGTGCAACAGAAGCCACAAGGGAAATGGAGGAACACAGTTCCATCTCCACACAAAGTAGTAGATATTTCTGCAGGTAAGAAATAGTCACTTCAGCTTTGCTTTTGACATAGAATTTGGGAACAGTATTCAAAATTACAAGTATTTTCTGGTGAGAATAAAGATTAAAGTTATCTTCAGACTCCATAGAAATCATGTAATTATAAAATGTTTAGTTCTCAAACCACCACTCGAGGTCACAAAGCATACTTGCAGGCTTTCTGGATCTGAATGGGTGTTTTAAGGATACCTTTTTCTATCTTCTTGTGGGTTGTTACTGCATGGAGATGGACAATCTTACAAGAAAAATACTATCGTTTCCCAGAGGAAATACTTACCGACCAGTTATAGTACATGTGGCAAAGTTTGTAGGTTAAACGTTGTACATGATCAGGTTTCAGTTTGCTAGTGTCATAAATTACGTTATAATGAGTGGGTGCAACACAACCGTTTCTCACCGCCTGACTCACAATAAAGAAATCATACCTGTAATAGAAAAAACAAAACCCCAGAAGTCTGATACAGAAAAGGCTGCTTTTCTTAGAAAAATGCAAATCCCCACAAATTTTCTTACTTATTTTCTTCAAGTCACTTTACACACATACTCAATAAACCCCAAAAGTACGTCCATGCTTTGGTCACAAAATAATCAGTTTCCTCTATTTCTGAAAGGCCAGGAAATCTGGAAGAATGTAAATAATATTATATGGAACAGGTCTTAAGACCATGACGATCTAAACCGTTCACCATATACATTTTTCCTCCAGATAACCACCCTGCACATGCACTTGGCTTATGCTCTTCATTCAATCTAGCACCCCGAGCCATGTTTGGATGTTTGTCACCTATCACAACACTTGGAACACCTGCAGCAGGTTGGTAAAATACCAAAAAAAAAGGCAGAGAGACCTACTGGAACCATGTGCTGCCAGACAGCCGCACTGTTCCCCATGCGCTCCAGCATCCCCTGACCAAAGTCAAACTTTTCAACATGCGCTGAAGCTTCGCATTTCCCACAGGCCTGACCTGAGTGTCACTGAGCGCGACTTGCTGTTAGTAATGAATGTTTTTGCAAATAAAGTCAGTGAGATCTGTGTATGTGTGTTACCTACACCCATCCCTGTACAATTCTGAGTCTTCTGGTGACTTCCCAACCACCAAAAAATGCTTCCAACACTTGCTCATAAAATGCACCCTTACAAAGTAACAAAATTTATGTGCAGTGTCAAAAATACAACCAGAATTTCATTTCAGTTATGGACAGCTGGGCAGTCCTATCAATAGGTACTCATTTGGTACTAAACTTTTAAAAATCAAAAAGAGAAATACCAAAAAGTAAAGCACGTACACACTTCAAGCATATGTAACACACTCATGTACGCAAATATAGCATACTGGAAACATGACATACTGCATGATGAATTCATAAAATGTAAGCCCGTCCATTTCTTTCATCTACACATTCTCTATGATTTCTTTTCAAAAGGACAGAAGTGTGGAAAGTATTCTTCTACTTGATCCCACCGTCAATTTGAAGTCAGATCTATTTCCTTTATTATCAGGTTGCCAGCAAACAGAAACAGCGTTACTTCCATACTAACTTACCACTCTGGTCTGGTAACCTCCACATCAACAACAGTACCAGGGGGTGGGTTTTTAAGTGCTGCTCCACACTGTGCAAAGAATCTGGTATTCACTCGTTTCTTCACAACTATCACAGTAAGTCTTGGACTAAAATAAATGAAAAGAAAAAAACCCAAAACTATCCTGAAAAACTGCACTGAGAGAATTTCAGAAGCAGATTCTCTAGAGCTTCAACTTAACAGCAATTTTAGAGTTCTCCAGGGCTTTAATTTCACATGCAAGTCTTCACTAGTTCATTGATTTAGATTAAACAGGACATTGCTCCTAAAGGTAGACTTTTAGTTTCGGGTACAACTTTCATTGTTTTTCACCAATCCAGCTTGTATTTAACTTTATAAGGGAGACACAAAGCAGACCAAAGAGGGATCTAAATACAGAACTGATTTCTATCTCTCTACCTCATCTTTTCATAAAGAAAACACTGTGTTTTAACAGTACTTTTGGTAAAGAGCAAGCCATTAACAGGAGCTAAACAGAACTTGTTTTGTGCTCCGCTTGCCTGCAGTGTCAGGAAATTTTTACAATTTTCAGAGCAGATTAGGAACTCACATCACTGCAGTTGATAAGTTTTAAAGAGGAATGTTGAAAACTGTGCAGAACATATGTAACTGGACAATGGATAGTCCTTTCAGAGGCGGGAAGAAAAAATAGGACCTACTGGACACATGTGATCAAGCAGTTGGAAAAAAGTATTAATTCCCACATGCATCAAGAACGAAGAGTATGCATAAAGAGTATATGTGGATATGTGTGTATTGAATACTCATGTGGTGCACGTACTAAAAACATTTCCTATTACATTATAAGTTAGCTCTCTCAAATCATGTAAGCAATCATCAGAAAAGCAGTTATTTGAGCATAAGTAAAAATAAATACGGATGAAGAGATGACACAATCTTCATCTGTAACCAGTTTTTCTATCCCAGTGTTTATTTCTCTTGCAGTATAATAAAGGGGGTTGGTGGAAACATACTTGTAGTCTTTCCCAACGCTCTTCAAGCAATCCAGAAATTGAGGCACTTCATAATTAACCAACGTATTTAGTTGTCCATCTCCCACACCATCACGATACACAATAATACGAGAGGGCAAATACTTATTCCACTTGAACCAGTCTCTTAGAGCAGCTTAAAAAAAAAAAGAGCAAAAGCTGTTAGCTATAATGACAATTCATTGCAAAACAAAAATGGATTACTGAAACTTTCAGCAACCTGAAACAGGTACGCATCATGATACACAGATGTTACCTGCAAAAAGAATTCTTGTTTACCTATGTACCGACACAAAAGAACAAACCTGAGGAGGCTACATACTCCGCTGGCCTCTCTCACAGCAAGGAGCTGGAATCCTTTAAATCCATCTCCTTTAAAACATGCTTTGAAGTGCATTGATAAGTAGTATTTAATTATTATTAAGAAATATGGGAATCAGTGAAACAACACAAACAAAATGCTATTAATTTTCAGCAATATTTACAACTGTATTTTTAATCTGGTTTTATCCAAGTGCAAGATGGTAATGTCTCCCCTCAAGGCAGCTGAGGAAGTGCATTTTGAGGAAGCTAAATTGTCAATCCTTAGATCTGACTCAACAAGAGCAGACAGCCTTCCCTTACTTTGCAAGCAGGTTTTGAGCCCATCCACAAGTTCTTGCCCACGACCTTGAACAGCACAGCGGGAGAACCACCTGTGGAGGACAAAATAAATTATGACCTTCAAAGCAATTCCCAGGCTTACTTCAATGCAGTTATTTTTAAAACAGCTATGACCACGTAGTCTTTTTAGTCTTTATGGTTATTGTGGGTCAGGGCAGTCAAGCAAGAGTTAGTGTACTATGAGAATATTTTCCTCGCAAAGCCCCTGCAGTATAGACAAATGCCTTCTCACCACGTGCAGTTCCTCTCAGTCAAAACACTCTCACACAAGTCAACTCAAGAAGCAGAAGAGCCTGTCACCCTGATGCCCTCAATTCATCCCAGCCTTTGCCCCACCATTTACCCCTTCTCCCAAGCACTGTGGAAGAAGAACAAGCCTATTCCTTAAGGGATGCCGTGGAAAAAATAATTCATGATAGTTCTTATTAACAATGTACAGTAAATCAATTTGGACACTCGTGATGGACCACCATATTCAAATTACTTTTCAGTTAAGGGAAAGATACAAATTTGTTTGCTTGTTTTGGCGTTCAAATCTTACCGCGTCATTGTTTGATTCAGGCTAGCGACAAATCCTGCAATTGACTGCTTCCCAGATAAAGTGTCATGGTAACAATCGATTCCCACAATCATTACCTGTTTCAGCTTAAAAGGAATCAATACAGAATGTGTATTAGTACGTAAAGACATGCCAAAGCACCTAACACGATCATGATATAGGCTGTATGGTTTCAGGACACCTAAGTAAACCACAGGCACCAAATTCTTGAATTAAATGTCTCCGTGTGTCATATTTAACTTCACGCCTCTTCTCACAGACACAAAACAAACTACACAAAGAACGCTCAATTTTATTTTGGGGGAAAAAAAAGTTGCTTTTTAATAAAGGCTTAATAAAGACAACAGCTACTATTTAAAAAAAAAAAAAAATTACTTACTGGAATCTCAACACTCCAAAGTTCTCCACCCATTTTGCAGTTCATTTGTAAGGCAATTTTTGTTGCTATGGCCAAAGCAGTCTGTGGCTTGCTTAAAGTGCGAGCAATCACACATTGACTTGGAATGGGACACTCTGTACATAAGTATTTCTTGATAGCATCATATTTATCCTTTCGGGAACTAGACAAAACACAAACTACCTTTAAAGGAAAAAAAATGATTTTAAGAAGCTGCATTCTCAGATTTACATAACAGTTATAGTTCTTTAAGAAAAGTTTCTTACACTCAAGAGAAATATTCAAGTGTTTAAGGTGAAAGAAATACCTGGAAAGTTCCAGTGTCTATACTTCAGAGACAAATACAAAGGCTCTTTTCCAGAAGGATACTCATAGTTAGTTCGGGGTTTGAACAGGAGTATGAATAGGCATCTGGTAGATACTTAGGAGCCAAGAATTTTATTTCTGAGAATGATTCCCACTAGTCTTAAAACACCAATTAGAGATTACCGTGATTTGTAACTATGGATTCAAATACATACTATGTTTGTGTCAGGGGTAACACTTTGCTGTAAAACCCTTAAATAAGCTTCTGTTCTATCATCTACTTCAATCCTGAAAAGGAAGAGAAAACATGCTTACAGAAAAAACACAACTAACAACTACTGAAACTTCAGCAAAAATATAAATGGTCATTATGCATCAGTACTGTATGAAGTGTCACATTTATAGCTATTAATAAACATACAGTATTCACATATTCTGAAGATTAAGAGGAATCATCCCCAACTTGTGCTTCTAAAAGCAATGACATTCCAAGTTAAAAGCAATGCGCAGGTACTCAAAGGAAGATATTTGCAATAAGAACAAATCAGAATACATTCAAAGTGAGCAATAAATCATATATTCCTTCTTGTATTAAATATAGCTCCACTTGAGAAGGTTTTGCTCAATGACTATATGTCTAATACTGTTTGGTTTTGGCATGCTTTAACCCCTAGCAAAAGCTCTCACAAATAAAAGCATGAATAAGAAAGTCAGGCACTAGAGAAAATTGCATACTGAAAGCAGCTTTGTTTTATTAAAAATCTGACCAAAGTCAGTAGTGTGACATATCTCCTCATTTAACAGCCTAAGCATGCTAACAGATATACCTTAGTAAGTATAAAATGATTTTTCCATCAGCTTTCTAAAGACACTTACATGGTTGCCTTGTTCATTCTGATTCCCATAGATGGTGTGACTTTAAACAGATTTTGAAGTAATGTATTAGCAATATCATAGTTGCGCCGTGTGTATATCAATAACCAGTTGTCCAGGGGCTTTGCACAGATTAAGGGAACTCCCCTAGTTTCTTTTGACCAATCAGCAAACTGAGGATTGTAATCAAACTGTAAATAAGAGATGGTAAGGAAAGAAAATCAGCACCCTACCAACAAGCTATACCACAATACTTCCCAATACACAACAGACTGTATTGCTTCTGCCTAGAAGAAATGACTTGACTTCCTATGTTCTTTTACTGCTATTGCCACTAATCTAAAACAAGCTTTATCTAGCCCTTTCAAGAAATCCTACACTCTTCAAATGTTTCATTCATATTTATACAAAGATACTTAAGATTTTTTTTAGCCCAGATAAGTTGTTACTATTTTCTGCACAGATGTTGCACTACAAAGACGTAGCTGTTTATGTATTGACTTGGGTTTGTCCCATTTTTCTTTTTAATAAGTGAACAGATACTGTAGGTGTTCTGTCTCCTGAATTGAAATAATTAGTGGCTTTTCATTTGAAAGCCTTGGTATTGTAATAAACAGAAAATAGTTAGAAACATCTCTAGTTTCCTAGTTTGTGTATCTAAAATGACTTTTTTTAGATAGAGGGGCTATATCACAAGAAAGACACTATTGTAATGAAAGCCAGAAAAATCTTCTGGGGTTTCTAAACAGAACTTGTAAATAACTGAAGAAGTTTGTAAGTCTCCTGTTTGGACAAAGACTTCTATATAACAGTTTCACTCACAATCCTTCATTTAGAAACCGACAAGTATTATTTCCTTCCTTAAGAACTCGTGTCATCAGTAAGAGATCCAGAAGATTTTAGAAGTTGTTTTATTTACCACATTTCCTGATTGAAGAATCTTTTCTCCTTGAACAACTCTTCCCGAGAAGGACAATAAATTAGAATCAAAGCTTAAACCCCAGTTTCGGAGTTCCTTCTGAACACTGTCATCTCTGTTTAAAAACAAGATTCAAATTAAAACATAAAGACATCTGTTCTTGATGAGACTTTTCTTTTTTAAAACCAGTAAGACTTCCAAAGTTTTGTTGAAAGAAAGAAGTTTGGTGTGAAAAATTTGTATGGTAAAAAAGTACAGAAGATACTAAGGTAGCGTACTTTCGGATGTAGTCAATAAGTCTTCCAATTTCACGTTGCCTCTGATCAGGTGGCAGTCGTGTATGAATAGCCAAGTCTTTCATCATATTAAAATCATTACGCATCTTCTCAGTTAATCCTGTTAACAGCAAAATCTTTTGCTGAGTAAAAGTTAGACTAAGGACTAAGAAAAGTAAACTTGCAAGTCATGCAGATTAACCATGCATGTACTGCAGACACGTAAAGTGGTGTAAGTAGTAATCAAGGTTTTTAGTTGCCCCCTGTACATACATTCCCATCTGCACAGAAAAAAAAATATTCTATATTTTTGCACTTGAGAGGAAACCACACAAGACATGCAGCTTTTTATTTATATTTCCAAAGCAGAAATAAAACATTGCTGAGATGGGACACCTACTGCTAGTACAAAGTGAGTATCTCAGAGGAAAATATGTATTGATATATCTTACAAAATTATCAATTTATAGCAAATTTATCTTTTTCAACAGCAGTCCTACTGCCAAAAAACTCTACAAGTTATCTATAAGGCCAGAGCTGAACACCGCACATAGGACTATGCAACATCAAAACCCCCCAGACTCATTCAAATATCTAAGATTTTAGCTACAAAACTTGTTTCTAAACTCACACTTATACAAACAAAACATTTCTACTTAACTTGGCAAGAGGCTGCTGTCAAAATACCAGTTTCAGTACACATTATGGTTTGACAGATGATTTGATATGAAAAAAATGCTACAGTACCTGTTAGGAAGCACAGCTCTGGAATTAGAACCACAGGTCCTGGCATCATGCTCCCTCTCTTCCTCTTAGACTGACTGATCAAGACTGGCTGGTTCAAGTCAGTAATTTCCTGATTATATTGCTGTATAACATATATCATATGTTAGTTTATTCATAACAAACACTCAAGTTTTCTTAGTAATAATGCTCACTTTAGAAAATAAGTATTTGTCCCAAAACAAACAAAAACAACACAAAGCAATGAGCAACCTTTTTTAATTGGCACATCTAACTGGATTTGGTTTTGTCAGAAAAGGCCAAGAAGGGAAGCACTATTCTATTGGTGCCATCAAATTACTGAATTGCAAGAGACAACAGAAACAATGCTTCTGTCTTGCTGAGGCAGTATAACCCACAGTATCTAACTCAAGATTAGGACGCTCGTTGCAGTTCAGCAATGGACAAGGTTCCCGCCCTACAGAGCAATTTAATTCAAGACATCACAAGAAACAAACAAGATTCCAAGTGAAGCTTCTGAAACTCAACCCTCCTGAAACCTTTCCTTGCATCTGCTAAGAGTTGGTCTGTCTAGCAGCCACTAGTTTAGTTTAGAAAGGAAAAAAAAAAAAAAAAAAAACAAACAAAAAAGTGACACAAGCTGACAGTCAAACATACTTCAGTTTAACTTTTCCTTAAAGAGAACACGACCTCACAAACCATCCAAAGGATAGCATTTAAAAACAAAAAAGTGAGATCACAGCAAAGGCAAGGTGGCAGAGAGAATTTATCATTTATAAACTCCATCCTGAACTAGAATGGATAATATACATTTTGTTTCTAGTTTATTAAGTCCCATCCTGTTTTACAGTTGAAACTGATGTGAAGAAAGTTGTCACAATTACAGTGGTAGGCCTTAGTGGTAGAGAAGGTTAAGCTATGAAAGACATACATAAACTTTGTTTCAAAGAACTAAAGCATCAAAGAGTAATTTCTCTGAAGATGGCAGTTCATATATTCTACCTCCAGTACGTGATCGGCAAACTTGCTGAGGGTACACTCTGCCCCATCATCCAAATCATTAATAAAGACACTAAATAGGACTGGACCCAGCACTGAGCCCTGGGGTACCCCATTAGTTACAGGCCTCCACCTACATACCATGCCACCAGTCACAACCCCCTGGGCCTGGCCATTCCACCAGCTTTCAATCCACTTCACTGCCTGCTCACCCAGCCCACAGTTCAGCAGCTTCTCTACTAGGATCTGAGAGGAAACAGCGTCGAAAGCCTTACTTAAGTCCAAGTAGACAGCATCCTCTGCTCTCCCGTCATCTACCAAGCCAGTCATTTCATCACAGAAGTTTATCAAGTTGGCCAGGCATGATTTTCCCTTGGTGAAGCCAAGCTGACTACTCCTGACAACTTACTTTCATTCACATGCCTAGAAATGGTTTCCAGGATTAGCTTCTCTATCACCTTCCCAGTGATCAGTGTAAGGCTGGCTGGCCTGAAGTTCCCTGCATCATCCTCCCTGAACTTCTCTGAGACAGGACTGACATTTGATTTCCTCCCATCCTCAGGCACTTTTCCCTATCATTCAAAGATTATTGACAGTGCCCTCACAATGACATGGGCCAGCTGCCCCAGTTACTTGCGGGTGCAATCCATCAAGGCCCATGGACTTCAGTGTATCTAATTTGCCTAAGTATTCCCTGACCTGATTCTCTTCCACCAGTGGCACGTGTGTTCCTTGCTCCAGCCTTTTTCCTGGTCTCTGGGGCCTGGGAATCCCAAACGGCGGTCTTGCTAGTAAAGCCTGAGGTAAAGGCAGCATTCAGTACCTCACCTTCTTCCACATGCTGTACCAGCAGGGGCCCTGACTCACTGGCAGCAGTGAGGTCAAATTTTCCCTAGTTTTCCTTTTGTCACTCATGTACTTATAGAAGCCCTTCCTGTTGCCTTTATCATTCCTGGCCAGATTCAATTCCAGTAGGGCTTTGGCTTTCCTAACCTCATTCCTGCATGCTGGGACAATATCTCTGTACTCCTCACAGATTACCTGTCCCTGCTTCCACCTTCTGTATCCTTCCTTTCAGAGTTTTCCCAGGAGCTACTTGTTCAGACCACGCAGGCTTCCTGGCATTTTTGCCTGACCAGCTACTCTCTGGAATGGACTACTCATGCTGAATCATGATGCACAGGTTACATTCTGCTCTCAGGTTACACAGTATCCATTAAAAATAAAATTCTATTAAAGAAAATAACGAATCACAAATCCATGCATCATAAGTAAACCTCCAACAATGCCCTAATGCCTCAAGTTAAAGCATAATGCACACACTGACAGTTACGTTTCCATACCCTTTTGTAGTAGTCCACGTAGCTGATCTCAGAACCATCCGCTTTTCTAAAGGTACACTGTGGGTTGGCATCCCAGTCGATGTCATCAACTCTGTATGTTCTGTTATTGTACCTAAGTAAACAATTTAATCAGGTTTCTTTGACAACTCAAATAGAAAAGAAACAGAACTGTGGGACAAAAAAGTTAATAGCAATACTTATGTAAGTTGAAAGTTTTGCTCTTATCAGCAGCAATAACTTCAAGTTTTCAATTCTAACAGGCCATCAATTCTACTAAAAGCTAAACTGTAATAAAATCAAATGAAAACAGAACTGTCACCTCAATTAGTTTGCTACCTTGACAATCATATCATTTTCATGCTTTCTGATGCTTCATTGTATACTTCAGGACATGGAACATCCAAAAAATAAACAGATCCCCAAGACAACAAGAGTCCAAAGAGACTTACTTTGTAAGAACAATTAAACCTATTAGCTCTTTAGCACAGGTATCTCTAAATCTTTGTTCTTCAACCTGGTAATATAGACCATACATAAAATCCAACGCTGTTTCACTGCGAAGAACCTTATGGCTCACATCTGTACATAACATAATGCTTTCCTCATACTGGAGGATAGAACTTGTGAAGCCCGGCCAAACTGTCAACCTGTTGAAAGAGAACACAGAATCTTAACATGCTTTAAAGCATTGCTATTCTCACCCCTCGAGTTATTTCTGTTCACCTTCCCAGACACTATAAAGCACTCAAGACACAAAGAAATCATTATCCAAATATAAGCAAGCTCCTGAAAGCTAACAAAATGAAAAATATTTTACATGCAGGTATCTTTAGTTAACTTAAGATAAAAGATTAATTAAATTATGTAGCAATACAATTGAAGGGGAAGAAAAGATGTCTCAAAACCTAAAAAATCCTTTTCATGCTATTAGACAAATATCCTAAATACAAAGTATATGCGTATACAAGCCACTTTAAAGCGAAAGAGACCAACAGTTTATCTAGTAGAACACTGGCCAGTTTCTTCCACCAACGAGGTTCTGTAGGCTAGGTTAGCAGCAAGGAGTACACCACTGCCCCATGGCAGGGCCTCAGTCCAACTCAATCTTACCAAGGTGTACAACAGGCCTCAGGCTAGCCAGAAGCATCAGTCACATTGTACAGGATCCTGGCAGGGAATGGGGACAAGACACGACAGCTCGCAACGGGTGTTCCAGAACTACCCATCCACTGGGGTGTGGCCAGATATGAATTTACATGGCACATTAAATGGCCTTCAGAATGAAGGCTGGACACTCCTGAGCTTTAGCAATAAAGATTCAGAGATCTCAGCCGTACAGACATTTGAGCAAGATTTTTGACATTAGAGTAAAATGTAATAGCAGAACACACACTGGTAACAAGTAATGAGATCTTATACATGGAAGAAACTAAGTTAGGAGAATGAGATACCATGTTTCCTGGGAACACCAGTTTTTAAGGCCATGGTCTTATTACAAGACAAACCACCAGAGCGGTATCAAAATATCGCCCTTTATCCCTGCACCCCGCCTTAAACTGGAGTATCCTTTTTGTCAAACCTGTGATTAGGGATGCTGATTGGGTCACCAGGGTTGTAATAATTACGTCCAATCTGCTGCAAATTCAACATCTTCAAGAGCCTACAAGTTGAAATATGGATGTCATTTACCATTATTATTCAGTGTATCAACTATGCATGGTCCCATCCCTCTGCAGAACCTCATTTTTTGTTCATCTGACTAGATAAAACAGTTTGGAATGTGAACTTTTCATGAAACTAAATTTAATATTATTAAGTGTCCAGAGCCTTTATAATCAGTTGAAAATAAGTTAGCATACAACCCAATCCTTCACTGACCAGTTGAAGGTAGCAGTCTAAACAAGCTATACTTCAGATCAACCAGGTAGTCTGGGTACCAAGGTTAAGTGGAAAACCTACAGCAGAAAAAGTAATTTGCCAATTGAAGGTTCTGCAGCACTATTTGTTTTATGAGGCAAATTCACAGACACAAAAGGAGGGCAGAGATAGGACTAACTGCCTACAACAGTTAGCGCTCCACTGTGAATCTGCTTTTAAGGGAAAAGGTATAAATTAATTTCACACTAACATGTGCCAGAAACACACATATAAAACTGCACATTAAAATGTTGCCAGATGTGGCTGGCCACACAGTAATGGTAGCTACAAACGCTTAAAAATTTACATTTGTAATATTGATTTCTGGTCCATTCTTTGTAAAGGAAAAACTTAAGTCAGATATTTTCAGAATGACTTCTTATAAAGACATAACTCGGACAGCAAACCTTTTAAAAATGATGTTGTAAAATTGTAGACATGTAGGTGAAGTAGGTGGCAACTCATTAGTTAGCGTGATTGTTATCTTCACATCCTCTCCATTTCGAGTCCTACTAGACACCTCAGTAACCTGAGAAAGTGAAGTTAGGTTAATAAATCTAGAGGCAAACAGGGCTTTATCTGGACATTGCTCCATTAATATCAAACTGGACTTGTACAGTAAGATTCTAAGTAACAATTCAAGACTTAGCTGAAACAGGAATTAGATTTCCTACCCTGACTGTAAACTACAACCTAAAATGCTTTGTTCATTTGAGTGAAGATGGCTAACGGAGTAGAATGGAGGCTGTTCCCAAGGCAGCTGAATTCAAGATGAAGACAGGGAGATCACTTACTAATTACTATCACATGGGAAAAGACTCAACTTGAGGAAATAAACTTAATATATTGCCAATTAATATTTACTTAATTACTGATTCAGGTACTGAGAGGCAAAAAGACGAACACTAAAACAGAGTTAAAACATCTTCCCCCTCTCCCTTTTCCAGGCTCAAGATCACTCTGTACTCTGCTCTCCCTCTCTGTTAACACCACCGGTTACAATCAGTCCCTCCAGCGAGGCAATGAGCAGCACCTGGGCTGGAGGTGGGGGAGGCAGGGGTTACCATCCGTACATGGACTTTTCCCTCGGCTGCTCCTTTATTCTCAGATTTTTCTTCTGCTATGGCATTTTTTCCTCCTTCTTAAATATACAGAGGTGCCATCAACTTTGTGGATGGGCTTAGCTTTGGTCTGTGGTGGGTCTGCTGTGAAGCCTGCTGGAGATGGCTGTGTACAGCACAGGGCAGCCCCTAAACTCTTTCCACAGGGGCTACCTCAGAGCCCCAAACTACCAAAACCTTCCCACATACACACAACGAATCCACCCTTTCAAATGCAGAAGTTATGAAAAGATGTAAGCAGAAGGAAAACTAAAGGAAAAATACTGTTTGTACTATCCAATTCTGTGCAGTGGATTATTCTAGCCTGCAGAACCTAAGCATTAAAACCAGAAATTATTACCAAATTTCTTTACACAAGCGAATTAGCTTATACTAATATATTCAATCCAACTAAATGTTGCTCATGGGACATCAGTTCTCTAACTTCACCCAGACCAGTAAGAAACAAGAGGCATCATAAAACACAAATCTAAATAAAGAATAAAATCGCACCTTATTCCCTAGTTTTTTTGGCAAGAATAGTATTGATCCATCAAATGCATGTGTCTTTCCAATTAGCTCTTCATGCTGAAAAAGCAAAGCTGATCGAAGACGACGTGCTTCCATCTCGGGACTATAGCCAACGTGGTACTGATACAAAGCCCACTGAGGTCGAGACGTCAATCGAAAGTAATTTGTAGTTAATTTTATCATCGTACCTGAAGAACCTGAAATGAGAGGCAAACATCTTAGTAGTTACAAAATTCACCAGTTTCTAGTAATTCAACAGCTTTGAGAAATTTTATAAAACTAAGGCATTAAGACCAAGATTAGAGGTCAATTGTGTTCTGCAACTGTTCTAGCTCAGTAAGCTACAGGAAATGCTCACACAGGCATAGTGTTATCATAGACACTCATCCACTTATTAGAGGTTTTCACAGTTCCTTCAGTTTTCAGGAAAACTCCCACAACAAATGAAGTAAGCATTTAGATCAGTAATCTGTCTCCCAAAGGATGAGTACCAGGTACTGGAGGGAAGAATTTCCACCAAAACTTAAACTTCCTTTGTGGACAAATTGATCTTCCTTTACATGAATCATAAACACAGAACAAAAACTAATAGAGAATCAACCACTAGAAATATCTACATTCCCATTCCTATGTGATGAGATGACATATCTTCAGGTATTTCAAGATTTTTCAAACAAACAAAAGAAACCACAACAGTAAGAACTAGTTCCAGATCACTCACTCATTTAAAGTATCCCTTTCTGCTTTTTTTCATGTTTCATTTCAATTTCTTTTAGACTTAAAGACAGAAGTCTAATACAAAAAATACATTGCAGACAATTATGGATCATCCATTTTAATTTGGTTTTCATTATCCATTTTTTCCTATCTGAAATACAACACCCTAAATGAAAACAAAAAAATCCTACCACATACAAAGTATGTGCATTATACTAGAAAGCTGTACAAAGCTGTAAAGAGAAAAAAAAAGGCCAGAAATATGGCTGCCTACAAAGTACAGTGATCCATGATCTAGCATCAGCACAGTTCTAAATAGAAAATCTAGGTGAGACTGAAAACAACTACACTGCTTGTGGCCCAAAGTGACATGAGCAGAACTAAGCCCTACCATTCCCGGGCCTGTGGCATGCTCCAGTTATCATTCAATTAAGCAAAAGTAGACTACAGTTGCCATTACACTGTTCTGATGTCTCACAGAGTCACTTGCAACACAAAACTTATCAGCACAGAACCCCTGCACTGTTGAACATTAAGAAGGATTGCATTTTAGCAAGAAGGCAGGACCATCATGACAGACTGTTTTACTTCTTTTCATATGCATGATTTCATCTCAAGGAAATAAGCATATCACCTTTTATTTAAACTAAAAAGCTTCTTCAGAAAAGGTCTCAAATTCCACATTTATTAGGAGTGATTTACAAATTTGTTATGCCAATGTGTTACAAACTGTAACTTCTAGAAGCAAATCTAGAGTCCTGTAGAGTTCTGCTTGAAGAAGTGGACAACAGGAACATACAAGGATCATCATTTACATCTAAACAGTTGAAATTTAAAAAGTTACATAACTTCTGTCTGAATCATTCTGCCATCAGACATGTCATCTTACTCTTCAATTATCAGGAGTTATTTGTATCTTTTTCTAGTACACAAGGAAGATTTTTTTATTTGGATCTCTACCGCATACTAAAAGCAGAAACAAAGCAAAACTATTTTTCATTTCAACTTGCTTAAATGTCTATAGTCTAATCTGAACATACCAGTTTTTGATTCTTGAACATGTTCTATGGCTTGCCGAGTATTTACCCCAAGGTCATGGAAATCTCTACGACGTCCACCCCTATCTGCTAAAGACAGTTCCTGAAATCCTGCAGAAATCTGTAATCCTATTGTTTTGAAATTTGAGGAAGAATTACGATCAAGTATTATATACAAAGAAATAAATACAATTCAATTTTGAAAGTCATTTATATATATAAAATTAAGAGAAATCATGAAATGTTAAGTTTCAGCTTTTGCTATGTAGGAAATTAATCTTAAAATAACATTCAGGTAACATATTAACTTTAAGATATACAGCCAGTTAACTAGTAAGCAAATGGAGCCGCTCACTAGACAGATGAAAAAAAGGATGTAAACCCTTTAAATCAGTAATCTTTTCTGCAAATACAGAGGACAAACCTTTCACTCCAGCCACAGCTGGCAGCAGTATGTTTAAATACAGTGTGACATGAAATAAATAAGCAAGTTTAAATTACTTATTAAGATTCATGAAAAACAATTAAATATCAAAATGAAATTTACTATTGGTATTCATGCAGTTAATCGTGCCAACTGCTTCCTAATTTATTTTTTTAAACTATTTTGTTAAAGGAGATGGTACAGATGGAATAGAACACACTTAATGTACTTTTCAAAATTCCTGGTTCAGTTATACTGTACCTTAGAATGACAATACTATCCCCACAAGGTATGTACAGTGAACTTTTCCAAATCTTAGTAATAAACCTCATTTCAGAAAAAAAAAATAGAAATACAGTCTAAAAAATGCCTTAATTGCACTCTCTTCAAAACACTTGCTCTTGTAGGAAATGAACTTTTTCTTTCTTACCTTCTGGCCTTCTCCCATTCTGGCCTTGTGGAATACCCTGGGGGCCCCTCTGTCGCCCACGGCCACCAAGATCTTCTGATGCTGCTGGAGGAGCACAGGGCTGCTGAGGTTGCCGATGATGGGGTGGCTGACTTGACAAAGTCTGTTGAAGCTGCAATAGTTGGGAACAGCTTTTTCTACCGCAACTGAAGAAACAGCATACTTCCAAGAGTACAGCAAAACAAAGTCACTAACCAGGTACAGAATACTCAAATACCCAAGTGTTACATAATTTTAAATCTTTTTTTCTATAATAAATAACAGTTTTTACTCTGTACTTCAAACTCCAATATAATGGGGTTCAGGATTTTTTTTTTTAAGTTAATATTCATTTAACTAATAGTAAATGCAAATCTTCTCTTTCCCAGCTCTAACTAAAATATCTGGACTTCTCATTTTTAACAAATAAATAGCTGACTACTTATTTTATAAAAAGATTTTGTAATTTTATTGTCTAGTGAATAAATCATATTAAAAGTCATGCCTGGAAGAACTGCAACACACAACCTTCAGCCATGAGCAATCCAACAATTCAGTTGCATGTTACCGGATTGCAGTCTGCGATGCAAGTGAGTCTCTCCAGGAGCAGTCAAGTTCTCTAGTTTAAGTGTAAACAAGCAAGAGGCCAATATCAAGGATGAACAGGAAACCTGAGCTAGAGAGCCAGCCTGGCTCTGTCTGAACTAGTGTCATACAACCTGCCAGCAATCCATGGAATTTCCCTACACCCTTGCTTTCAGAGCTCCTGGTACATGTCTTGTGATTCCCAGATGCATCTGACACTGACCACAATATCAGTAACTAAGCTGGCCTCTGTTCTTACATTCTCCACCTTATTTTTACATGTTATAAAATCTGTTGAAAGTATACCCTCTAAGAAGTCTGTAAATACCCATACACACTACAGCAAAGATCAAATGTATGGAGCCCTAGATTATATGTGAAAATCAGAGCCCAGTACTATCACAGTAACAGCATATTATCCTAAGTTTTGTGCTCCCTGTAGTATTCATAAAGTAGTTCAAGAAATGGACTAGAAACACTCTTCCAGTCTAACCACATTCTCAAATGAAAGATGATTATTAATAACTGACAAATTTGAAGAACTGCTTTTAAAAAATCTCTAGGTATTTGGCAATGGCTGCAAATACAGAATTATCAGCCATTTTCATCCAACAGTTTGAGCAGAGCATATAAACACAAAACAAGCCCTAAACACCAATTCCAATGCAGACAGAAAGTCCTTGATATTAAAACCAACAGGAACAGATGAGAACACCTGCCAGACCCAGGTTCTGCCCAAGTATGCATCAACAGCAACAGCAGCCTAACATGTTCTGCTTCTCTTCAGGGTATGACAGTGGACAAAGCAGACTATGAAAACGCTTACCTATTTCCACTAGCTCTATTATGACGACTGTATTACAATAGAGTACTTGGTTGTAAGCACACAAACATTTCCTTAATAATGAGTTAATAGAAGTATACACCTGACATAACATATATACACACATATATATCATCTAACATGATACTAAAATAGGTAGTCGAGCTAAGACATTTCAAAGCCTGGCTGTGCTCCTTAAAAAGAGAACCAACTTACAGATGCAGCTCCTACAGAAGGAATAGCAGTCTCCTGTCCTGGAGGTCTTCCTCTTGCTCTGGCTCTAGCTCTTCCTGTCATTTTCTAAGACAAACCACCTACAGCATTAGTGTTCAATCTTCTCCTTCCCCCAGCCTTATTCCAATAGATATTATGAGCAGCACTACTGCATTTGCCCTTGTTTAATTTCAACTGGCTCACTAAAATATGCCCACTTCTGCAGAATTCCTTGCTCTTGGATTTCCACACAGCCTCGACAGGTAGTGTGCAAAAATTAGATTCTTATCATAAAATTTAAACTGACTAGCAGAGTCTACCAAAAATTCTGAAGCTGTGAAGAAAGTCAACTAAACTGGAGAGCATAGCAGGATCTGCAACCCCAGCCAAGCTTAACTCTGGCCCTACTGATGCCTCTTTCAAGTTACACACTCGAGACTCAACTCAGCCTGATTTGTTGGGTTATGCTAGGAGCAGCACAACCTTCACCCAAAGCACACGCCAACCACTCCTGCCTGCTAAGCTCCCCGACGGCACAAAACCAGCCCCTGGGATCTGTCTATCGTGTGCCCCCACCCAACTTTCCTTTCCACATGGGCTCGGCCCTAACTTCTCCACCAGCCTCGAGAAGTTTGCAGGGCCCAGAGAGAGCAGCTCCCCCTCCGCCGCCAGCGCTGCCGGGCACTCGGCGTTACCTCAGCCTGTCCGCGGGCCGCAAAGAGACTCTGCTCCCACCCCAGCGATACACAACAAACCGTCCTTCTCACGACGCCACACGGCTGTGCTCCCGCTAAGGCCAACAGCCACACTCGCAGCCGCCAGTACCCGCAGACCTGTCCCCCGGGAGCAGCCGCATCGCCCCCCACCCCGCAGCACCCCCCTCTCCTGAGGCCGCTGGCGCCACGCGCAGGCGCACACCCCCCTGGGCGGCACGCGCTGGCGGTGCAAGGCGGGAACGCACGCTCTCCCCCGATTGGCTGCCGAAGAGCCCCGAAGGCGGGGAGCCGAAGGCGGCCGAAGCCCGCTCCGCTTTCCTGCTACCCCGCTCCCGTCTACGGGCGGCGAGTAGAAGCGGCGCTGGGTGCTTCGCCTAGTTAACGCTGAGGGGGGGCCGGGAGGCCTCAGCGCTCCCGGCAGAAACGGGCCCTCGGGCAGCGCCGTCTCCCTCAGCCCTTCGTGCCTCGGTGTCGGCCCCGCTGGCAAAACTGGGCTTCTGAACGCTGTTTGTCACCTTTGTGAGGGGAGGGTTTTCCCTCTAAAAATTATTTCCTCCTCATCCTACGTCTTACTTGAAAAATAAATTTTAAGTTAGCCAGAAGGTGGAGCAAGAAAACAAGAAATGAAACCCTTAAGTTGTTTCAGTGAAGGACTGAATTTCTCAACAACAGTTACAACGATGCCTTTGCTTTTTTCCAGAGATGTACAGAATACAGACAGAAACTGTCAAGGGATACAATATTCATAGCATAGGAACCGTGGGCAGGAATGCTTTGACACAATCTGATTAAGCATCAATTCAAAACACATGAGCAACTGTCTGTTGAGACACATTCTTCAGCAGACTAGTAATCAAATAGAAAAAAAAGTGTTCTTTTTTTCTTTTCTAAGTACCCAGGCTAACTCATTTTCTATGATTGTCACAGAGAATCACAATCCGTATTTTAGATACTTCACAAGAGAACTATCAAATCTTATGATTTGGAAGTAAGCAGTCTTAAATGGGAATTAACTGTCGCAAGCTTTTCCACGCTTCAGTGGAAAGACAGGATGTCTAGACTGCTTCAAGGCTCAAGAGCACATTTCTGTTGTTTTTAAGTATGCCTTTGCTTAAAGATTAGATGGCTGTGATGCATCTGGAGACACCAGCTTCAAGGGACAAGAGATAACACTATCTAATTAAAAACTTACCTTTATAAAAGACCAGTCTGACCTCATGAGGTCATTTACAATTTTTCAGGTACTTCCAGTGAATAGAGGATAAAGTTAATTTTCCTTGTTCTCTGTTATTCCAGGTAGAAATGAGTAACACTGTTAACACTAACACTTAACAGAAATAATACAAATATCTCTGATTTTGATTGTCAGTTTGTCTCTAAAGCCAGCATTGTGCTTATTGATGTCAGCATAGTGACCCACATAGGAAGCCAGTTTCTCTTTTATAAGTTAAAAAGAGCTTTCAAACTATGAAAGCGTGGATATTGCTGCTTAAAGATAGTTGGAGTACTTTTAGAATCTGATTTTTATTATTCATATATAGATCTGGATAAATATTTAACAAACTCAATACATACACTTAAATGGGGCATGTTCAGTGCTTTTAAGAGCAGTGGTTACTGCTTGCTATGGGCTCTGCACCCACAGTGGCAACTTTTATTGCTCTCTAGCCTGCAGAACTCCTCAATGGGTCAGGGGGTTAAAGCTGCAGAAACACAATATGCAGATTTTCTTGTCTCAGCAGTATTTAAAGATAAACAGTATTATAAAGATGTTGTCAAAGTCATTTACATCATGTAAATCATGAGAAAGCAGAATGTGTGTGTTGGAAATAGTTATGTTTGTTTATTAGTTTAAAATATCTGCAGTACTTAATGTTTATTTTTTTTATGCCAAATTCCTTACATTTCACTGCAGAACTTAATTATCCTTAGATGGGAGTTGTTAAAAGTACTTAATCAGGCTGGCTACCTACAGCAATTCCTTATAAAGTGAAAATAAACATCAACAATAAGCACCCTCATTTTTATATGTGGGCTGTCAGACAGTTAATTACTACTTCATGAAAGATAGGTTCCAATTTGGTTTTCACAGTCTTTCAGACTTGCTTTTTTTTTTTTTTTTCTTAGCAACTCAAGCCCAGTTAAAACTGACTCTACAGGTAGGCTTAATGAATTTTCACAGTCAGAGGGAATGTGGGAATGGCAATGCTCTAATTGCAACAGGTGCATCATGTCCTTAGTCCTGGCTGCTTTCTCAGTATCACTGAGAAAAACAGGATTTTGAAAATGGTAACTGTTTGCATTTTATTTTTTCTGTGTTGCCAAAAAACTTAGCAGTGCTGGACTTCGACACATCAAAATATCACATATAAAGTAGTTTTTTCAGAGCTACTTGGCTTGCACTTTGCTTTGATGTTTGTTTTACCCATGATGCAATTGTTTTTGCCTTCTGCCTCCTGTTGCTACAATAAGCCATTTCCCATATATGTCATCTCCAAAGGGGAAAAGACCGCATGGAAACAGAACAAAGAAAACAGAACAAAAGAAAATCAGGGATTTTTCCAAAGGCCCATTTGATGTACAAGTATAAACAGGAAAAAGATGCCTGAGGAGGTAGGAGCCAGGAACTGTACTACCAGACAGCTGTTAACTTGTGTAGTTAGCAGCACTTTGGGATTCTGAATGGTAAATAAATAAGTGATTCCAACTTCCAACACACACAGTGAGGAAAACGATCACTTCAGTACCTTTAGTGTAGTGTTGAAATGTATTGCAAACTCCTAGCAATGTAAGTTGAACTCTTACCTTCATGTCTTTCTTGTAACACAAAGTCCAGCTATCAATAGCTCTTTTGGTTCTAGTCCCAGAAGAGGTTATACCTCAAGATATCAGAATAAAAAGTATTGTCTATTTTGATGAAGCAACTAACAATTAGGAACAGTTTACAACAGAACTCAGCAATTCATACGTGAGGCTAGACTTTAAAAAGCCCAACATGTTGCTCCTGAACCTTATTAAATATTTGTTAAAAAATTTCAAATGGGAATTGCTGAAAACTAAACTTAAAAATTCAAGTTCCTGTAGTAGGTATTAAGTATTCACAAATCTGGACCACAGTGGGTTTACATTCCTAATTAGTTTTTTTCTAAAGTGAGAGAGGCAAGGTTTTAAAGATTGACTTACTATCGAAATATTTTCTGATGAGTTAAGATGAGTTAAAAGTCTTGCTTCTTTCCAGTTCAAGTTTTTAATGTCACATTTAATTCACTATAAGTATGTGTGATAGAGGGACTGATCTGCTTACACAGTGGAGCCTGGTTTACTTACTATCTTGGGTAGAGTGTGCGGGGCCGGGAAACTTGTATTTACATACCAAAACAGAAAGCAAAAGGCATGTTATGGAAAAAATGTTTACTAAGGAGATAATACCCAACTCACTGCATAACAAATATAATGCAAGCATTTTCACTCAGGAAGAGGGAAAGTATATTTTTCAACTTTGTATTTCCTCTGCTGTTCTCTAGTCTATTTTTTTTTCATCCCTAATTTCTAATTTTCCTTCAGATCCTTACTTCCTTCGTCTGAACCCTTATTCTTTGTAACTTCCCTTAAAATATCACTCACTATTCTTGGAATCTGTATAATACTCTCTGCTGTTCCCCTTGACAACAATGTATTTTGTTTCAATAGAAGCAGACTGTTTTTCTGTTCCATGTGTTCCCTGTTTACCAGGGTATCTAATCACTGCAGTTATCTTCACTACTTGTTCCAAGCCCTGTTTTGTCAGACTGTGCCCTCTTTTCCTGAAGAGAAAATGGCCTCTTACTTACAAACCATCATATCCCTGCCAAAGTTTCCTCTGCTGTATCAACTTAACTCTACTTTCTGTTAACTTCTGCCCATTACAAATTCACATCAGTCCTAGCTGATGTTTAATTTGTATCCAAATCCTGAGCGAAGTGAGCAAGAAGTGATATGACAGAAGTTCTCGATAAATAGCCATATTAAATGGAGAGGTCACATTAAACAGACTGGAACAAGGCCTCCAGAAGCTAATACCATAATTAGATTTGTAAAGCATATTGTATAAATAAGTATGAAATTCTGTAAGATGTGGTCCTATCCTTTATTATCTCTGTTTTTTTAACTAACAAGAGGAGATGCAGAATTAGTGTATGGAGTATGTTAGAATAGAACTGAAATGGTATTTTGATTCAGATATTATAGTAAAATATTGTATTATTTCAAAAAGCAAAGAGATGTATTTCAGGAGAGAGACTAGCAAGAATTCTCAAGTTTAGATAGATTGATTTCAGCTCATCTAGGAACCTGGTTTGATCTAATTGTCTTCTTATTGCTCTGAACATTCCTGAATTATGCAGAGAATTTGGGTTATGTAATTTAGTGTTGGATTAAAAAATGTCACAGCTTAACTTTCTTTAAAATAGTATAGAACTTTGTTCACAGTCAACGAAGTTCATTATTTTTTTGTTCAAAGCCCAGCTGCAGGCCTGGAGCATTTCTCATAAATATCAGGAAGTACCCGAAGCCACAGTCAGGATTAAAGAGTTGATCTGAACCTTAGATCTCAGTTTTAAAGCTGTAATGTACAGTGAATTTGGTTTCATGGTAAAGGAAATGGTAATTGCTGAAGTATGTTTTCTTAAGTTGCAAAATCATTTTTGAAATGTTATCACTGAAACCTCTGTCAGCACTGTGCATGAGAATGAGTGGGCTTGAAGCACAGGATTTATGCATGCCCACAGCACTGAATTTGTGTCTCGGTGTCACTGATGCAGAGACAGAGGCCAGTGTGGCTACTCCTTTGTGCACAATATCAGATCCACAGTGACAATCTAGAGGACTATCTAAGGAAGTGACTTAACAATTTCAGTACACTATTCCAATAATTTCTTCTGAAAGATGGGCCAAGTTCTTGGTTATCTGGGAAATATACTCCCATGAGAACCAAGAACACAAACCCACAAGTGATACCCTTACTTACAAAAGTGCAGAGTAAATTCCTCAGTGTAGCAGTAAGGTATTAGAAAAAGCCCATTACTCCTGGCTGCCTACAAAT